GGTGCAAAGTCTGGAACAAACTTTATATTTAAAAAATTGAAAATTGAAGCAATTTTTAAGAGATCAGTTTATACTGCAATCTCAGTTTTTTGCCCAGGACAAACTCCTAACAGATTTCATGCAACTTATGGAAGCCAGTGTTGATTCTCTCACAAGGCATTTGAGGACAGGGTCTCCAGGAATGGGTTCATCCAAACTGCTAACCATGAGGTAGCCATGATAGTTAATTTACTATAGGAATGGAAGAGACATTTAATTTAGTTCTCATTTAATGGCAAGCTTACTTAATTCACACTTCCCAAAATACTAACGGAAATGTAGCTAGCCTTCAAAAACACTTTTCTCTGAATTTTGCAGTGCCATTCTCCAGCCGTGTAACGTGCAGAAAAATGCATATGCTACAGGGAAAAGCGTGTGGAAATGCATGTATCAATGACAAACATGCACAAATGCATTGCAGTTGGCAAAAATGCATCAAAAACTTATGCATTTGGAGAAATTCACATAAAAATTCTAGTGAATTTTAACAGAATAAAGCAGAATGGTGAGGGCACTGTGCAGTACGAGCCCACCCCCTAATGCAGGGGTCAGCAAACTTTTTCAGCAGGGGGCCGGTCCACTGTTCCTCAGACCTTGTGGGGGGCCGGACTGTATTTTGAAAAAGAAAGAAAGAATTCCCATGCCCCACAAATAACCCAGAGATGCATTTTAAATAAAAGCACACATTCTACTCATGCAAAAACACCAGGCAGGCCCCACAAATCACCCAGAGATGCATTTTAAATACCGTATTTTTTGCTCTATAAGACGCGCCAGACCATAAGACGCACCTAGTTTTTGGAGGAGGAAAACAAGAAAAAAAAATTCTGAATCTCAGAAGCCAGAACAACAAGAGGGATCACTGCGCAGCGAAAGCAGCGATCCGTCTTGCTGTTCTGGCTTCTGGGATAGCTGCGCAGCCTGCATTCGCTCCATAAGACGCACACACATTTCCCCTTACTTTTTAGGAGGGGAAAAACTGAGTCTTATAGAGCAAAAAATACGGTAAATGGGCACATTCTACTCATGTAAATACATGCTGATTCCCAGACCATCCGTGGGCCGGATTGAGAAGGCGATTGGGCCGGCTCCCGGGCCTTAGTTTGCTTACCCATGCCCTAATGCATCAATGACATGTTGCAGAATACACCTATACAGTGCTACCTCGGGTTAAGCGCTTAATTTGTTCCGGAGGTCCATTCTTAACCTGAAACTGTTCTTAACCTGAAGCACCACTTTAGCTAATGGGGCCTTCTGCTGCCGTCGCGCCACCGGAGCACGATTTCTGTTCTCATCCTGAAGCAAATTTCTTAACCCGAAGCACTATTTCTGGGTTAGAGGAGTCTGTAACCTGAAGCGTATGTAACCTGAAGCGTATGTAACCTGAGGTACCACTGTACAACAAAACAAAGCAGAACCCAAGTCTGGAAGGGCGCTGGGAAGCTGCCGTGGTGTGGTTGCTTGCAAATGTCACCTCCCTTTCGTCTGTCCTTTGCATGTGTCCCTTGAACCCCTTTACAGCAGCTGGGGCAAAGGGGGGCCTTTTGCTGATTAAAGCCATGGCTGCTCGAGAGCATGGAATATTTCCTGCTGCAAATTATGCAAATCCGCCCTCCCTGAGATAAAAAAGACCCATCTAAGAGATCTCACCCCGTTTCTAATCAGGAAGAAGGGGTGGATTTTGGCATCATTCCAGGCACCAATTGGAGAATCAGGGGAGGGCTGCGGGGGGAATGGTTAACTAATTGGATATCCCAGGAAGGGTGGAAAGACCAATGACTTGGCTTAGCAGCATGACACCCAGCTCCTCATGTGCCAGGGAGCTCATAGGGGCCAGCTTAAGTCCTAGGGGAGAAGCTAGCATTATGTAGACACCCCAAACCACTCTTGGTCTGAGTGTCCTCTTTAGGCCTCCATCCCTTTCTGAAGCCCTTTCATCAGTTGCATTCAGCATGAGAGCCCATTTTGCCTTTTAAAAAATAATAATAATTTTTCTTTCAAGAGGAGGTAATTATTTCTCGACAATTAGGTCCAATCAGTTCACCTTAAGCAGCTGGCAAGTATATAATCATTCAGCCTCATTTGCAACCATAACGGCCTTTTAGCTGCTGTAATTTTCAGGTGCTTGTGACCACTTTAGTCACAAACTCGAAGAAATAAAAATCATAGAAACGCAGGCGAAAGTGGGGAGGAGAGGCCGGGGCCCCATGTGTGCAGGGGTGGGGGTGTGGGGGGAGGAGAGGGAGCCAGCAGCAGAAAAATGATGGACACTCTAAAAACGGATCTTAAATGAAAACGAGGGTCCCCGACCACCCGCTGACCGAAACAGAGTGATTGAGGGTTTGGCTGATGAGACATGATGCAGCCACAGCCCCTCTCCCAGAGAGGAACTGATTTCTCGTCCGAGATGTTGTTGATTAAATGGGACACATGGGCAAGGAGGATGGGGGGGGGGTGCAAACAGGAGGAAAGAAAAGGACATAATATTTCACAGTTTACTAGGTGTCTGTTTCTCCAACATAAACGGTGGCTACTTTAGGAAAGGGCTTATGAAGGACTGTGAGAACAAACTCCCCCCAGTTAAGGAGAGCTATAGCCACGAAGAACTGGCTGGAGTGTGGGTTTTCTCTCACTAACACAGAAAAGTTGGCCCTGTGTCCAGCGCAGAGGGCCTTCTGGCGGTTCCCTCGCTGCGAGAAGTGAGGTTACAGGGAACCAGGCAGAGGGCCTTCTCAGTAGTGGCTCCTACCCTGTGGAACGTCCTACCAGCAGATGTCAAGGCAATAAGCAACTACAGTCACACCTCGGGTTGAAGTAGCTTCAGGTTAAGCATTTTCGGGTTGCGTTCCACGGCGACCCGGAAGTAACAGGGCACATTACTTCCGGGTTTCGCTGCTCGTGCATGCACAGACGCTCAAAATGATGTCACGCGCATGTGCGGAAGCGGCGAATCGCAACATGCACAGATGCAGGTTGCGTTCACTTCAGGATGCGAACGGAGCTCTGGAACGGATCCCGTTTGCATCCAGAGGTATCACTGTATTTTACTTTTAAAAGACAACTGAAGACGGTCCTGTTTATGGAAGTTTTTAATGTCTGATGCTGTATTGTTTTTAATATTTGCTGGAAGTGTGGGTTGGGGAAACCCAGCCAGATGGGCGGAGTATTCATAATAATAATAATAATAATTAATGTAGCGGCAGGAGAAACGTGAGCACTCCATCGCTAGCAAAACTACCCATCTTTTGCTGCGTGTAGGTAGGGTTTTTTTATCATGAGATAAGCACTACACTCACTTGCGGGGTTCTTGGGAGTGATGGCTGGGTATCCAACATCAGGAGTGGACGGCAGGAGTGGACGGCGGAGAAGGTCATCCGCACAATGGAGAAACAAGTCTGTTTCTAACTGCATAGCACTGGTTCTGCTTTCTGCATAGGTACAACATGGCCTCTCTTGGGCTCCCAGTAGATGCGGGCCTAGCCACTGTCTTACTGGGTACCAACTCACACCTGTAGTTTGTTCAGGGTGCTGAGAGTTGCCAGATCCCCACTCCCTTCACTGATGTACGGTTCCCAGAGCAGTATAACGGTTCCCAGAGCTCTGTAGCTTTGTGAAGGGAATGAGGATCACTCCACAGGTCTCAGCACCCTTAAACTACAACTCACAAGGTTCTTTGGGGGAAGCCATGCCTAGTGAAAGTGGTATCGTAGTGCTTTAAATGCCTGGTGGAGATGTGGTCGTGGTAAACATGGAGAGAAGTATCTTACTTTGGCTCATCAATTAGCTGGGGGGGGGGAGTGAACAATTTAAGGTGTTCATGTCATCATCATCATCACCACCATTAAATTCATATCCCACCCTTCCTCACAAAGGAGCCCAGGGTGGCAAACCCAAAGGGGATAAAACAATCAAAGGCATCTCAAAAACAATTGCAGTAAAAAAGCAGACTGGGAGAGATATCTACCGTACTTCAAATATGGCTCACACATATTGGAGGCATGAGTTGCTTTTAAGTGTATGAGCCAGCCACAAGCGAAAAGGTTTAGGGACCTGTGAAATCTTGCAAACTTTCTTCTTACAACGGCCAAGTTCTGCTGCCACCTAGCGGAGAAACGCTGGTAACACAACCATGAATATTGCCAAACCAATGGCAGGGGTGGGCAAAAGGTAGATCGGGATGTACTGTGGGGGGTTGCAGTAGATCTGCAGGAGTATCTGACTCCCAGTTGTCTAATGATACCTACCACCAAAAGCCACCACATCCTAAATTAGGCTTCGGAAACAAGAAACGCTGGGGGGGGGGGGCGCGGGATCAGGAGCGGAGCTGTTTCCAGGGCTGAGCATATGCTCAGAGGCACCCTGTCCTTAATTCTTAGTATGATGCCCTCTCTTCAAAGCCACTTGTGATAGGGAAGAAGTAGGTGGACTTGCAACAGGGAATAGTGGGTCAGTTAAAGCCCAGGAGGTTAAATGGCTGTTTATTGGAAGCAACCAGGGAACAAGAAATATATTCAGTTGGTGTCAGCGGTGAAGCTAAAATGATGGAGGGCTTGATTTGGCTGGATGTCCATCTTGCCTCATTCCTCTCTCACAACAGCAAAGTCATATTCACCTCATTTAGTCAAGGGTGTTCCTACCTCACAGGGTTATTGTGGGGACTTGTCAGTATAGGATAGGCTGCCCTAAGCCCTTGAACTATGGCAAGCAGAGCTTCTGAAATACAGTGGTACCTCGGGTTACAGATGCTTCAGGTTACAGACTCTAACCCAGAAATAGTACCTCGGCAGCAGGAGGCCCCATTAGCTAAAGTGGTACCTCAGGTTAGGAACAGTTTCAGGTTAAGAACGGACCTCCAGAACAAATTAACTTCTTAACCTGAGATACTACTGAACTATGAAAAACTGCATTCATATTAGAAAACAAGTTTTACTGCGTGTCAAATAAACCACAGTGCACAAAAGCAAGGTACAATGAAAAGACTTTTATTTGCACATTTCAATTACATTTGGATGCGTTTTAACTGCAGGACAGCTGAAATCTGGAATCCAATCTTTTCTCTCTCTTTTTACACTGGTCATTTCTGAGAAGTCATGCATTTTTACATTCATATCACATTTACAACCTCCAGAGAAATCTTCCAAGGCAAGAAGGAATTTTGAAGCAAAAATGCACACAAGATTACATGTAACAAAACGAGCTGCAAAATAACTTGGGTTGTTGATTCTGTAGAGAACATGAGGTGGCGAGAAGCAGCCCCCACCCCCTTGAAGTCACTATCATGTCAGAGCTGTCTCCTGCATTTATCCTAATAAACACAGTCCATATCAGAGAAATACAAGTCTGAACGGCATTGCTTCTTGTGCTCAAGCTGTATACAGTATTTCACGAAGTTACAGGATAGGATCACACCACAGCAATCGTAATAAATGGCTCAAAAGGTTAACACTATTGCTACGTGAGAAATGTTATAGAGCTACTCCTACCACTGAATTCAGAGAGAATTAGGAGAGCCTGCAAAAAGGAAGAAGGGGAGGAAAAGGTTAATAATACTTTGTTCTCCCAGGCCTGCCAAAGGTACCACTCTCCTGTATGGGTAAGGAATGCACATAAGTGGAATGGTTAAATCATATCTCCCTCCCTGTTTTCTGCAATGCACATTGTTCCTAAAAAGAAGCAAACCTGTAAAGAAAAAGATTAGTTGCACCTTGGAAGCAGCTAAAGCACCTGCAAACATTAAAATTATATTTTAATATCGGTAGTGGTGCCCGCCCTGTGGAACGCCCTCCCATCAGATGTCAAGGAAATAAACAACTATCTGACTTTTAGAAGGCAGCTCTGTTTAGGGAAGTTTTTAATGTTTGATGTTTTATGTGTTTTTAATATTCTATTGGGAGCCGCCCAGAGTGGCTGGGGAAACCCAGCCAAATGGGTGGGGTATAAATAAATTATTATTATTATTATTATTATTATTATTATTATTATTATTATTATTCAAAGGGATGTGGAAACGCCTCTGTTCCATCTAAAATATTGATACAAAGTGCCTTGTTAGTGAAATGGCCCAATGGATTCCAAAAGAGTGGCTCAGCAAAGGCTGGAGGGGCTTGAGAGTCTTGTGCTTGGGGTTCCTGAAGCCAAGTGGACTCTTGGGGTTCAAGGAGGTTCACCTCCATGACAGGGGAAGGCCCAGAGAGAGACTGGGATCCTCCAGAGAGGAGAACCAGTGGGCCCTGCAGATGTTGCTGCACCACAGCTCCCGTCAACCCTGACCAGTGTCCACGTTTGCTGGGGCTGATGGGAGCTGGAGTCCAAGAACTCGGGGCCAACGGTTCCCCAGCGGTGCCCTAAGCGGAGAGCAAACACCGCTGGCACTTCTCCAATTTGGTGAAAGACTCAAGGGTGGAGTTCTATTTGTTCCGTATGTTGCAAGCTGGGTGTGGAATGCCTCCCCTGTTTTCCTTGCAAGGCAATGGGCAAGGCTACCATGTTGCCATGGCAATTGCTTCCATGCAAGATCCTCCCAGGCCTCACAGTGAAGGAGTCAGAAGCAGGAATACCATTTGGGAGAGGAGAGCAACCAACAGGCACCACAAGACATCAGCATGAAACATAGAAGATCCTTTGTCTTGAGCTGAATGATCTGGCTATATGATGGTCATAGCAACTGGCAGGGGTCTTTGTGTGTGTCAGCAGAGTTACACTCTGGTCCGGGAGGAGGAAAACTAATGTGTTCAACTTATTGGGACGTACGGGCCTCCTAAATAGGAAGAAGAGGTGTGGAACAAGATGACAGCAAAGAGGGATGCAGTTCTCTTCTTAAATAGCTATATGGGAACGTAGTAAATCTGTGTTGTACAGTGGAAAGTCATGCCCAAAAGGGTGACAACCCCTTTATTTTATTTTTCTGTAGTTTAACATATTTTTATTAAAGATTTATTGGTTTACAGAGGTATGTGCAATGTCTCTTTTTTCAAGTTACATTTTCTACAGATCAGTTTAATTTGAGATGACACCCCCTTATGAGGTTTAGCTAACCGGATGGCCTTGGGCACATGTCTAATATTTCCAAACGTTATATTTAAGTTGCTACAAGCCTCTTTGTTACTTTCTACAGCAGATTAACACTACTACCTCTGTGGAAATAGCCTCACAAAGGCCGCTTTATTGCTCGGGGTATTATTATTGAGGGTCAATGAGTTAAGAACTATAAAGCATTTTGTGAATGGGAATTGAAAAGTGCTACGGCATAAAAAGTAAACCCAGACATGGACCAAAATCTAAACTATTATAGTGTTTTTTAAAAAAGCTTAGACAGCATAAGATGCATCAGCCCAAAGGTTTGCTGTGAATGAAAAGTGTTTAATGCATCAGTTGTATCTGTAAAAAAGAAATATATTTATTTCCAGGTCAAAGCTTGGGGGGCAGGCAGGAATCAACTCCCCAGTGTCCTATACCTGTGAAGAAAGTAATCCGGTTATTTAAAACAAAAGTTGTATTTAATTGTAGTTACGCAGAAATCAGAGAAAGAAAAATTGCTACACCAGAGTTAAGATGCACAAATAATCAGATAAATCTGATACAATTTAAGAGTAAACAGAGAAATATGATACAATTTGAGAGTTAACAGTGATCCTCACCGAATGAACAGATAACATTCCTACTTTAACTCATTAAAAAAAACAACCCTACTAGGTGCTCCATTTAATTGGGTTTTATGGATTTAGCTTCCCAGTTTGTCAGCATGTGCTAATAACCTCTAACAATGACCTTCTGAAAAATCAGCAAGTGTTCACAGGTTGCCTTCTTTTTATCGGATCTACATCCAAGCCAATGAAGAATAGAGGCAATTCATTATTATTGTTATTTCTTTAGAAAGTTGACCTTCTACACAAAACTTTCATGTAATGTGAAAAGTGACACTTCTCCCAAAGGTGAGCATGGAATAAACCCGCTGAATATCCCCCACCCCAAGAGAAATTCTCCCCAGACAGAAGTATAAATACCAGAAGCTGGTATACATGAGATTCAATGTGAATCACTGGTATGTAAATAAGCCCTCTAGGCTTATATAGGTAGCTAAACGAGCTCGTTTTTAAAAAAAGATTAAATAGGTTATAAAAAAAAACCTAACGTAAAATCCTTAGGATTTAATACTACTGCAATAATCCTCTTATAGTTATTGGGATTATAAATTCATCCTGATATATAAAGAGCGATGCTAACGCAACATTCCACAGGTAAGCCCTCAACAAGTCAGGAGTCTAGAGGTACCCTATGGCTTAAAACCTAATTGCAACCCTCGGTTGTCTCTTAAAGCAATCTTCATTTTGTCCAAAAGTGCTGCTGCAAAATAAAGCTAAGAAGACAGTAAGACAGGTTATGTAAGCAAGTGATCAAAGAAAGACACAAGAAAGGGTTGTCCATCAGTGAGGTATGAGAGGCCAGTAACTTAAAGACTTTGCGTAAGCGCTCATGTAATGGAAGGCCAATGGAACAGGGCAATACGGGCGTCTCCCCACTTATGCACGTCGGACTCATGAGCGACTGGGTATATGCACAACACTGGGAAATAATAAACTAAACTGATTAAAACTGAAAAAAGGCACAAAAGTGGCCCCAAAAGACCGGGAAAACTGCAAAAATGGCGCACAAAGAGTGGGGAAAACAGCTAGCTATTCCAGGAGCCTTTGCACTGATCTTTGAGGCCTATGGGGAGTTGGAATTTGAGAAAGGAGGGAGCGACTGTGGTAGAGATTGAAGGATCTTTGGCAGAGTTTTCGTTATGTGCTGCTGGTTTTCTAACGGGTTTTTTTCCCAACGGTTTCCAGAGGTTTAGAGGATGTTTACAGGCTTCATAGGTGATGTCCCCCCCAAAAAACCATATACACAATTTCACATATACATGCAGTACCTGGGGACGTAACCCCTGCGTTAAGTGGGGAGACGCCTGTATAACATCCATGGGACTATGAGCCTATCCAGGAAAGACGAGGGTTAAGGAAGCACATCTCATTCCCTTTCCACATGCTGGCGAAAAGATTCTTGGGCAAGTTACAAGGTTCTCCAGATGAAGAATATAATGGTGGAATTTGGAAAGGAAGCGTAGCAAAAAATAATTAAGCTAAAATATTTAGTACTGAGCTAGTATCTAAAGTGTACCCCGTGGGTCTAAGTCAATCTGACGGCCATCTGATGCCAGCTAAAAATGTCAGGCTACATCTTTGGAAAACTGGCTGTCAAGGCTGATTAAGTTGCGGATAAAAGCCACAAGTAAAATGTGGTGAAACTAGAAAGAGCAAGTTTTCAATATCAATTCTTACCGGGAAAAGTATCACCACAAGGTGACATTAACTCTTCATTTCTTTAGCATTGGCCACTTTGGGTACATGTTCCCATGGTAATGACACATGGTACCATGAAGATCAGCTTCAAACAATGTGCTCCCTTTTGATTTCCCCATGTGGGGCTCATGATAGGAACAACCAACCAATAAAAAATGAAGGGGAAATGTCATCTCATGCCAATATTTCTCCATATACATGATCATATAGACTCACCCTAATTCTCTTCATTAGTGATTGAGACTTGCCATATATTTTGTGGTATTATTCCACCAACAGGCAAGGATTGGGACCCTGGGGCCTGCCAGATGTTGTTTGACTCCAACTCCCATTGGCCTCAGCCAGCATGGCTAATGGTGAGGGATGATGGGAGTTGTAGTCCAGCAACATATGAAGAAACAAAGATTCCTCATCCCTGACCAAGGGAATGGAAGTCAGAGGCCAGTTATTCCTCCTCCTTCTTTTTGGTCCATGGGACATTAGAACTATTCAAAAAATCTATTGTGATGTGGGTTGTAGATTGCAGCAACATGTATTTTATATATTGTTCCCTAGCTAATTAAACTTTATGTTTAGCCTCTATAGTTCATGGTCCGAGCATTAGGGGGGGAAACCGCTATTTATAAACTCACTTAAGTTGAGTATCTCTCCTTTATGCTCAACATTATAACAAAAACTCTTTTGATAGTTTGAAGGAGTGTTAAAACACAATACTGATACAGGGAGGATTGGTGCAAGTTCCCCTGACTCGTCTGCATCATGAGAACGAAGTAAACAACCTCCATTTCACAGTCTTGATAGAAACACTCTTATCCAGCAGGTAAATATATTTCATAAATTAAGGTTACCAAACCTAAAAAGCTCCCTTGCCCAAATTAAAAACACACAAACCCCTGTAAAAACGACAGATACTGTATTTCCCAATTAGCTTATTTACCGTATTGTTCATTGCTATAAAACCATAATTTCTATTCCAGTATCACATGTAAGTTGGCTGCATCTTTTTGTTAGCAAGGACATGAACTGAGGTATACTAGGAAATGTTGCAAATTTAAGTGAAAAGAAAAAACCGAGGGGGAAAACTATTCCACTGATAGTATTCACTGGCTAAATATCCATTCCAGGTTTCTGAAAGTTTATGGACAAATAATACACAGGTCAGGATATATGTATTGACTTACTAGCATCTTTATAAAAAAAAAGTTGAAGAGTTACACCAAAAAAAGAACATTTATGGAACTTCTTCCGCTCAACTTCGATAAGACAACAACACCCCCTTCCCCACCAAATAAGCTTTGATGCGGCTGAATTTGCAAGTGCAAGAAGAGCTTCATTTACATTTTGTTTAAAAGTCCCTTATTTACATAATACATTAAATGCAATTCTTGCATTTCACATCTTATTTCAAATGCATGATACAGAAAGAACAAGATAATGGTTGCAACAGATCTTCTACAAAAAATTAAACTGGGGAAACATTGTACAAAGGACAGGGCCTCCTGTTCTTAACTGTGATCTTGCTTTTGTGGAGAGCACGTCAAAAAACAGAAAAGGAAAGGGGGGAAAAGAAAGAAAAGCCACCCTGTGATCCTGCCAACATATCCGGTTCCAAGTGAGCATTAATCAATCAAGATATATTATTACACTATCTTAATGATAATTCAACCCAGAGGCTGGGTGCCTGCCACCCAGATCACAGGTTTTCCGCTGCTAGGGGAAAGAATTGTACGCTTCTCCCTCTTTCTATAACCAAACAGGAATGTTCCTGCATTGAAATGCTGTGTGTGAGCGCACACTGCATACACTATAGCCTGTAACAGATGAGGTCAGACAAACGTGACTACACTTTACTCAGACAAAAGCACAAACTGCATTAAATGCCATACCACAGCCTATGGACAGAGAGGTTTGAAACCTGTAAACAGTTGAACAACAAAACCTCACCATTTCCTTAAGCACAAGTCCCGTTGACACCAGCAGATCTGAACTGTAAGCTTAGGCACCATGAAATCCGCACCTTTACAAAGCCAAACCAACCAAGTCTTGCTCGCTACGGAGCTCAGCTCATTAAAGTTGCCCACATCCCAGGCAGTTCAACCACCACCTTGACCAATCCGTTGGTTTTTTTTGTTTTCTGCCAAGTCTATTATTTGTTACTGAGAAGCTGTAGCTGCACAGTGGGGTGAAGATCCAAGCTTTGTGAATAATTTTTAAATCATCCCTAAAAGGCAGGCTTAGTATCTGCACAAGGACCAGAGCTGACTTGGGAGGTAAGTACAGTCTGTTCAGTTATGAACAATGCTTGATGCCTGTAAACCTTTGAAGCGCTCTTGAGCAGAGGGAAACTAAGCCATCCATCGTGAACTAAGACTAAGAAGCAAAAATGAAAGGCCTAAGACAGCAAAGGAAAACAAAACTCACCCCCACAGCATGGCTCTGTGGAGCACTTCAGAAGGAGCAGGAGGGTGCTTACTAGCTAGTCATTAAAAACACAATTAAAATGATCAAACTTTTACTACTACAGCACCCTAATAAAGCTACTCCTGCAATATTTCCAGAGGGGAAAGAAAGCAATTTTGCCATTAAACGACATGACAATATTTATAGCTTAACTGCTTCATCTTAATTCAGAATTCAGTTTTTAAAATCCTACCTGTATATAGAGTTTGGTTTTTTTAAAAACAAACCAGTTCATAATTTCACATAAAATGCAAGTCTTAAATAGTATTTTTAAATGGTAATTCTTTCTCCTGCTCTAACATTTTTATTCTAGCCAACACGCACGCACACATACACACACACACAAAATGCTTGTAGTTGCTTTGTAATTACAGATTATTATCTGTAATTTTGCCATTCTGGCAGTTGCCTAATATATTAGCACTGAAAAATATTTCTAGAGGACGCTCTCTCTCTCCCCAAAAGACATCGGGGTACAAAGGAGCTTTTGGTAACAAAAAGATCCCTTCCTTTGGAAGAAACAAGCAGGATACAATGAAAAAAGCTTTACTTCTTACATAAAACACAGTTTCCTTGAAGTCTGCACATAATTTTTAGACCATCCTGGCATCCCATGGAATAAAAAGTCTTTGTAAGTTCAACTTGTTCAATTCAACAGCCTCTGCCATTATGCAGTCTTTGCTGAAAATCATTATACCAAGAAAATCTCAAGGAAAGATGCTAATCAAAATAATGGTACCATTCATAACCACCTGCCAGGAATGAATCTTGTTTCGTTGAATACTACTACTAGTGTTATATTGAATGTAAACATGTACAGGTTCCCACCCCCACCCTGACATCCTGCAATCGCCTCTGAAGGCAATCTAAGATATAATAAAAGAATGCTAATAGTCCTGCCTTTCAGATACTCTGGGAAGGAGAGACTTGTTAAGCCAGGAGAAGAAAAGGGGAAGGTTATTCCTACAAGGTGATGTTGGAAAGGGGAAAAGGTTGAGAGCATGCACATTACTTCATATTGTTGGCTTCACCTCACTGGGAATAAGAGCTTTCAAGAATGAACTCTTGGAAAAATACCAACAAATTACACAGCCCATGTTTTATTCTATCTACTTAGCTAAAAAAAATATCCAGATAGGTATGGACACCATCTCATTCCAACACCCCACATGGAAGATAAGAGCAACCATTATCATATATTCTTTGCTATGAAGAAGCATAAAAAAATTCAAAGTTAGTGTTCTTTCAATCTGAGTCACTGTGATCATATAGTACATTTCTCGAAAAAACACCTGTGTACGCACATTTGTGCACAAGGACACGAGACCTATAGCTCCATGTGTCAACACGGTAAAAGAAAGCCAATACAAAACTATCCGTTTCTGGATCCTTGTTAACTCTAGCTTCCACTGCAACAAAGCTGCTGCTGTCTGTAGTGTCACAGAGTAGTCTGAAGTTTCAGCGGGGCACTGCAAAGCTGGCATTGGAGATCGTGAGGAGATCCTGTCTTGCGACTTCCTTCAAAGGAAGCTACATGTAGAAGAACAGACCAGTTGCGCTCAGGTCACTCCACTATCAGTGCCACGTTGATGTGGGACAAATCTATCATATGCCTAAGAAGAAGGTCAACAGACAATGGTCAAGGAACACGTTTTCTACAAAGAGCACAATAGCTTATACCATTAAGTGTAACTAAGGAGCCTTACTTTCTGCACGTTTTTATCACAAGTCCAAGACATGTTTCAGACATCACCATGTCAGTCTAATAATCCATGGTTTACTGAATGACATGCAAGCCAGGTCCTCCCTCCTTGCCCCCCATTTAGGCGCCTGACTTGAGGGCTTGTTAATCAAGTTTCCTCTGACATCCAAACAGGGAAACTGTGGTTTAAGTGCTGCTTGCACTATAGGTTTCCAGGCCAGACATCATGGGAAACTGGTTTAGCTGTGTGGAAGGCCCACAAAGAGGAGAAGAAACAGGGGATTCAATATTTGTTTGTGATCATAAATGTAACATTAGAACAGCCCTACTGGATCAGACTAAAGGCCTACCTAATTCAGTATCCCGTGTCTCACAACAGCCTATTGGAAGTTCCCAAGGTGAAACAATTCTCATCTCTTTAAGAAGACAAAAGGCTCTTGTATAGTGGTTTGAGTAGAATGTGTCTAGGATATTTTAGATATGGCAAAATTAGAATTAATATTTACCTGTGAAACTTCTGTTGAAATTTCAATGCATCAGAGGGCTCTTTAAATTTTGCTATGGCCTTCCGCTGTTGAGGAAGCATCTGTAAACTCTATGGAAGACAAGAAGAAAACCACTTTATTTTGCTTGCCTTTTAAAAGAACATCAGAGCTTTGAGTTATTTCCCTTCTCTACAAGGTGGAATCAGGCTGCTGCAGAGAATCAGAACATCATGGCTGGAATCTCACCACTTGCTGGTTGATTGAGAAATCCCATCCCTTATTCCTCTGGCCTGCCCCCGGCAGTCCTAACATGCAGCAAAAATAGGCAATTGATTGAGGCCTTTAGCCGGAATGATCATATAAAGCAGGGGTAGATATGTCAAATGCACTGGTAGTCTCTAAAAATCTGATGCTGGAACTGAAGACCAGAGTCCCAACAAAAGCATGTTTACACATACCCAGGTTTCTTTCACATACACACTCAACAGCTTCTCATGCTAAGTTTAAAGGGTGTTCCTGAAGTTGTCCTGAATGTTGGTGACCTGCTGTGTTGCACGGGGTACTTGCAAAGAGGCAACTTTGGAAGCCTTTAGATGCGGGTATAAGGAATTGTACATTTTATGAGCTTTGCCCAGACCTGGATTCTAATCATTTGAAATATTTATGCAGTCTCTTTATGAAGCCATCCTCAATCAAGCTTCTGGGATGGAGAGGGGACAGCTGTTTCAGAGAGAATCAGGGTAGATTCACACTATCGCACCCCCAACTTGCAGAGGCTGTTTAAATATATTATATAAAAAACAGTAAAATTAATGAATATAAAACAAACAAGGCCCAAAGGTATCATTTTATCTGCTGTTCTTGAAATGAATAAACATACAGTTCTCCCCAAAGATGGACAGTTGGTGGCTTCCTTCAATGAACCTGAACTCAGTGGGTTTATTTAGGTGTTATGAGAATAGCCCTGATTCTGTGGTACCAAATCAGAAAGTGGCTGGAAATTTTTGTGGTGTGACAGATAATCCAAGTGCATCCCAATCTGTTAATGGCTGTATTTAGAGTAGGCTGGATCTAAAGAATAACCCCTCTTCTTTACAATAGAGTAAGCAGGCTTAAGAAAACCTCACATTTCCCCAGACTGGAGAAACACACATACACCATAATGGAGGTTCAATTTTGGTGGAACCCCTGCACCAGAGCTTTCCAAACTGTGTGTTGCGACACTTTAATGTGTCAGTTGCAGTGTGTAGGTGTGTCGCAGACACACTCCCCGTGTTCCTCCTGGGGCTGGAAAGGAGTTAGTTTAACCTCCGGTTTGCTAGTAAAACTGAATTACCATGTGGCAAAATGATGCAGTCTAAAAAATGTGTTACCAACATGAAAAGCTCTGCCCTATACTACAGAATAATTAGCTGTATAATTAATCCTCCACCACTCAAACCATTCCAGACACCAGTTCTCCATCTTTCTGTGGAATACTTGAAAGACAGCTACTGCAGAATTCTGCTAGTTTTGAAATCTGAGCTATGCATCTTGCAAGAATAGTCCTGTTTTCAGAAGGCTACTGGCAGGTTCTCCTAATTATTACTATACAGTGGTACCTCGTGTTACAGATGGGATCCGTTCCGGAGGCCCATCCGTAAGGTGAAAAGCCCGCAACTCACAGTGCGATTTGGCGCTTATGCACATGCATGAAGCGCGATTAACGCTTCTGCGCATGTGGTGAAACCCAGAAGTAACCCATTCCGGTACTTCCGGGTTGCCACGGGACGCAAGACGATAACACACAGCCTGAAGGGGATGCAACATGAGGTATGACTGTATTGTAAGTAGCAGACACAATATTGCTTGCATTAGCAGCAAGTCCTATGTCTTTGGAGGATGCATAGTGCTACTGTTTCAACCTTTTCCTTTGCTAATTTCAAGTTCTCAGAGGACACTGACAACCCATCAAAGTCAGGTAACCAATGGCTGCTTAGTTAACATGTTTAGAACCAGGCTAGTTGAACCCAAGACCAATTTCTGCAAGTACCGTTTCTTTACTATGGACATAAAACAGAGAGTGTACACCCAGGCTTTAATACACAATGGCCAAAGCTGGACTACAAACAAAAAAAGGCAGAAATCTTTAAAACCCATCTTGAATACCAGTCTGGAAAGCAGCTATTTATTAACAGGACTACTAGCCATCAGTTGATTACAAATTTATTACAAGAAGCAAACTATGACTCATAAAGTAACAGCAAAAAACTTACATAAATATTTGCATTTAAAAATAACTACCCAATTTTTAAAAAAAAATTCAGGGCTTGCAGAACTTGAAAAATATTCTGTACAGAAACACATTTGTTCCTTCAAATGGTGTGATTAATCACTGAGCATAATTTCTCTTTGCTACTCAGAAATAATGAGGAATCCTGGGCTAACGAAATTCCATTTTCAATTAACTTTCTTTGAAGTGGGCTTACACCCATCAAAATTAAGTAAGCAATTATTTGTTCGGCCCCAAGACTAGTTGCAGACGTTCTACTCATACATGTAAAGGTAGATTTACAGGATTACTTTATGAAATAGCACTGCAACTTGGTGTTTGAATGATCAGCTGGCCACTTCAGTATTTGAAAACCACAAGCACATTTCTAATATCATGCAAAATAATCTTGCATGTCCATTTATTGCTAAATAATGATAGACAAACAGGGATGAAAACAATGGTTTTAGACATTCTAGTATTCAAACAACAATTCAGGAAAACAGTGCAGCATACAACCAGTTACACATATTAAGTGAAATAAAAACAATTGAATTTGCAGTGTCAAGAAAACTAGCTGAAGGCAATTGTTTTGGTAATGTGTGAATTCTACACTGCTATCTTTAAACAAGTTCTGGACAATGACTGTGTTCCGGTGTAACAATAAACCATAATATAACATGACATGCATTAACTGCTTCCCTCACCCCTCTTTCATCTGCAACCAACCAAGGTTTGTGCTATCTCCAAATTGGGAACTGTGATTAGTTTTTAATGCAGCTTTTCTGAACAAGCCAGGATTTTGAACCACAGTGTGGAAGTTGAATTGTTTCGTAAAACCATGGTTAAACAAACCACAGTTCTGTTCTGAACATAACAATAAACTGCAGGTACTGGAAAATGGAAGGCAGTGCTTCCAATCTCCTCACAGCCGCCTTGCGGAAGGAGAAGGGATGGCATGAGAACCGTTCATGTGGCAACAAACCATAGTTTAGTGTTATGTCAAAACACATCCATTCTCTCAAAATATGCATTTCTGCTGAGTTCAGAGAGCAAGTGACAGCGTTATAGAGTGAAAAGAAACCAGTCAATCAGTTGTTCATTTTGCAACACCATTATCTGAAATGTCTGCTCCCAATGGGCAAAATTCCTACAGGATGAACTGATGTTCCAGAAGGTGAATGACATGTAAAGATATTTCAGTTCACGCTGCAATTATATCAACTTCTAAAGCTCCTCCCAAGTGGTTCTAACAGTTCTTCCTGATGCTGGCTACGGAGTGCTTGTTTTAACTCTTAACATGATACAGAAATGTTTATTTCCCCCATTGCAAGTAACCTGTAAATTGGTCCTGTCTTGTTTTTTGGTTTTTACATAACCAACACTCATTTCTACCTGAACACTTCTGGAATGAATACAAGTTTCTTTATGAACCCATCCATAAACAAATGATCACACATTTTCATGGGAATCAAAAACATGGAAATCACTATCAAGAATGAGTGTGTGAAAAGAACATGTAATCTGTGACCTAAATACATATAAGAAAAATTTAAAAATTAAACACAAATACCAGCAGTATCCATTGGTCTTCATAGATAAAAGAAAAATGCCTTTCATCTTATTAGGATTTTTTTAAAGCTCTTAAATAATAAATTTAACAAAGGCCAACTTTATATCTGAATAAGGCTTCTGAAGCTTGCCATGAAACCTCCCAGGAGGTTTAATGAACACAAAACAAACCGAAAACCTACTTTTTAAAAAAACTCTTAGACATACACTTTAGCTTAGCAACTCTGGTAGAGGGGTTCTCTTAACATCCTTATAAAATGTATTGATGGTCCTTGTGTTCCTTTATGTAACAAAAAATAGTCTGCAGCTTGAACACTGCAACAAAGCTTCTTCTTATTCTTATTTAAATGAACACCTCCCAATCATGGCACTTTTATAGCAAGCACTGTTTAATCTTAAATTTTTACAACAGGAACCCGAGTAAACAAAGTTGTGGCGTTCGACATCACAACTTAAGCTGGGCAGGAAATCTCAGCAAGAACTTGTGGAAAACAGACCGTGGGGGGCAAAAAAATGTTTCCTCAAGTCTGCACTCTTTCATCCCCCTACCCTTTTTTTTCGGGTATGTGCCCCATTTTTAACAGCAGGAACACTATTCAGTCTGCCAGGTCATTTCCCCACTGCCAACATATAACTAGGTGAATGAAATTCTTTGTAAAGTCAATTTTCGCCACTGTGCACTGAGTTAAAAAACATGCTTACAAAAACAAAAGCCAAAGTATTTAGGTTGGGATTTTGTCTCCCACAGAACAGTCACTTATGGTGGAGAATTCCTTCTTCTCCCTGAAGGGAATGGCATGCTTAAAGGTCCATATAAGTCAACAGGAGGGACAAGTAACCATAGGAGGTCATTTCCCCGTCAGCGACATGCAGCAATTCCTCCTGTGTCAACTGGTGCTCTCCCTCTCCTGAAACTTCTTCGGCCCTGCTGCTAATAACTGATTCTCACAACCAAGTTAGGTGTCTCTCTCTCAACTACCGCAGGACATCCTCCCAGTGCTTTAGCCTCCAGCCTCCTGTGACAGCCAATTGAGGGAGAAAAGAAGAAGCTGTATTTAGCTGTTGCGCCATTTTTTAAGTCAACATTCTATATAAAACTCTCTGTGCAGACAGAGCTGGTGATATGGATTAAACCAGGGGTGAAGAACCTCCGATTGGGGCAGGCCAAATGCGGTGGTCAAACCTATCTGGCCACTGGGGCTCTCCTCCAACAAACTGCATTAATTCATAGTCAACCCAGGGCCACTTTGCGCAAAACCGCTTTGCACAAAACCACCCCAAAATCAGAGAGCCAAGCTGAGTGTACAGTGGCACATACTTCCATGTTTTGAGCGCCTGGGGTCTCAGGAGAGGGAAAGATAAGTCCTAGCCTTGGGGCTGCTGGAGGGCATGGGGAGCCAAGTATGTAAGCTAGCCATCCCACTCAACTCTGGATCTGTTTTGTTCAACGATGGTATCCAAACACTTTAAGGGGAGCGGCCAGTAAATTTTCACTTTGGGCTCCCTGCCTGTCCCAACTCATGATCCTTGCACCATACTGCCCATTGTGTTAATTATTTTTAATTACCGTATTTTTTGCACCATAACACTCACTTTTTTCCTCCTAAAAGTAAGGGGAAATGTCTGTGCGTGTTATGGAGGAAATGCCTACGGGTGGCATGCCTACGGATTTTCCTCCTCTAAAAACTACGTGTGTGTTATGGTCGGGTGCGTATTATAGAGCGAAAAATACGGTAACTTTGCCAAGTTTCTCAATGACATTAGCTAACAAGACTTAGAATGGTTTCCAAGTCACAGGCTGAAGTGTTTAGTGCTAAGCACTTCTGATAGGAAATATATTAATCTTTCAGATTTTTTTTAAAGCTCATTCATTGTTAAGTGAACATTTGATTCCTTGCACAGATTCTCTCTCATTTACCTCTTGCTGCCTGAAGGAACATTCTCTTTCCTAAAGGACTGTGTTCTCTTTATGTGTTTTGAGCTTTGTTTTACACAGTGGGACTTGCACAAACAATGTTTATTTTCTTTATTTTAACACAAGTCTCCTTTTGATTTAAAGGAAGAGTATACCATATCAATTTCTTTTTAACAATCATTTATTACTTTCTTTTCCAGGAGACTCTGCTGTGAGTTCCTGTGGTCATAAGCCTGGCAAATTCAAACAGGAAAATTATTAATATTTTGAGTAAAATGCTTCGTTTTGCATGAAGAAGAAATTAAGATAAAGTTCTTATACTAAGTAACTTGAGCCAACTATCAGCTAATAACTTACTGGACCAGCGTCTGCTTTGGGGCTTCCAAATACAGGTGCTAGGAAAACACATAAAATGGAGTTAAGTCTGCATAGCTTGGTTACATTATTATAGACTGTTCAAATTCCACTTGTGTAATACTGTAATAGAAGCATCATTTTAACCTTCAAGCACTAACCAAAATAGTTGTTCTTCTAACATTCCATAGAATACAGAGATGTATTTTGTATATGTAGCACTGTGTTTCAAAATGACTCCACAAGAGTCACTGGAGCAGGTTTCAACTACCCATGAATTGCACACTTCCCTTCAAAGTGTTCTCTCCTAAAGTTTCTTTTCAGCTTTAAGTATTTGTGTACATCTTTTTAGCAGAAACCTCCATCTATAAAGCCAGTTTCAAACATTCATTCACACACTAGCACGGCCAGCCAACTTTGGCTTTCAGCTGCTTGGGGTCATCATGGGCATGGAACTGGTCAGCCCTATTCTGTTGGCAACCGTCTGCCTGAGGAGACTTTAGGCATAAAGTCAAATAGCTGGAGAGTTACAGTGTCTGCTGTGGCTGTAGAGACCAATACAGGAGAGACATGTTTTATCGCAGGTGGCACAAATGAAGGCATCTGGTTTTGCTGGTACGGGTGCAGTGTGGAGTTTCACTGGTCAGCCTTAAGACCAATGGTATTCACCTCTTCGCTCTCCCTGTTCGTTGAACTTGCAACCTTTTCATGGAAAGCATGTGTTCTGCCACTGAGCTATAACCCCTCCCGATACAGGATTGCCTGACCCTGACTGAGAAGGATCCTGCAACGGGCCTGTGCACAGACCCAGAAATTTCTGCATTGTAAAGTCTTCCCTCCTCATGTCCACAGAATAATGAAGAATATCCTACTGTAGTGTGACAGAATGGAAGGGCAGAGCAATGCAGATAGGAGCTGGCTTGAGTCTCAAAGCAGGCAACACCTATGGTTTCTATGGTTTCCCCTGCACCAGCCACACTGGAAGAAGGTTGGTTGTTGGCAGCATGTCTAATGGGGGGCTGCACTCCAGCAACTATACTAGGCATCCACAAAAGGCTGGAGTGGATATCTGGGGAAAGAGATGCCCCCTGTTAAGCCAAGAAAACTGGTGGCCACATTCTCTCCTCTGACTGTTAGTCCTGCCCACCTCTGCTGTCGCTTTCCACCATGGTAGATCTACCATTCTTCCAAAGCCCCACTCTGTCCTTTTTTTAAAAAAAATAACAATTTATTAATTTTCAAAAAGCAAAATTAAAAAAAAAACCACAACAATATAAAAACGGTATAAAACAAAACAAATCAATCATAGCAATTCAGATCACAAATCTTAATTCGATTGACTTCCCTCCACTCCCCCTCTTGGTTCCATTGTAGTATTAGCTTATTCATGCACATTCCTAGAGCCTTATATTTTTAATATTCCAATCTTAAAACCTTAAAAGCCCCCTGTCCTGGTCTTCTGCTGAAGGCCAAGAACAAGCGATCACTTCTCCCCCCCCCCAATAAAAAAAGCTTCTGTCCAAGAATACAAAGCAAAAGTTCCACACACCAAATTACCCCCAGTCGTTCTTTCTATCATATTCAAGAGCTGATTTCAAAGAAAGGCAGAGGGCGAGTTCTTGTAAGGACTGGAATGGACTTCTGTGGAAGGTTGGATTTTGCTTACTGTGTCAGGAGTGCATGCAGGAGCCAGGCCCTGTGACCAGTAGGACTCTGCAGGACTAGGGCCTTCCTAAGTTTGTTCTGAAGAGGCAAGGCGCGGTCGCACAGGTGAGGCCAATTGGTAACTCACAGCACCTGGTGGCAAAAGCCAGGAAGGTATCTAAGGTCAGCATTTCCCTTTGGCTCTTTGCAACAGCAACACGTTTCCTGACTTGCTGTGTTTGGCTCCTTGACTCCTTGCTTCTTGATCCTTGGACCCTTGACTTCGTGACTCCTTGATTCCTGACCCTCAGACCCTTGGCTTCTTGACTCCCGGCTCTCTGACCCTCGGACTCTTAGCTTCCTGACTCCGGGACTCTCGTTCCTGCTCCCACTCCACCTCCACCATCTTGTCCCTGGTCCCGACGTCCTCAGCAAGGACTTCTACCGCCCGTGAACCAGACCGTGACATACTGGTCTTTTGTTCAGGTACTGAATATTTCTGCTGGACTGAGCACAAACCTTGTGTAGGAGTGGGGCAAAAATAGAGTCCACCAATACATGGAAATTGTGTTTTTATCTTGTATTTTTATACTGTGAACCACCCAGAGATCTGCAGATGAAGGGTGGTATACAAATTTATTTAATTAACTAACAAACAAACAGTGCTGGGGGGGGGGGGAGATGAGGCAATCTGTGTTTTAAGTTGGTTCCAGGCAACCTGCAAGGGAGCTAGAAACAGTTTTTCCATTTCTAAAAAGTAAGGTGTAAAGACTCAGGTTTGTAGGGATGCCAGGCCACTTGTTGTGTAGCCCCTTTTTCACTTGGGTAGGAGGTGTCAGGCTACACTCTGCTTGTAGTCAGAAGCACTTTTTGTATATTCCAGTTGGACAGAACCAGCTGGGTTATTTGTGGATTGCACTCTCAACTGCAACCAGTTTACTCCTAGCTCATTGCATTCTGGAAACCAAAGGATAAAATGCAGGAGATGACAAGGCACTCGGCATCGCCAGAATTCACCACCCCAAACTTCTGGCTCATCTTAATTCCTGCAATAGACTTATTTATCTGAAGCGTTTTTACTAAGCACTTGCACCAAGAAAAGGCTTTCAAGGTGGATATGATACTCCCCACCGTCTAGTTTAGAATCTATAAGCCACTACACAAAAGGAAAAGATTTGGAGGGAGTAGGGTAAAAAGAAAAGTCAAGTACAGTGGTACCTCGGGTTACATACGCTTCAGGTTACACACTCCGCTAACCCAGAAATAGTGCTTCAGGTTAAGAACTTTGCTTCAGGATAAGAACAGAAATCGGGCTCCGGCGGCGTGGCGGCAGCAGGAGGCCCCATTAGCTAAAGTGGTGCTTCAGGTTAAGAACAGTTTCAGGTTAAGAATGGACCTCCGGAACGAATTAAGTACTTAACCTGAGGTACCACTGTACTAGTTTTTAGTTACAAAGTTCTTTAACAACCAACTGGAATGGGAAGAGTTAGGAACAGGGGTTAAGAGACTAACATATAGCTGATGTGGAAAGCAGCTATAAAAACATGGCTACACCAACTCAGGATGAAAATCTGTCTCTTTGGCAAAATAGGAAAGGCAGAAACACACAAGAATTTTGTGTGTGTGTGTAGGTAAAACATGCAGGGACTCTTCACTGTTGCACAGAATACAAAGAAATGCAGACGTCTCCAAAGTAAGGTTATTCATCAGTTCATATGTAATCTTATTCTCATGCCAACCTAAAGTTCCCTACAACATGTGATGATACATCAACTTTGATTCAAACCCATTTTTAATTTACAAGCTTCTCGCTTTAAAACAAACAATCCTTACATTACCCTAAATGAGCACTAGGTTGTGCCATCACTCTAAGAATGCCAAGTGGGACACATTGAAAAAGGCACAGTCACTTTTTCTCCGCTTCCTCAAGCCACAAGGAGTCACCTTTACTTACACTGTGAAAGCACACTTGTCATGTCAAAAACATCTTTCTCTTTAAACACACTTCAACACAAAGTTTGCAAAAATAACTAAGCCACTTACAAAGAATCAATGATTAATGCATCTATCTATGATGGTGTCGTGTATTCTCTGCTCTAGCATGTCATATTAAGCATTATTATTATTTTAGGCAGTGAAAAAGTGGAATATTTAACATGAAACTGGATCGCCACCTTTACAAGGCTAGTTTTATAACTGCATTGTTTCCAAAGAATGGCGGAGTGGTTTTCACAAGCATGACACTGTGATGATAACCTGATAATATTCCCTGGCAGTGCTGCTGCAAAGAGCTGTCAGCCTTGAATTCCAGAGATTCATTTGAACATATAAATGGCCAATAGGTAACTAATGTTTCAGATCAGAGGAACCTTCCCCAACCGGGTCACTCCAATTCCCATCAGACTCAGCTGATGCTAGTTGGGTGGCTGGGAGGGAGTTGCAGTTCTAAAGGCTTGAAAGTATCCGGTTGGGGAAGGCTGGGGTGGAGTTTACTGAGTCGGCACAACACTGCAAGAACAGGCTGCTATGCCAGTACTCAACTTTCAGATTAAGGTGGAGAGGCTCAAGAAATCTTTAAATGGATGGTCCATGAGAACCTACCAATTCACATATTACCTCAACATTATAAGGAGTTTAGTACACAGCAGAGGATTCTGAGAGTAGTAGCAGATTATTTCCCTAGGGCAAAACCATGTGATTTGGAAAAAATCTATCCAGACACTTTGCATTATAAACTGCACTGCACTGATAGTGTTAAACATGCAGACATTATGAACTGGTGAACTCATTCATTGGTGTTGCAGGACTAAAACTTCCATCATTACTGACCGCTGGGGTATGGGAAATCCATCCGGAAGACAAAATGTATATCGAGGAGTTAGTGATTCTAACATGGTTACCCTTCCTGCCTCTGTTCCTTCCCCCTCCCTTGCAGCTGTTAAGTTTTTGAAGGTGTGAGAACCTTCTCTGATGTCCTAATAAGTTGGGAGGAGGTGAAGCCCCCCACACAGCTGCCTTAATCAGTCTGGGAGGATAGTGCTGGGAACCTTCTTTGATGTTGGAAATTGTTATTGGAAAGTGAGGCATGGTTTGGGCAGAGTTTTTTGGGGAAAGCCTGCGCCGCAGGGCTGTGCAAACTGCGGCTACCTGGGGGAGTCACTTCGCCACTTCTTGAGGACTTCCAAATGGCAGACAGAAGTGCAAGCCTGGTGTGTATATATTGCTTGCCGTTTAGGAATACAGTGGTACCTCGGGTTACAGACGCTTCATGTTACAGACTCTGATAACCCAGAAATAGTACCTCGGGTTAAGAACTTGGCTTCAGGATGAGAACAGAAATTGTGTGGCGGCAGTGCAGTGGCAGTGGGAGGCCCCATTAGCTAAAGTGTTGCTTCAGGTTAAGAACAGTTTCAGGTTAAGAACGGACCTCCAGAATGAATTAAGTTGTTCTTCAGAAGCAATAGAAAACACAAGTGGGTGAGAAGATGATTTTACAGTGGTACCTCGGGCTATAGCCCGAGGTACCACTGTAAAATCATCTTCTCACCCACTTGTGTTTTCTATTGCTTCTGAATCTCTTTTAAAAGAACCACCTTGCATTTGGTAAGACAGCTGGTCATGTTTGCTGTGCCTGATGGGAGTGGAATCCAAACAATACCCGGAGGGCCAGAAGTTTCCCATTCTGGCTTTTTGCCCGTACTTTCCTCCATCACAATGCAAACTTGATATATTGCCTTAAGTCTACTCTCCTTAAATAGTCCCATTTAATTCACTGTTTGAGTAGACGTGCATAGGATCACACTGTAAATTGTGCAAAGTTGTTCAAAAGGCCATAACAAAGCTTACCACAAAAAGAAATAGGTGTATGGATTGATCATGTTCCCAATGGGTTTCAAAAATATTTTTTTAAGGGGAAGCTGTTTGTATTTTGAAATGCATTGCTGGAATCTGTAACTGTGCTGGAGTACAAGTTATTTTATTATCCCTCTACCCAAAACCTTGATGAGGTTTGGGAGAATTTTTCATCTGGCAGCAAAGGAACTTCTATAGGGTTGAGGCTGAAGGTACAAACCATGGCAACTATTGAGGGTGTGAATCAGCCCTATGTACTTCCTGAGGTGTGTACAAGGTGAACAAAGATTATTTGGGTGATGCTTTCACAATCCTGAGGCAGAATGCCATTAACAAGGTCATCAGGAGTGGGTGATCACAACTGCAAATTGAAGCATTTTCCATTGCAACAAAATGCGGAGTGTAACGCCTCAGAACTACAGAGCTGGCCCTTTCTATACAACTATCTTCTGTAAGGAACACTCCTAATCTCCTGGTATCAACCAGGGCTGTTACCTGGGTTTGGAGACTGAGGAAGATGAAGATGAAGAAAATTTCTCCCCACCCCTCCCAATTTTGGGGGGTGGGAGCAAAAAAAAAAAGGCTGTGCTGTTTTTCTTCCCTCCCAAAAAATCTGGTGATATAGTGCAACAAAGCAGCTCCTCCTCAATTCCCTCGCTTCCTTGGATGGCCAAGTGGGTAGCTAGCTAGCACATCTTGCTCAGTCCACAGACAAGGAAGGGGAGAATAAGAAGTTGCTGCTCTCTTACACTATACCATAAGGTTGGAAAAACCCTCCTCCTCTATGAAACAATCTGAACATACAACCCCCCCCCCCAAATACTGGCCAAATGCTCTGCTCCCAATTCCACTTGCAACTGTGGAAGGCACAACCAAATTCTCCATTCCCCAATCTGACCTTGGGAAGAATACCTTTCCGGGGAGACAATATGACTACCAGCGAGATGCAGAGTGGGAATAAAATGGAGGGGGTGGGGGGACATTTTCTTCAGTAAAGGGAATTCTGACTTTACTGAAAGCAGGACCCAGCCTTGTGCTCTTCTTTCCTGCTCCCCTCATGGCATGTAGGTGAGCATCTGATCTTGAAGATCCCTTGCAGGATCATCTTCAGCCCTGCCTGATGAAACTACTTTCTTTAGCAATTTCACTGTCCATACTTAGAGGATATGCCGCAAATCAAACAACAGGACTCGCCTGGTTTCGGTGTGGTGGGGAAGTGGTAAAACCCAAGTACCACTTATGATCTAGCCACATGTGGGCGTGAGGGAAGAAGTCATATCCAAAAAGTTTATTGTTAATGCTCAATCTTGCTCATGATAAACACTGGAGTTAGTAAAGCAGCAGAGTCCACCATCAGCCAAAAGATGTGTTATCTAACTGAACACCCTCTTTTCCCTCTTAAAAGACTATTTTCTCTGTACTTTTTGAGGACACAGCATTTTCCTGTGAGTACGCTGAACCCTTAGCAAGAGCAGGTCTGGAACAACCATGAAAGGCATTTGTGTGACACTGCATTGAGATGAACGACACTCTGTGCTTGCTGCATCACAGTTGAGATAATTCTTTTATCTAGAAGCCTTTTCCTTTCAGACACACTGGGTGTGGGGGGGGGGGAGGGGAGGCATCTTTAAATATATGTAATTAACTGCTAAAAGCCTCCTCCTCCTCGTCCTCCCATCAAAGACATTGAGCTTTGTAAGATGAAAGATTTCTGGCACAAGTAACACAAGCCCAGGGTGATTTACCTGAATAGGTCCTACCGACATCAGCAGGTTTTTCAGTTGGACATCCGTGGTTGATGAAGAAAGCCCTTCAACTGACACAATGCAGGGCTGTGGTTTGCACTCTACCACTCGCAGATTCTGTTTATTTGGCATCAAGCGTCCTCGGCCCATCTGGCCCGCAATGCCTCTGCCTCTCCCGTGCGTAATGACCTGCCAAGAACAAAAGTAAGCTGCATTTTTTTATTTACTTGCTTTCGCCTAACTGAATCTGACAGGTAACGCGCAAGTTAGTAATTCACTTAGAAGGAGATGATGAAAGCGGAGACCGATTAAAAGGTGTCATGTTGCTGTTGGCAAATTTTACACACACAAGCTTGTTCATTGGACTGACAGCCAAACAGTTCAGACTCCCTGCGTGCTATAAATGTGCAAGTATGGAGACATGTCAATGTAACAAGGATTTCCTCTCTGGGGGAAGCAACAGCACCAGAAATGTTATGCCACTGTTTCCCTTAAGGGCTTTCATAACTGCCCAACCGTCCTGGAAACTGGGGTTTGCCGTAGCAGTTTTCATTCGCCTCCCTGGCCTTCTGATTTCCAGGGGTGTCGTCAGCTCTCCAAATTCAGAGCTTGAAAAGCTTAGCTAGTCTGCAAGACAAGTCCAATGCTAAGAGGGCAACACCCTGATGCACAAAATGGCAACGAAGTTCCATAGGTTTGCATAGCAGAGAAACTGAGCTCTCTATTAACATGATGGATGTTCATTGTGGCAGAGATCATGTTAAGTTCTCCTTAGAAATGCCATGCAGATTAAGACAGTTTCAGGTGATAAAAGTCTACTTTAACACTAAAATGACAATACAAAAAGTTGCAAATACTTGACACGCCAACTCTCTCGTCACTCCTTCTCTAGCAGCTGGCATGTTTTAACTGGTTCAGCATCTGAATAACCGTGGGAATTCATTCCTGGCTATTCTTTCAAACAAATTACAAAGGTGATTTTAATACAAATTGTGAATCCATACCTTCTTTGCCTGATGTATCCCTGGGATGCTTTTCAGCCCCAGGGGAAGTGAGTGGATCTGTGCCAGCTGGTGCTGATGTGGTTGCTGTATTGTTCCTTTTGTCAACGTGACCTTCCGCACAGGCTGATGTCTTTGGTCCAGGGGTTGCTGTAGCCGGTGATGTGGCAGGTCGGAGTGAGAAAAGCCAACGTTCTCACCACCCTGAGGGAAACAACACCACACCAGTTCAGGATCCACAAAACGCAGCACACATTTTCTGCAAAGCTACTACAGTGCCGAGTGTGATTAGTCTGCACAGGTACCATATTCTGCTAAAAACAGAAACTGGCTCAAAATTTTGGGTTATGCCGAGTGGAAATAGAATTATGAAATGGGGAGTTGGCAAAAAGCCACCCTCGCGCCCCACCCCCCAGCATGATGACAGGTTACTAGCTACAATGGAGAGAGTCTACGCAAATGTTCTTCTACATGTATAAATGAATCAAAGCCTAATATATGAGAACATCTAAGCCAGGGATGTCCAACAGGTCGATCGTGATCTACTGGTAGATCCCCAGGAGGTTTTGGTAGATTGTGGTTGATCGCTGGTTCCCTTTCCTCAGTTAAAAATATAATTGGGCCCCGCCCTCCATTGTTGCCTGATCTCCAGAACGGAAGACGGAGCTTTTGCAGTGAGGCTGATTGTTTCCTAAGTGATTTTTTGGTGAGCGACTTTCCCCCTTTCCCCCTAAGAAAATAAAAATAAAAGCTCAGCAACTTTTCCCTGAACCCCTTAAAAAAAGGAATTTGACCTGAACCCCCCCCCCCCCCGGGGTAGATCACTTTTTATTATTATTCTGTGAGTAGATCGCAGTCTCTTAGGAGTTGGCCATCCCTGATCTAAGCTGTGACTTGCATGGGTAAAACAGAATCGCATCCACATGCCAGATTAGTTTGATGACAGTGGGGGCTACCTACTGCATGCTCCTTGGGCTGTATTCCTCTATCTAGGCTTATAGTTGCTTTCTCTGGGTAACACTCGCCAATTTTAGGTTCCCAAATGCAGAAGGGGACATTTAAAATTTTAAAAGGTAGTTATGATTAAAGGTACAATGCTGAGGAAAGAAATCATGTTGGCATGTATTTATGGTTCACATAATTCACTTGGGAAATTTAGTAAAATTTTTGCTACTTAGGTGAATTCTGTAAAGGAGAAATAATTATGGCAAAAAATTATATTTACCAAAAAATATGAAATGAGTATCAGAAAAAAACCTAGAAGCCCCATTTACAATACCAGAAGGCTGAAAATTAATTAATTAAAAATGGCAAATTTCCTAGCCCAGATGGTTTATCTGCTGAGCATTATAACTCCACCATTCTGATATATATAAATATTGATCAGACGGGGCTTGTTGTTTTTTTGAGAAACAGTAAATTATCTACCATCATACAAAGGTCAATCAGTATGAGAGAGCTCAAGATAAGAACTGAAAGTCTATATTGTTATTTCTAAGTGCCAAAAGGGGATTTGATAGACTAGAGTGGTGATATCTGTTAAGAGAGTTTGAATTGTTTTAATCTGGGTAGAAATTTCAGATACTGTTTCAACTTCTATATCAAAAACTGACAGCACAAGGGCTGCTTATCTCTTGGGTCAATTTTTACTGTCTACAGCAGGAATGGGCAACATTTTTTTGCTCCATAGGCCAGATCCTTATGAGAAGTAGACTTGCAGGTCAAATCTGCATTGTTATAAGATTGTGTTGGTTATGCTATGTATTTTATATTACAAAATGTACATTTCTTTATGTGTTATATATTTATAAGTTAAGATTAATATATGTAATCATAAATAAGTTCTACCCCCACCCCCAAAAAAGAAAAGAAAATATTGCTTTTAAAAAAGAAAGAAAGCAATTTAAGATTAAGTGGGCTGTAGTGTTTTTCCTATAAGGAAAGGCTAAAAGCTTTTGCGCCTTTTTAGTTTACAAAAGGTGAGACATGATGGTGGCTTATAAAGCTGCAAATTATGGAGAAAATGGCTAGAGAATTCCACTCCATTCAAAACAGAAGAATTCAGATGTCCAATATAACCGAATGGCTGTTGTTTCAGGTTAGGGAAAATAAAGTCAAACAATACCTAACAGAATTCACTCCTACAGGATTAGTGATAGCCACTAGCTTTGCTGGCTTTAAAAAGAGTTTAGGCATGTTTAAGGGAAATCAATGACTACTAGCCAGGTTCAGGGGCATATTGAGGACCAAATATTGCAGGACACACAACTGGGGGAAGGGGTTGTATTCTGCTTTTGAATGTCCAGGGGCATCTGAATTGCCACTGATGGAAGCAGGATGTTGGACTATCCAAACGTCTATTATTTTCTAATTATGGTGTATGCAAATCTTTTTTGCCATGACACTAGATGATTCACAGAAATCCATCTTTCATCAAGTCCAAGCTAGGTGAATCCACCAAAATCCTGCGGGACCTGACATCTTTCTGCAGGGCCTGCAAGACAGAGCTGTTCCACCAGGCCTTTGGTCAGGGCGCAGCCTGACCCCCTCCTCTGGCAATCTGCACAGAATTTTGCTTAATGGTTGCCATCAATATGATTTTAATTAAGTTTTATAATGAAATGTTTTTAGAACGTTGGATTATTTTAGAACGTTGGATTATTTTGATTGTTGTTAGCTGCCCTGAGCCCAGCCTCGGCTGGGGAGGGCGGGATATAAATAAAATTTATTATTATTATTATTAAAAGAACGACTTGAGAAGGGTGTCATTCTGTTATATGTATCATTCCAAATTTTGGGACTCAATTAAAACCAGTGTTGTCCTAGAGGGGATGCAAACCTTTCTAATGATGACTGTGATGGTGATTTATTGAGTTTATATACCGCCCTATACCCGGAGGTCTCAGGGCGGTTCTAAGAGTTATGTTTATGTACATTTAACTCTGCCAAGCAGACCTGAAACTTTTGCTTAGCCTTTCACTTACTTGAGCCTTTACCAGTATATTAACATGTTTTGTGTAGCCTCCAGCAACGACAGTGCCAAGGCTGCATTTGCACAGAACCAGATAGTTCCCATCCTCAACAATTAAATGCCCACAGAGCAAGCCTTAGAACTGAGCCAATAACCAAGTAAATACATTAGCACTATTTTGGTAGATTTGCTGATCTTCAAACCTTGAAAGCCAACTTTCATTTTGAATCAAGACCAATATTTTCAGATGACCTTTAATATATTCTTATTCTTCATATGCAAAGTGATAAACCAAGAACAGGATTAGGTGTGATACAGTACAGTTAAAAGGGCAGGCGCTCTAGTCAGAGTCAATTCTTAAACTGTTGATCCGCAAAATACCAGATCCTACAGATTTAAAATGCAAACAGTGGGAAGTCAAGAAATATGCTTTCATCCCATTATTATATAAAACAGTATTGTATCACAAGTAATTTGTTACAAAAAACCCCCCCAAAAACCCCACAATCCTTGCCAGTTTTCAGTGATGGATATAAGACATTCCTAAGCTAAAGGTGTTGCACACTGACATATAGCTTAATATTGTACTTATGTGGTACAGTGGTACCTTGGTTTACAACCATAATCCGTTCCGGAGGTCCGTTTGTAAACCAAAAAGGGTTGTAACCCAAGGGGCGCTTTCAGCAATGTGGCCTCCAAAAAACTTTTGTTCGGAATCCCCCCCACCCAAGGGTTGTAATCCAAAAAAAGTTGCAAACCAGGACATGCACTTCCGGGTTTGACATGTTTGTAATCCAAAACGTATGCAAACCAAGATGTATGCAAACCAAGGTACCACTGTATTAACTTTCTATTGTCATTTGTGACTTGGAAGTCACCTTCAAAGTCCAGCTGGACTGTACAAGAAAGAACATAAAAGAATGAGGTCCAACCATCTCTAGATCAATGGTTTATTTGCAGAAATCTAAACTAATTACCTCCAGAAACTTAAGAGACCACGCATTATTGTAAAGAACATGCATTCTTTAATAAATAAGACCTTTGAAGGAGTGCCAGAATTTTGTATGCTGTGCACTCTATCACGGATATCCTGACAGTTTCACAATGAAGATGAAGTTTGTTTGCCACCAATATTAGCCAGACAAATTTATTTATAACAAATGCTTCGAGGATGTCCTGATAAAAAACTGCCCCATTGATACTGTCAGAGCTTCTTGCAATTTGACAGATCAAATCTTATTTTAATTCTTAAAACCCCGCGAATGAGCGATATCACCAGCAAGCATTCTGTAGTGAGCAAATTGATTAATCCCCTTCTATAGAAATCTCAACTCTTGATTACACCTATCAGGCGTTAAGCAGCATTATTCCAGAGTGACAACACTTGACAAATTCCCCAACCATCTCTCTCAGCCTTTGTGGCCCTTCTAGCTTGTATTAACCCTGATGAAAAATTAATTTTCCTTATCTTTGACTAAAACCCAAAATCCAAATCCGCCAAACTGGCAACTCTTTCTGTAAAGGTATTATGAAAACCTCCAAAAGATTAATTGCATGTCTTCAGGTGACATTAAATTAATTTCTATACTCATGACAGACATTTGATACTCCGTACTGAGAGGACAGATAACATTGTAAGGATACACAGAAGGACAGTAGTGGAGTGTCCCAGGGCAGCCTCTTATGAATTCTCCTTTCGATAAGGCCATACTTCACTGTCATTGGCACTGTTACCGATCTTGCAGCCCATAGACCTCACTGCACAGGTTTCTATTAACGCCGACAATGCTGTGTTTATCCATGTAATCTTTTCTAAAGCTAATTCAAAAATCACCCAACAGCGAGGGGGATGTGTTTGCCGGATAAAGCATTTAAAGGAAATAAACTTGGGTCGATTTGTGAAGTGTCACATTGTAGGGACACAGGCAGCAAAAAACTGCTCTGCAGACGTATTTTGTGAAGATGAGCGGACAGGAAACCTTGCACCACAGGACCCTCAAACGCCCGCGTGGAGAGAAAAAGTCCTTTTTCAACAAGAGCCTTTTTATAAACATTTAAAAACGTCCATTTTTCAGCCTTTGTGCGCGCGCTCTCTCTCTCTCTCTCTCTTACCGAGGGGTAAAATACTCTAAAACCAACTTGTTGAGCAAGTTCATTAGCAACTATATTTACCAACTGGCAGCTCTATAATCAATGGCAACATTGGCATGAGATGGGGCAGTATGCTCAAGTGGACTTGTCCTTACACATTCAGTTAAATGGGGTATGGAAGATGGAATTAAAAACCGAATGGAAGTTCTGGGTAGAAGTGAAGTCGTACGTCCTCCCTCAATAACTTTGCATATAGCATTGAATCTTGGTCTCCTGTTTGACTGCTTAATTTGCAAAAGGAACTACAGTAGACGCTCGGGTTGCAAACGTGATCCGTACGGGAGGCACATTTGCAACCCACAGCTCCGCGTCTGCGCACACATGGGTTGCAATTCGGCGCTTGCGCCAAAACCCAGAAGTAACCTGTTCCGGTACTTCCAGGTTCGGCGCGATGTGCAATCCGAAAACGCACAACCTGAAGCGTTTGTAACCCGAGGTACGACTGTAATCATACAGTGAATGAGGCTGTCCAGTTGTGTCCTTCCACTAACAGGAAGTGCTTTTGTCCAGTGAAGGTTTCCATCAGAAGAACAGAGAGGTAAACATTTCCTTTGATTCCCCCTCTCCCATGCCACTGTCCATGCTGTTTCAAAGCTTCCCCATCCCCCACAAAAGCCTCTGGAGCAATTTTTTTAGTGGGGCGCATCAGCAAGTATAATCTCCCTTCCCATTCTGTTGACAGAAGCCTCCACTGTATCCTTGTGTCTTCAATCAGCAGAGGGACACCACCGCAAAGAACCAAAGCCTTAGAAACGGACAGCACATACTTATTTTTACTGCCCGGGCCAGGGGAAGGATTGCAACCTTTTTGTAAACCACTTTGAGTGGGGGAGGTTGCAATCAGCGTATGAATATTATAAAATAAATAATAAACAAACCAAGTTTATATGGGGACATGGTCATGGTATCCAATTCCTAAGAGGTCTAAATGCAGAGGGAGACAGGAGCTGTGGCTCCATTCCAGCTTTTTTCTTCTGCCTGCAGCTCTCTGTGTCTCTCTCCTCTCTCCTGCAGCTTTCTTCTTCTGTCTGCTTGCCTATGTTTGCAGCCATCTCCTCTGCTGCAACCATCGCCGGAAAGACCACCACCTCCAGAGCCAAGCACATATGACTGAACTCACCTAAGTAAAATGCATGTGTGCTGTGGTCGTACTGTATACATAGGGTGGGTAACAACATTCCATTATTTGAATTATATTGACTTTCTGGTTTATTTCTCATGGCAATGCGCCTGGAACACCTATGGGGAATGCACTAGCAAGACTCATGTATTCCATACATTACCTGGGCTCACATACACTCATAATTCTTATTCCCTACAGGATGGCAGAAACAGGAGAAGATAGAAGCAGGAAAAGATAAGAGTGACTTCTTTTTCTTTTCTTTTTTCTGGTAATGTTCACAATAGCATTCAATTTAAGCGTACTACTGGAAATTAATGTTTTGTTGTTGATTTACTTGTGTGCTGTGAGCAACACCATGCACACAAAGCCCAGTGCATCAAAGGGGACTTACATGAATGCACAAAGGTGCTATACAGACTGTTCTACACATCTTCCTGGTATTTCCAGCACAATCATCCATATTTTTCCTTTCTGAAGAGAATTCATGTTATTTGAAAAACATGCCCTTCAAAGGTTACAGATATACACTGATGAGCTGTGAAAACCACAAAGATGGTCCTTGCTACAATATCTTATCTTGCCTTAGGAGGACTTTAAACGTTTAGCAACACAAAACACAATAATTTATAAAACGCAAACACGCATGCGTTAGTGACAAGTGAAATGTTAAGTTAAAATTGACCAAATTCACTGGTTTCTATCTAGTAACATAATGGGCAGAATAATGATGACCCAAACCCCTGCAATACCTTGATCGCACAAAAAATGGGTGATAAGGTTTGCCTCGTATTTTGCTTGCAATATTTGTCATGCACCCCAAGAATCTGCATATAAAGGAATGGGGAGAGCTAATGAAGTGATGATTTCTTAATACATAACTCAGTATCTTATTTTTATAACTGAAACAATTAACTCATAATTCGATGAACACTGAGAACTATCACTGAGAAATATACCTTCAGAGTCTCAACAACAGTTTACATTTGCCTTGGGAAACAGATTATGTATGGTTGTATGGTAAAAAATAATAAAACTCCAACTGGAACGGTGGTGGGGATACACACACTACTGACTTCTGTGAGGGCAAAATAAAATGGCTAAGCGTCTGTGGTTCAGAAGTTATGATGACAGACACTTCCTCTTAACTAAAGTTAGCAAATTATACTATGCAGGAAGCAAAAATGAAGTACAATTCTAGAATCTGTTTCTAACCAACTTTGCTGAGATGTAAATGTTTAGCAAAGGCTAGGAAGTCAGCAGTTACATTTGAACACATAATTTAAAGCTGAGGTTGGGTACGGGGTTGGTTTCCTCCCCAAAAAACATGACAAATCAGTTGTGACTTAAATGCTTGGCATGCAATCACAAATGCATTTCTAAAAAGGATACCAAAAATGTAGCCAGCCTTTCCCATCCCTGCTCTGCCATCGTTCCCAACCTCTTCTGGTATCCTGTGTGATAGAACAGTTTCTTGTATCTTCATCCGAGGCAAGTCTCCTAAGTATTCTGAGGTGTTTTCCAGCTGGGACCAGGATAGACTCTGCTTTCCTTTCCTGTGATGATGGAACAGCTGCTATGCCTTGGAGTTGCATGAAATTTCTAGGCAGGAGCTCTCCTCACCTGGCTACTGAGGTAACTACTCATAGCAAGAAAGACAATTGAGCAGAGACCTTACTGTAGGTTATGCAGCCCAGACAAAAGATGCCAGTACAGTGGTACCTCAGGTTAAGTACTTAATTCATTCTGGAGGTCTGTTCTTAACCTGAAACTGTTCTTAACCTGAGGTACCACTTTAGCTAATGGGGCCTCCCGCTGCTGCCGCGCTGCCGGAGCACGATTTCTGTTCTCATCCTGAAGCAAAGTTCTTAACCCGAGGTACTATTTCTGGGTTAGGAGAGTCTGTAACCTGAAGTGTTTGTAACCTGAGGCATATGTAACCCGAGGTACCACTGTAATCTATAGCTCTCTAGCCCACAATGCATTTCCCAACACTGAAGTGCCCACCCACTTGATATTTTATTTTATTCCATACACACACTCACAAGTTATAATTACAGTTTATGGAGATGAAAATACCTGGGGAGGTGGGGGGGGGGGGGAGAGAGAGGAAATTGAGATGATGCATGGTTTCAGTACAGTGGTACCTTGGGTTAAGTTCTTAATTCGTTCCGGAGGTCTGTTCTTAACCTGAAACTGTTCTTAACCTGAAGCACCACTTTAGCTAATGGGGCCTCCTGCTGCCGCTGTGCCGCCAGAGCACGATTTCTGTTCTCATCCTGAAGCAAAGTTCTTAACCCAAGGTACTATTTCTGGATTAGCAGAGTCTGTAACCTGAAGCGTATGTAACCCGAGGTACCACTGTATTACCCTTTTCAATGGCCTATCCTAATAATGGGCCACTGTACTTTAAAGAAGCCATCTCTCTACTTGTTTCAAGTGTACCATTACTACAGTGGTACCTAGGTTTGCATACATCTTGGTTTGCATACGTTTTGGATTACAACCACGCCAAACCCGGAAGTGCGTGTCCCGGTGTGCAACCTTTTTTTGGATTACGGAATTTTTTTTTGGTGGGGGGAGGCCCCATTGGCGAAAGCACGCCTAGGGTTACGACATGTTTTGGTTTACAAACTGACCTCCGGAAAATATTATGGTTGTAAACCAAGGTACCACTGTACTTTCTCTAAGACGTTGGTCCATTTTATGGAACAAAATTAGTTCTCCTTGCAATTGCTATTGATTGATCTATACAGTAGTACTACCAGTGTGCCATAATGCTTTACAGACTGCAAAAGGTCAGTTCCCTGCCCTGAGGAGGCTACCTTCTAAAATTTGACTCAGGAAACAGAGTGAGGGCGGGGAGGGGAGGAAGGGTAATTAGGGAAGCAATGAACACTTTTAGCTACAGGCGGAGTTACAGCAAGGCATGGGAATCGAGGGGCTGTGCCAAATGATTTACAGGGCAGGTGGATTTTGAAGAGGGGTTTGGGGGCAGGAAACTGCAGGTGTTCTGGGAGGTAATACCAAGTATGCAGGTCAGCAAGGGACAAAAGGAAAGTCTTTTGAGGGAACAGACCTTTGGATGGCACAGCTGGGGGACCAAAGTTCTGGCAGGAATGTAAGCGTGGAGAGGTATGAGTGGGCAAGACCATGGAAGCCCTCTGAAGTAAACAGCACGGGGCTTGGGTAGGATTGTGCTACCTATACTTACAGTAGTAGGAGCTGAAAAATACCTTGAAGTTCTTAAGTAGCACAGTTTCAATTAATGCAAGCAAGGTAGGTCCTGAGTACAATTTGCAAAATACTGAGTCTGAATGAAATCACAGCTAAGCTGTAGTCCTGCCCTCACTAACAGAAATGTGAGTTGTCTCCAATATTGTTGTGGATTTCCATATAATAGAACCGATGTTATGATCTATGAGATCACAATAAAAGGGCTATAAAAGTACACATTATTTAAACATTTTTATTGCATGAGATGAGCAATACAGATGCAAAAAACCAAAAGTATACAATAATTGAACTTTTTTGAACAGTTCTCATTTTTAGAGAGCAATACTTGCTTCCCAAGTGAAGCAAAATTTTCTCTCCCTCCCCCCCCCCACTCTTTTCATTCCTAATATAAATGCCAATCAATAGCTTGTGTAGAGTGGAATGAACAGTTGTGCTGTTTCAGCCTTTGGAGACACTATGACTACCAACAGTTGCAACAATTACATAAAACAAAGCAGAGTTTCCATATACGAAAGACCCACTAGTGCAGTTCTCCACAGAGACTAAGGTGTGTTTCTTGGTCCAGTATAAGACTCAGCATTTTCAGACGACAGAGGACTAGACATATCACTCTGAGCAAGGGAGGTCAGTCTTTGGCTAAGGAGAAATCACCCAACAACAACATAAGATGGTTGAACAGCAGTTAATGTTAAGCATTATGTAATTCCACAGTAGTCAATGGGTATCATCCAACATGTACACATGAAATTCCATCACCAAAAAGGAATATAGGGACAATAACCACAAACCTGCTTCATAAGACCATCATCACTACTCCGCCATACTAGTTTATACTGTCACAATTAGCACAATAACCTCAAATCTTAGTGCTTGCTATTCCACAGGCTAATGGATTTATTTATAGTGAAGGAAATTCTAGAAGAACCGCCCATAAGTCAGCCATCACTAGCCCACAATGCATTTTTATTTGATCTCAGGAACAAATACTAGTGTTAATATATTTTTATGTTTCTATGTGTTACAATTGTACTGGGGAGATCAGTGTAAAAATATGCCCTTCAAACCCCTTAACTGCCATCACGTCTAGGGACTGTGATGATAGAAGCTTCCTCTTCCATACATGATCCTTTAAGTTTAAGAAGCAGAGGAAGAAATAATTATTAATAGCGTCAGTCCACCTAATTCAAGGAATGGGCAAGTAACTTCATAATGGCTGGAGTAATTCCCTGGGATCAGCTCTCACCCCCAAACGTCAAAGCTTCTGCCAGTTAGTGTCTTTCTCTCTTGCAGTGACCTGTTTCTACAAAATCCCCCATTTGCCCATGTGGGGTTCAATTCTGTAGCACAAGCTTGTCACAAGTGCTTCCTTGTGCATGTGTTGTGCTTTAGTATCGCTGAAAAAAAATGTTAAGTGGGTACTAGATTTACCATTTTCATGATTTATGGGGATGCAGGGGCGAAGCCAGACAGAGATAAAGGTCATCTGCATGTACAAAAGGGATTTCAGTGACAAGGTGATCAAAGAGTTAGTGTGATGTAGAGGTTGGAGTGTTGGACTAGGACCAGAGACATGCATGTTCAAATCCCTACTAAGTCATGAAGCTCACCTAAGGGCAGTCACTTTCTCTCTCCCCAGGGATGCTGCGAGGATAAAATTGGGGATTGTGGGAAAAAGGAAGACCAGGCACCCAGAGTCCCTTGGAAGAAAGGTATAATAAAAATTGCTAATATATCATTGTGTTGTGCTGTCACTTGTGTGCAAATCGTGTGAACCCCTTTTCTGTCAAGTGCTGCTCCAAATGAAGATGCCAGTAGTACACATTACAACTACTCTAAGTTTAAAGGAAAGGCCAGTATGGCTGAAAGGGAAAAATACAGAGTCTAAGGACAGAATAACAGCACAATGAAAGCAGAAGGAAGGGGGCAAGCGGATACTGAGCCTAAGGGTGTTTAGTCAGAGGGTCTGGAAAGTAGGGGGCTGAGAGACAGAGGCAAAGGTTTGACAAGACTAGGCTCCGTTAAATACAACGGGGCTCAAATGAATAGTATTTAACTTCTTTCATGGGTTTCAGTGGGACTTGGGCCCAACCCAGAAAGACAGTAGAATGAGATGGAAAAAGTGGCTGACAAGAATTCACACTGCAGGTGGGGGATATCTATTGTTGAATGTTCCCTCATATTGAACCCTAAATATATAAATATAAATATAAATAATATAAATATAAATATAAATATATAAATGCACATCAGGGAGAAAGTTTCTAGCACAGCCAATGTTGTGTTAGTTTTTTACTTGCATAGTGATTTATGTATGGGTGCATTCATGATTCTACACTTGCAGTCTGAAGTGGTTCTGTACATTCTACTAAATTAGGCCTCTTCCACCTTAATTCCATTGCATGTGCTGATCTGGCTTCAGTTACAACTAAATTTATTTAGAAGGGGGACAGAGTAGTTGGTAGAAAAATAGGCAGGCATTGTAACAGGCTGAGTTAAGCAGGAAAAGAGCTGGGGAACAACCCAGGGATGTGAGGTTATTTCTTGTTTGAAGGAAGAAGTGTGCATTGTCTATTTCACCTATTTTAATACCCACCTAAACATTCAGCTGAAAAATCATTTAGTACAATGGTGGGGAGGGGGGATGCAACAGCACAACCCAGCTCTGAAAAAATATCCACTGCAGACCAGGTACAGAATGCAATTAAAACTATGACGCAAACCAAACACTGGTAACTCCAGAGTGATGAGGCTGGGCATTTACCCTAGCCCTGAATACTTGCAAAGGGCTCACCAGTCAAAAAATACTGCCACTCTCACTTTGCACCCAAGAAGTTCAGAGGTCATGAGAGAATTCCTGGGTTGCATACTCTACATCGGCTAGATTAAGGGGGGGGCTCCCCTACTGAGAAGACCTCACCAAAGAGACCCCAAAATAATACAGCTAGCACTGAAGACCAAAAGCAGTCCTTAGCAGACAACGCAACAAGCTTGAAAGGAAGCAGCAAAAGCAGCGAGTCATAGCAGCCATTCAGCCAAATAGTAGCCCAGTTCTGAATGGCCATTATCTAAAATCATCCTCCTTGGCAAAGACTTCCTACTAAAAACCTGTTGCCAGTCCAAAAGGCAAATGACATGATATGAACACTCCTCTGAAGAATGAGTCACAGCAACTGAAGAGCATAGTTTCTTACTTATCAAATCAACAAGTAGTAGTATGAATGCAAATTTAACACAATTTCTAAAATTCTCTTAAATTTATGGTTACTCTGGAAACTTCAATGTAAGCCAGACAAAGAGGATGAGACACACAAAGATATTTGAGAGAGCTTTTACTACAACGTTGATATATGCGCCCAAGAAGCAGAGGCAAAGCAGAAGCATTGTTCTGAGCAAACAACAGTGAGTTAGGAGGTTGACTTCCTAGCGTAAACTTATCCCAGTGTTATCCCACCATATTCTTAGCAAGTGTTAGCAAATCTTGTGTGTCAAAAGTCAATCTGAAAGTGCCCATGTTGTGTCACTGATGTCACGATGTATTAAAAAAAATTCCACTGTGAATGACAGCATGAATTTGCTAAGATTAATTATGCTTTTAAATTTATTTGTGCTCTGCTAAGTCAATATATTATGTATGTTTTATGTATACTGACAGCTATGTCCAACCCTATACAAAAAAAAGCTTACTCAAGGTGGCTTACAACAATTTAGAATTCTTATTATTTTATATGGTAGCTTCTATGAGTATTCATTACCTAGACAAAACAAAGTAGTTCGTTAATGATCATACAAGTTTTCATCAAGTTTGTATAAATCTGAAAATGCACAGAACCAACAATTCTGAGGGAGAGAACATGATGCTTTCTGAAACAACCTATCCAGAAGTAAGGTTTACTGATTTCAGTGGAGCTCACTCCAGAGCAAATCTGCAGAACTGGAGCCTAACAACCTGTCTAGAAGTGCCCAGTGTCTTGGTGGTGGGGTAGAATAATCTTTTTTCCTTGCCACACCAACGCCCTCCAGAGACAAAGGTGCTGGCACCCCAAGGATCTGCAAGTCTCCATCAACATCTCTCCATCTGATGTCCACAAGGACAGAGAATAAAGAAGAGGGAAGCAAATGGCAGGCACCAGTTTAGGGGAGAGAGAAGGGCTCTCTCTTCTAAAATGGCACCTAATTAATCAGGGGCACTTTTTTAATGGTCTGGAAGGTTAATAGATGAACCTATTTGATCAAACACTGCAGCCCTCTTTTTAAAAAAAACTTCTAATACACAGTGTAAAAATGTAAATGTAAGTATATATTTTGTGCTCAACTTCCATGGTACAGTCTTCTTTGGGCCAAAAATGCAGTAAGGAAAGAGGTTCTCCATTTCAGTATTTCTGTTTGAAATGTTCAAAGCAACCTGCAGATCAATGAGTAAGTGATCAGGATTCCTGCCATGTGTGCTATTTGCATAATAGTTCTTTTCTCAAGGCAGAAAACTGACTTTTGACTTGCAGGGAACACGTATCCTTAACCACAGCATAAAGGCAGCTTGAAATAAGAAAATTCCTAAATAGAGAATATGGTTACAGAGAACAGCAAGCACAGGTGGGATTACATACACTTGTGTTTTGCCTCATTCTCATTTGCTACAACAGGGGTAAAGGTAAAGGTAAAGGAACCCTAGGGAACTGGAATTACGTAGCAGGCCAGATCCTTATCTCCCCTACCCTGCACAGGCCAAATTTGACAGGTGAGTGGGAACACCACCTGTTAATCACCTAATGTCACAATGGTGATGGAGTGCTTTGTACCACTGATCAGCTGATCATTGGCAATTCAGAGTGCTGAGCAGGAATTTTTGCAAGCCCATTCAAGGATTGGCTAGCTAGTTACCCAGTGGGAACTCAGTAGTGCAGCCAACCCCAACTGGCTTGCTCTAACTGCCAATCAGTAGCATCTTCACCTGTCCCTCACCTGACATCACATATGATGTCAAGTGTGCGACTGGGGCAAGTGGTTTGGAGAAAACAGCCTTATGGGCCAAACTGGGATCTGTTCCCAGCTTAATTAAACCCATAACTCAGGGATCCCCACTCCTGTGCTACACAATAGGAAGCTTTGGTGAGCTGAATGGTCATTTCCCATGAATATCTGTGCACCCGAACTGTCCTACCTGACAGTTTATATGTTGCATGCCAATCTACCACCTTATACATAGGTTTTCTATGTGAAAAATAGGGAAGCTGATATAAATGATATGTTTCATGAACAAACGTGAGCAGGGTTGTGCTTTCATAATACACTTCTAAAGGAGAAGAATTATGACTTTTCTTCAAACTTCTGAAAACAATGGATTAAAGATCACAATGTCCAGCAAATGCTGCAGTTGGCTTTGCAATAACATGCAATGGCACAGCTGTGCTGAAAGCACCAACATCAATATTCTTGTCAATGAGTCTGAACAAAAGCAAAAATGGAAACACATCTTCAACAGGCTGGTAGTTCTCAACACTTTCAGAAAGAGCTGCAATACCAGAAGATCAATATACTGTTCAGCCAGAACATGATATAGCTGACCTAGATGAGTTCAGATTTTGATGGAACACTTACATTCAAAACCTTGACCCAAAGGAAGAATACATAGATGCCTCAAAGGAGAATTACCAAAACATGCTCTAGGCAGGACTCAGAACTAGACATTCAGCAGGATTTGGGATGTCTACCTAACAGAGGGCTCTGACAGACTTAATCTTTGTGTAAGCTTAGACTAGCAAAATTGTCCAGACTGTCTCCCTTGCTGCCAATAACTCCAGTTTTCTCTGTGCAGCATGTGGAACAAAGTAACATGGTTGTAACTTTCTGACAAACTATTGAAAATTTAATCAAGCATCTTGATCTGAGTTTTCATGCTTAGTAGCAATTTTCTGTACAAAGGAATGTAGCTATACACCTGCCTGCACTGGAAAATTGGCTCACCCCTATTTAGAAGTTTAGAGGAAGATACAGCAAGTCCCTTAGGAACTCTGCAGCGTGAAATATGTCTGTGTATTGCAACAAGAGGAAATATATCACCCAAATATACCTAGCCTGATAAATTAGTCCTGGCAATACCCTGCACTCACCTGCTTTTTACTCACAAGAGTAGCTAGTGGAGAATAAGCAAAGCACTCCATTCTTCCTTTCCCAGCCTCTCTTGTGACTAAAAAACAGACTAGCAAAACACTGTACTAACTAGAAATGAGCACTCTCTTCCCACTCCATCAACTCACTTGTTTCTATGCTGAGTGCTCTGTGAAGTCATGGTAAATGGTCAGATCACTCTGCCCCTTTTCCAATAGTCTATGGTGTTTCTATGCTAGTTATGCAGGAAGCAAAGTCTGTCCTGCATGTCAAGGCTCCACCATCAACCTGCTGTGTTTCTGTGCTGGACGACTAAGTGGTGATACTCCTTTCTGTGGATCCAATAGGTTGTCAGCAGAGGCATCAATCGTTCTAGATCTACCCCCAGCCTCCCGTGTGCCCATGCAAGAAATGTAGGAGTTTCGCCTGCTGAGTGACTAAGCACAGCAGTTGGAAACCTCCAGCCCATGAGCCTAATTAGGCCCACCTCTGAATTTGGCCCAGAAAGCCATTTTGGGCAAACCATGCCCCCTGGGCTTTTCCAATCTCTTATTTCTGATCTTAGTGTGGTAGTCCCACAGTATTTAAGATCAGAGATAAGTGTGGCACTGTGGTACTTAACATTAAGATTGAAGATAAACATCTGCTTCTAACTTTTACCCTCAAAGGGCATGCAGAGGCCTATCTCCAATCTTAGAACTATGGGACAGCGCTAAGATAAGAGATATGTCTGTGCTGATCCACTGGCATTACAGTTGCCGTCCTATGAGGTTGGGTGATTGGTAGGTTGGTGGCCCTGACCACCCTTCAAAACTGCTTGCAGGTGGTGGGCTTTGCCATCCTTAGTCTACCATAAAAACCCAGAAGGCAGAGAGAAGGAGCACTCTACTCTGCCGCCAGCTCTCTCAGTTGCAATGATGGATGCATAAGAGGGAGCTTCACTTCCTGTGCACCCAGTACAGAAACCCAGCAGGCTGCTGGAGAAGGAATGAAGCACTCCATGCCTCTGCCAGCAGCCTGCTTGCTTTCTCTGTCAAGTGGGGAATGGAGGGCTTCCTACCCTACAACCCTATAATGGGTTGTCAGCAGAAGGGCCAAACACTGGGTTGTTACCCACGCTGGAAGGAGAGAAGGTGAATAACCCCCTGCTGTCCAGAAAATAAATGCAGGTGGTTGCTAAAGGAGGGGCTGAATACTCTGTTTCCTTTCTGCAACCTCATGCACCTATGTCAAATTTCTAGTTGCCTATGGCGACCAGGCAAGTGGTTGAAAAAAGATTGCATATATCTGCTACACTGAATAACTGCAACAATTTGTTGTGGAGACTTCTTGTGCTGGTATATATGATTTCAACAATCCTTTAGTTTTTACCAGTTGGAATTAAGATTGCTTAGCTATTACTATTGATAAAGAATATAAGCCTGTCAAAATCTTGTAAACGAAAGTGATTCCTCAAAGGATCACTAGAATCTGAGCTGGAAGAGATTCCCATCTGATACTTTAAGGCAGGATACATTGGCCTCAATCCAAAGCAGCTCTATGCACGTGAAGGCTAGGACCATGCACACTCAGCTGGAGCTCTCTTTGAAGTTCTTGCCACAGCATCTCACACTGCCAAGGAGGCATGCCAATCTGCAATTTAAAAAGCAACTTGCCTCTTTAGCAGTGGGAGATGTTGCGGCAAAACATTTCGAAGAAAGCACTGCTTTCAGGCAGATGCCTCTCCTGCGCACAAAGCTTCTTTGTATTTCAACCTCCATACATAAACCGTCCCTCAAATGCCTGTCCAACCTTTACAGGACAATCTCCAAGGAAATTCTACAGCCTCTCTGGGCTTCTTACTCCCCTGCTGAACTGATCTTACAACTAAGCTGTAAGGAACATCTTAAAACAACTTCTCTGCACTCTGAACTATTTCAGTCTGAATCCTAACAATTTAACCATAGTGGTTAAAAAAGGTGGGAAACAGAGCTAATTATTTTTCTGGAAGAAAAACAACACCACTGCATGAAACAAACTAAACTAATTTCAGCTCACTCCTTAAGTTATTTCCAATGCTGTCCAACTCCACGAAACTGGATGAACCTTTACTAAAGGCTCAGAACTAAATAATGCCTCAAATATATCCCAAAGAATATTTCTGCATTAGGAGCAGATAACTTGTTTTGGCCAGTAGGCTGTTTGGCATATCCTGCCTGCGAGTGGACGAGAAGTCATGTTTGCTATGAAAAGGACTGCACTACAGAGTCTCATTTTTTCTGTTCAGCATGTGATACACACATAAACAAAATAAACCCTTAGCTAAGTTCTACTTAGTCTTTATCAAGTCCTTTCTGTCCACTTCTATCGGAGTACCATTTATATGCACCCTGTGCTGAGGTTGTTTGCTGATGCACAAAACAGGACAGAATAACCTACATGGGGAGGGTGGAGAACTCCAAAGTGAAAGCTTTCCTGGCTACTATCCTGTGTATTGCAATACCAACAAAATCTGAGTCAGGGCAGAAGCCTGAATGTAATTTTATTGTGAACTAGTTCTCTGCTACTTGAAAAACAAGGCACACAAACTTTGCTATTCTTGTCATTAGGAGACAGGGAGGAAGGGTGAGGGGAGAGAATATGGTTAAACATACACATAACTTCCCTTCAACTTAAATCCATTTCCTCAGTTCTCACATTTCAAAGTCCTTCAACAAAGTTTCTTATTTTCTTTCTAGAAGAGGTATACACAGCTCTTACGCTTTATTCCTGAAAAATGCTGCATAAACCGCAGTTTATAACTCACTATTTCCTGGCCTTAAGGGGGATTTTACATATTTGCTACTTTCCCAAATGGAAATTATTCCTCAATTTATTGTCCCTTTTCCTAAGGTCTGGCATTCTGTTACCTAGTAATCAGGTAGTGACCTAAGCACAACTAAGTAGAGAGCAACAGCCCATACATAGGCTTCTATCAGAGGAACAAAGGAGGGAAGATCTTCTGGCCAAAACCACAAATTGTTAGTGTACAGTTCATCATTCACTGCCCTTTTTGGGCTGTGGTTAGTTACCAAATGTTTTTGATTTGGATCAAAATCAAATGAGAACATTCTATTAAGTCACCAGCATGTGGTCTGCCTCCTTTATGCTACTTGTGCTTACCCTGATCACTTGATCCATTTGGCGATCAGTTCAGCAAGACCATTCAAGATTACAATATGGGGAAACGTACATGTATGATATTAGGGGAAATGATTTAAAATAGCTATACACAGCTGTGACAGTTCAAAATTAACAGGAATATTTGAAATGTGGGTTGTCGTCCCCCCCAAGCCTGTGCTTATCAATCTCCATTTTCTTCGGGCCTTTGCAAATAACACCAACAGGACAGACAGGGACCACAAAAAACACAAGAAAACAAAAGACAGACAAGCCTGGTAACTTACCCCTCCTGACAATTTAATCACCCTGACTTTGGTGCCGACATGGGGCCCATCTCCACTACCACTGTTTGCCCGCTGCATGACAGTTCTTTTCACCCCAGGCTTCAGTTCCTGAGGCTGGCCTTGTACTGATGCCACACGAGCAATCTGGGACGGGTTCATGTGGGCTGCAGGTGGCTTTGTTTGCAACCCTTTGTATGGCAGCTGGAGCTCATTTTCGGGCACTGTCCTAGTCTGTCTTAGCTGCTTCACTGTTTTTATTTGCTGTCCTTGAAATTGTGCATTATCTCCAGCCTGCGGAATATTTGGGGGCTTAGGCTGAAAAGCAGGGGGGGTTGGAGCTACTGGGTCTTGCTTTTTAACCATCAGCCTGCATTTCACATTTTGGCGAGGCTGTGCACCAGGAAGGGGAAGCAATGGATTTCCATTGGTGGGCAACTGTGAAGTTTCTTCCTCCTGTTGTTGTGTTGAAGACTGCTGCTGCTGTGCAAGCCTTTCAAGCAACTCTCTTTTTCTAGCTCCAGCCTGAAGTTGCCGCCTGAGCTCCTTTTGTTTCAAGATCTCTTCTCTTAGGCGTTTCTGTTCTTCTATCTTTAAACGGTAGAGCCTGGTTTCTTCATCTTCATCAGGAAACTACAGAACATCAAAGGAAACAAGTTATAGGGATAGTAACTCCTATCCAGCTTTGTCAAATTTGGTTTTGCTTTTAAAAAAGAGAGTGCATTGATGGCATCCATTCCCAGGAGCATCTTAAATCAACTGAAATATGGTGCTAATGCTTTTAAATGACATAGCTACCATGCAAGTTTATTACTAGGCAACCTATGAAGAGTCAAAAAATACATGACTCTAGTTTGGACTTTACTTAATGGAAAAAAAATCAGAATGCTGAAACTGAAGCCTTTTAAATCGGAACTCATTTAGAAGTTGCTGAAACCAATTAAACTATTAATATAATTCAAGATCTCAAAATATTGTTTCAAATGGAAGCTGTAACAATGCAGAGGCAGCCCACTGTCACATGGGTTTTATCTTGCTCTTTTCTGACAAACTAACAAAAGGTAGGGTGGTAAATGACCTGAAAGGCCCTGATTAGAACTATTGATTTTTCTTACAGAATTTTCAGCCTGATCTGAAACTCATTTGTCACACAATAATTGGTTATAATGAACAGCACAAGTCAATCTCTCTGACCTTGAACTCATGCACTCTCTTCAGAATTAAAATGTTGCCAAATGCAGTGTTGGAATATTAATGGTATATCAGGAATGCCTTTAATATTCCAGCCTTAAGCTTTTCTGAAAGTATTATACCCTTTGTGCATCAAATAACCTTTCTATAGGGCCTAAAATTCTGGCAGAAAACACATTCTTACAGGAAGCTACAGGGAAATCAAGAACATCAAAAGAAAGGCTGCTTCCAAGTGTTGCTCCTGAGTTTGCAAGTTTCAACAGGACAAACGTTAAAGGATAATATAATAGCCTAAGAACTGTTCCTTATTAAACACTACAATAGTTTAACCCCCTAAAGCACCGACCGGATATGCTTTATTTAGTATACATCTTGAGGAAACCTCATTCGGCACACAGCAGCTTAGATCACCAGCACTTGGAAGCAGTGAAAAAGTGGAAGATCCTGCACCATGGAATCAATGTAACATTGCTTGAACTAGTTTCACTCACATATTACTTTCACAAAGATTCTCTTACGCAATGTTCATGTTTAATTGGCAGGTAAGGTGTTTAAAGAGTCATCAGCTGAAAGTGTATGCAGGAGAAACTGGAACCTATCAGTTACATTTGCATACTATTTCGAATTTGCTAGGCTCGTCTTAATATCTGAGTTCCCCTAACAATGTGAGTAAACAGGTACCCATTCCCATTTACCATATTTCTAACTCAGATTAAGATGCTACATGACTCTGTGGCAGAGTTGGCATTGAACCCAAGGGTACCAGATCTAACTCTCTGCCCACGGGACCACACTTGACTTTGACCATCTGAAACAAAAAACTGAGAACACTGAAGATAGCCATCCATCCAAAATGCAATTAGCCAGCTTCCCATCTCGCAGGGTAAAGTACTTTAGTCTAAGTTTTACAGGCCTATTTAACCTAAAGTGATCTATTTCACTGAGTATAGTTACTCTATATTCTGTAACAACTGATCAGAAAAAACATCAGCATTCAGTAGTTAGCATTTACAGTGACAAACCATTGATATTCATCATTCAAGCCTATCTGTAAGGGATAATAACAGGAATTAGCAGCTATATAGTTCTTTAGAATATTCAAAGCATTGTCTCAGTAATTTTTACAACAATCCCGCAAGGTAGACTCAGTATTATGCCTATACTACAGGAGAGTGACTGAGGATAAGACACCGTGTCTCATTTAAAGCCATAAAAGCTCAGTTTGCACATTATGCTAAGTCAAACCATGGCTTAGCATGAACATTTGAATGTGCAGGCTCTCAGAGATTGTGGCCACTCTGCTCCTCTTACTGTTACTGTACAGTGGTACCTCGGGTTAAGTACTTAATTCGTTCTGAAGGTCCGTTCTTAACCTGAAACTGTTCTTAATCTGAAGCAACATTTTAGCTAATGGGGCCTCCTGCTGCTGCCGCGCCGCCGGAGCACGATTTCTGTTCTCATCCTGAAGCAAAGTTCTTAACCCGAGGTACTTAACCTGAAGCACTATTTCTGGGTTAGCGGAATCTGTAACCTGAAGCGTATGTAAGCCGAGGTACCACTGTATTGAGCTCCACATGTCTAATGAACCCAGGTTCATGGTTTAGCTCTCTCCACACAAACTATGAATTGTAACCAAGATTTGTCCTGTGGGTTACAGCCAGTGCTTCGTATGGGACAGCTAAACCTGCTCATATAACCTGCTAAGCCAAAGCATGACTTAGTCTGGTCCAGCACAGCAGAACCAGCAGATGAGCAACACAGTCACAATCTCCTCTCAGGGAGCCTGCACAATTGCTCTGTGCTAAGCTATGGTTTGGCTTAGAGCTACATGCAACTGAGTTTCAAGAAAGTTCATTGCGGATTCTACCTAGGGACTTTTAATAGAACTTTCACAGTAACTTCGTTCTCCAAAATCACTCAATGGTATTCAAGAGATATAGGCAATTCTTGTTTCCACAAAAACAGAATTTCATTATTTAATATTATCACTGCATCTTGCCAACAGACAGGATAACATTGGGCATGGTTGACCCATGACCTGTGGACCACATCTGGGTGGCAGAGGGGAAGAGCTTCCCATATACCCCATTCCGAATGGACTTCTACTTTAGGCTCCATTTTCTCATTCCAGTAAAGCACACACTTGACTCTCAAGACTGGTGACAGTGAGCTCCAATTCCTGATCATGGCTTACAATAAGAAACTTTTGCTGTAACAGATGTAAGTATAAGTAACAGGTGTGCCTTATGTTTTTCAGCAGATGAGGGAATCACCAACATATAAGTGGATTGTGTGTGCTGGTAAAGGCGTTTCTTCTATCTCTCCAGTTTACTCATCTGTGCCTGTCTGGAAACTAGGATAGATGCAGAAAACTATGTTACATAGATAAACAGAGCCTTACCTCTGGCTCAGATTTGATCTCCACTTTAGGTTGTGCCACTGGAATAACTGCTCTAGGCTTTGTCTCAGTCCTTCCCTGTTGGTTCTTCACACTAGCAACAGGCCTTGCAGTAGGCATGGTACTGGTAATGGGTTTTACTTGAGCAGCAGGTGCTGAGGTTCTTCGGTTGTTAGCAGCCTCGATTGCATGCAAAGGTGCTATCGGCAATTCCCGCAAGTTACTGTTCCTTGGAGCAGGTGACTGGAGTTGCTGATTTGGACGCTTCACCATGTTTTGTGTTGGTGTGTTCTGAAAAAAAATCAACATTAAAAACCCCCTGATAGCACTGAGTTTTTAAGCATGCAGATTCTGCTGTAGCTTAACTGATAACATATGGAGATTCTGAATCACCTTTCTTTGTGCAGTCATTTCTATAGCAAATGCAGGTCTATAGTCCCCTTTGCCATGCTAATGGTACTAACAGCCTTGGATAAGCTTTGAGGATTGGAATCTTCCAAAGGAAGAGCAGACAAAGCAACAGAACAAACAACTAGTCAGGTGTTATCTTTTTCCCCAGCACAGAATTTTCTGCGGCAGAGAAGGTATCAACCCTGCAGAGGGCCTCAAGAAACACAGGTGAAAACAAACAGAGGGACAAAGCAGTGCTAAGCAGTTTGAAAATTCTTTAGCACAGCAAAGGAAAAAGTCAACCATGGATTGACAAAACTGCAGGATTTGTGACTAGAAGTGAACAAATGTGGCCAACTTCACCTCCAGACACAGCCTTCCTTAAATAATGTTTCTAAGCAAGCAAGCAAGCAAGCGCGCGCACACACACACACACACACACACACAGCCAGTCCTACACATCCTTGCCTTCTTTTCTTTCAAAACTTTGCAGGCAAACTACATGGCAAAGTCTCTCCTGAACTGTCATCACTTCTTTGCTGCACTCTCTACTGCCAGTTAACCTGCTCAACATCATCACTGCAGTTTGGAAGCCAATCCTTGTCCCTTTCCTTTCTCACTTTGCCCCCATGTGTCTTAACTTCATTGAAGCATTGGCAGTAGGGCTATTTCTGCTTTCTAGCTATCACTGCTAGTACTAAAGAAGTATCACTCAGTAACACAGGTAGGGCTGCAATGAATCATTTGCCTGCTCACTACTGGAATGTTCAAATTGCGCTCCCTTGGAAGGGGAGAAAGAAAGAACCCTTAACATGGCATTGAGAAAGCTGCCCATGGAAATCTCTTTTCCTCTGTGCTGCTTTGCACAGCCCAATAGTAGTAAGATTACTCGGCCTCTCAAGCTCAAGATAACAATCTCAAGACACTGTCCAAATAAGAGTGTTCTTTTGATACTAAGCAAATACTTAGTAAGCAAGGGGTGGGGTTAATGGGTTGTTGTTTTTATTTTGATTATATATTTTGTGGTTTTATATTCTGATTTTGTTCTGTGAACCGCCCTGAGACCTCCGGGTATAGGGCGGTATATAAATTGAATAATAATAATAATAATAATAATAATAATGCCAAGGCAGACGAATTTAGCACGGAGGGAGCGTCATAGAGGCCATGCAAGAGATAAGCCACAACACTAATAGTGTCACACCATACAACAGGGGGATCTAATCTACAGACCTGCAGGTAGCTCTTCAAGAGGTTTGTATTCGCTCTCAAAACACACACACACACACACACACACACACACTCCCCAAGCCTTCTCATTTTTTAAGAAAACTACTAGGGTTTTTGTTATTTTTTATTTCAGGCAACAACTGGGGTTTGCATTCCAGGTTATCACACACATCAGTGGAGTGCACATAAGCCCGTCCCGCCCCCTTCTGGGTCCAAAAACAGTTTGCACATGCACAGTCGTGTGTTCTTTGAACATGCGCAAAACAGGAGTTTTCTGTACTGTATTTAAATGTCACTTACATGCCTGGCCTTTACCAGACCTTGTCGTTGCTGACACTGCATCCGATTGCTGCTCGACTGCTGCTGCTGTGCCTGCATGTGAGGTCTAAACTGGGATGGGGCAACAGAAATCAGAGGCTGGGGGGGCACTGCAAGGAGGTGGTGCTGCTGCTGGTGTGGCTGGTGCTGCTGGTGTGGTTGATGCTGCTGGTGATGCTGCTGGGCTGTTTGTGGATGCTGCTGATGTGACTGCGGATGCTGCTGATGCGGCTGTTGATGCGGCTGTGGGTGGTGCTGTTGCGGCGGCTGTGGATGCTGCTGATGCTGTGCCTGCAAAGGAGGGTGCAAGGGACCCTGCACATTTTAAAGGAAAGCACACATGAGCTGCAAACTTCAAAAAAGGCCTGCTCCTAAACATTCAAGCTCTAAGTAGCTAATAGGATTTAACCAGCACTCTGTATATCACAATTACTATAACCAGCAAAGAAAAGGCCTTTATTAATAAGCACACCACCACCCAATTCGAGTCTAAAGTTAAGTTAGGCTAAATTAAAGTGCTGTACTGCACATAAGCATTATGTTTCGGCTGTTCCTTTTAAAAAAATAATAATGAAGAAGTCTAACTGGAGTCTGAACATTTCCTACAATTACTAAAGCACAATGGTTAAACTTTAAAGAAAGCTTAATAAGTGAAAGGAATGCACGATACCAGCCATTGTGTATTTATTAGTATCCTCAAATGAAAAACAATAGTACCAGCAGAGGGTGCTCTAACCTTTGTGGTGAGCTAATATGGCTGTTTTCTAGATGCATGCTTAATCTATTCACTGTACAGGAACTTGTTTTTAAACAATAGATTATTTTCATATTTCTTCTGGAATAAATCAATTTAGGAAACCATAGAATATTGAACAAAATGTTGCATTACAAACTTTTCTAATCTCATTAGCTGTGAACAGCCTTGCAAAAATCAAAGCAGTTTAATATCTTCACTTTGAAGCACTATGCCAATACAAAGTTGCCACTAAACCTTGTAATTCAATTAGCACTGGGCACAGGGGGATAAATATGTTTTCATGCTTGGCACAGCAATAAAAAGGCACATTTAAATTTCATCTATATTTTGTACCATCAATTCAAACATTAAACATTCAACTCTGTGCACAGGAGAACTTCTCAAAGCTTTCCACACTTCCCTGCATAAGCAACAAACGGTTTGAGGCTCTTAAGGAATAGGTAAGATGAAAAAAGTAAGCACCTGCACAAACTCACTTTATTCTTAGGCCCACAGCTAAAAAGATCAAGAGAGAGGAGGGGGTCAACTAAATGTGTTTGTTACATGCTTTAAAAGTCTCTAAAAGAGGGCAAAAGGATACTGCAAAAAAAACTGGTCATTAATTTCAAAGCACTCATCAATACCATTACCATACTTTTTGCAGCACTTAGGGGACGGCAGGTCTAGGTTCTGCCCTGCTGATCAAAGTGGTATGAAAAGTGTGCTAGAGTAACAACTTTGGGGCAGCTTTGGAGGCATTGCACTTTTGGGAACTTAGGTTAAAGCTGTCACAATATCTCTAAATGCAGATTCCTAGGAACTCTTGCTTTCATTTCATACCTGCATGTTGGGCTGCGTGAGAGTTGTCAAAAACGGCTGGCCTGGCACCTGCATGAACGACTGCCTAGGAGGGAGGAAAGGTCGTGCATTTGCTGCTCCAGGCTGGTTGAAGTGAAGGACTCCCACGGGGCCCTGCGGCTGAATGTTTGGCCTCACCATCCTCTCTCTGGGGAACATGTGCTGCTGCCCCTGCTGGTTAAAACCTGGTCCAGGCTGACTGAAAGGGTGCGGGTTTTGGTTGGGAATGGGGTGGGCGCTGTTGAGGAGTGGGGGCGGTAGAGGAGGAGGAGGGCTCCGCTGCTCAAACAAGTGATGGCTGGGAAATCTTGGCTCTGTCAGAAACAAAACGTAGTCATAAAACCAATCTATCCATGGAGCAAACTGAACAGCCTTCCTAGTCCTCACACCCCTGCTTCAGATAACGCTCACATAGGAAGCTGCAATATTAGTTTAAATCAGTGTTCCCCAACCTAGCGCCCTCCAGATGTTTTACAGTACACCTCCTATCAGCCCCAGCCAGCACAGCATACAGCAGAATGGTGGGAACTTGAATCCAAAACATATGGAAGGCACCTGGGTTGAGGAAAGCCAGGTTAGATTATTGGGTCCATCTAACCCAATATTGTCTGCACGGACTGGCAATGGCTTCTCCGGATTACATGAAGAGGTTCCTTTAGCATTATCTGCTCCTTTTTGTTGGATCTGTGCCACCTTCTGCATTCAAAGCATGTGATTTGCCACTAAACGAAGATCCTTTCCTCACAAAACATTCTAGACTGCACATATGTTACAAAGGGGGCGGGGAGAGATACATACTTTTGCTTCTTTCATCACTCTCTAAGAGCCTTAGATACCTGGAGTAGATACCTGGGTTAGAGAGGACCACTAGGTCCCTGTAGTTCAAAACCCTTCTCCAAAAGAAGGAGGAACGCTCTCCCCCCAATCAACCCACAGAATCCAGGTAAGTCCTGCAAGCAGAACTATTCATGTCTTCATGGAAAATCAATAGGGAAAAGACGGTTTCAGTAGGAAGTCCTGTTGCTTAACTGAAAGCAGCCATCAGCAACAACTAACACAATTAAGGGTTGTACAATGAGTTACAATGGAAGAGAAATCCAAGTTGCGTCTGTGGAAGTTTTCACCACTTTTTCAGTTGACACCTTAGAAGTTTTCTTCTTACATATATATTACAATAATGTATAAGCCAGTAAACATGACTATGTTAAAAATTTACATGAGAGAATCGGATAAGTGATCCTGTGGTACCTAATTGCTAAATCCCAAGCTCCAGATATAGGAGGATTTGCCAGTTTCAACAATGGCCTAGAAGTGACAGATGGGAAAGTGACCGCGTATAAGTGTGACAATGGGAAATAATTAAATAATTCAATTCAAATCCAGAAATGGCAGGAGGAACCTGGAGATTCCTCATGGTTTCCGAGGACACTCTTTCTGGAGCCTGAAGAGGACATTAGTGAAGGCAGAGGATGCCCCAAAGAGATTGGATAAGCAGCGGGAATTTGTTGCTGCTGCTCAGCCTCCCCGCCTATCAGCTGATGTGGGGGACAGTGCAGCAGTAGCAGCCGCTTTCCTGTGTGTCTTCCAGCCTCCTGCCAGCGCCAGAGCTTCAATTCTAGTTGTGGATATTTTTGGAATACAGTATTTTCTATATGGATTGAAGAGAGCAGCAGAGAGGGTGTTTAAAGGGTGCTCCCCACTTTATCCAATTTCACTTTTACACATGGGGGCCCAGAACGTAACCCCCATATAAGTGGGGGGATGCCTATAGTTAAGACAACAAGCTGCCGCTTCTGACGCTAGACAGGACACTACCTCCCATGAAGAAAGGCTCTCTATCCTGTGGAGGCGGTGGTGGCAGAGGCGGTGGTGGTCCTCTCCACTGATCCTGGAGGGAGAGTCTTGGGGCTTGATTGAAGTTGGTAGGAACAGGTCCAGGGGGATTCTGCTGAAACTCTGGAGGACCCTGAATAATACAAGGGGACACACGGAACACAAATGGAGGTTAAAATAATCCTGAAGCATTTCTTCTATGGCTCATTTATTAGATTAATTTTATTATTTTATCATCCTTCCTCTCAACTGGGACCCCAAAGCAATGTACAACATCTCTAAAATAGAGTCAGTACAAAATATTACACGAAACCCTATAAAAAACTTCTTACATAGCCTAACTATTGAGAATATTTATTTATTTTATAGGAAAAGATTAAAATACCTTTCTGTAATCTGTATAAATTGGCAACCCTACTGAGTCATATCTTTCACTGTGGCAGTGAACATTGAACCTAAGCACAATATCTTTACAATGAATTCAAAATGTTTTAATAATCACAGCAGCACCACAGGAATGCCATCTCTTTTCAAGCTTAGTGAAATCCATGCAATTATTGACCTTCTATCCCATTAATCCAAAAGTCTGAATGTCTACTTTAGAAAATGCTCCTGACATTTATCTCTTTAAACCATGCTATTCTTTGCTATCTATTTAGTACAACCTAAGCAACCAAAATGAAGCTACTTTAATTTTCTGGATGTCATAAATTGATTCTCTCCCCCCCCCCCCCCATTTCTGAAGTAAAGAAATCATATTTCCAGAATAACAGGGAATCAACATTTCACAAAGCACATAACCCTAAATACTTAAGCATCTGAAGCATTCGTTACAGACAGGAGACAGAAAAATTAACATAGATTTGCCACCCTTGGTTTCAAATAAATGCTTCAGACTGATATTCAGCTATTTCACAATCAGCAAAGGAAGGAGCCATTTAAAATTTAAGCTCAGTAATTGATTTCCCCCCTTTTGATTCTATGAACGAACATGCCATATCATCTACTAAAAAGACAAGGACCATTTATGACACAAACACCCATTAACTAAATTAGTGGGAAGTAATATTATGTTGTCACAATCGCTTCTTACAGCACATCAAACAGTCAAGAGTATTCTCAACTCAGCAGTGTTTTCAGGTAAGCATCTAAAAATCAGTATTACCCACAACCAGTGTGTTTCCTTACTATTACTGTACAGGCTTAAAAACAACAACAAAGATTCCTGGACAAATTTAAGGGCTGCAAGGAATACAGTACAAGTAAATCCAACTTCAACACGCACAAAGTTAGCTGGGGAAATTGTTCTGCATATGTGTAAGAACTGGACTATTAGAATTATAGTGCTTAATTTGTGTGCCAGCTTTTACTCTGGTTCCACTACATTTCAAGGAGCCATGTTCTAAACTGGATGCTGCTCACATTACAAGCTCGAAGGTGGTGGCATCCCCTGCTCTGAAATCTACACTTCTGTTCCCGTGCTTAGCTGCCCTTTATAAATGTATGCATACAATTGTCCATAAATTAGTCCTGTTAGCCCAACTACAATTTTTCATTTTATGGGGGGTTTTTTTGTGGGGGGGGGACTACATTTTTTAATCAACTAAACACAAACCTGTTACAGAAAAACAGGCTTCTACTATCTACACACATACACACTCTCTCATGCGCTAATCATTTATTTACTTGTACCATTAAATCTTCTCCTATCTCTTTCTGAAAACCTGAAGCAGAGTATACACCACTAGGAACTCTGCAGCAGACATTAGCTACAGATGTGTTGCATTAATAGGGGGAAAATACAAGTACAGTACAATTCTGTGGACTGTGAAACATTTAAGTAGCCTTGGGTCCATGGATATACCATGCACAATTCTACAGTCACAGTTAAGGACACCGACAAATATAATATCAAAATAGCCTACTTCTTTCAGAATCTGAACCAAGGTTCTTGGTAGATATTTAACTGCTAACGTTTTACACTCCTGTTAAATTTAGTAGTCTGAATGCTATTTTTTTGTGCTCAGCAACATATGTACCGCAAATCAAAAGAAAACAAGCATACGGCAAACATAATAAATTCTGATATGCACAGTAGTTTCTCCTTTTTCGTGCCCTCACATAGGCAGTTTCAAAGAGCCACAAGATGCTAAAAGTAACATTCATTTGTAAGCGGATAAAATTGATCTTGATTTTTTATATGGCCTAAATCGTAACACTGCAAGAATGTGCTTTTGGATAATGCATTTTGGGCATTTGCTGCTGTTTGTTTGTGTCTTTTTGTTTTTTTCAAACCCACCAAGTAAACTGAAGAGGGTCATGGCTTTGCAGAATACATATAGTTGTGATCTTAACCAGGGAGAAAGCTAGGTACTCCCCGCACTGCTGCTACCCCACCCCACTCCCATCAAAAGCACAGTCCAGCTGCACAATCCCACAGGACTGGCTTTCTGGACTAAGAGTTCAAAACATTACATTCAACAGCATTTGCTACAGGATATTCACTTAGAAAACTTTAGAGCTTGAAGGCTGCAAGCACCTTATGCTCATTTAAACAGTGGCTCATTTCAAAGCATCTGACATTTTATAGTAAAAGGATTTATAGACTTCCACACATTAGTACTTAAAAGGCCTCACTTTACTGCCTTGGGTTCCATAATGGAAAATAGCCAGGATATAAATGTAATGAAATAAGTAAAAGCATAAAAAACGTAAAGGACCCCTGACAGTTAAGTCCAGTCGCGAATGACTCTGGGGTTGCGGCGCTCATCTCGCTTTACTGGCCGAGGGAGCCGACGTTTGCCCACAGACAGTTTTTCCGGGTCATGTGGCCAAACCACAGCAGTGCACGGAAACACCATTTATCTTCCTGCCAGAGTGGTACCTATTTATCTACCTGCACTTTGACGTGCTTTCAGTCTGCTAGGTTGGCAGGAGCTGGGACCGAGCAACGGGAGCTCACCCCATCGCGGGGATTCGAACCTCTGACCTTTCGATCGGCAAGCCCTAGGCTCAGTGGTTTAGACCACAGCACCACCCACGTCCCAAGTAAAAGCATATACAATCTCAATCATCCTTAAATCGGCCCTGCAAAGTAGGTTAGTTTGTCCCCATACTGTAAGTCGGTTGGCTACAACAAGACATGGTAGATTGCCTAAGGCTATGTTTATGGCAGAGGCAAAGTTAGCCAGACAAATCAGACCTAGAGCTCAATCTCATAGCCACAAAGTGTCTGTACATAACAGCTTTCAAACCTGAAGTTGTGAAATTAGGGCTGTCACCTTATTAGTTGATTGGCTGAGGCTTTTAAAATAGATTAAATCTGTTTATGAATGAATCAATAATTTATTACGGAAGGGAAGCACATATTTTAGTTGATACATGTAGTGATCAGATAAGGCATCATCCCAGAAGAGGCACAAAGAAGAAGTGTGGGTTTTGTATAAACGTGAATTCTTAATACTCCGTGTGTATTGCCCAACTGATCAGGGACAACATTTCAGTCAATCAAAGAGTTTATTGTTGCTTAAGAACTGACTAGAATCTGCAGCCTTGCGTGACATTTAATAATGCCAGCCTTTGCCTATCACTAATTAGGTGTTGCAAGTTATGGCTAACCAATGCCTATAAAAACGATTCATCAAGCATTGTTCAGCCATTCTTCTTTGCATATGTACTTCCATTATGCATCATATCAAAGGCTTAACCAAAACGTTATTGATTACTTTTGCAAAACCTCAATACTAGGTAACTTCTGTCTACAGTTTGTTATAGAGATCTGAATGGCTCATTGAGCATGACTTCCACATACGCAGGCAATCCTACTTTCTGAAAGAACATGAGATAAGGTTACCCTAATCCTGTCAAAGAATTACACTATTTTGCTTTCCTTTTTATCCTCTCAAATATCCCCCCTAGTTAAGAAATTAACATTCTCTCTCATACAATTCTTACAGAAATTGTACTTTTACTTTTCGGCATCTCTTGTTAATTACATGATGTTATCTGTTATAATCTATTCATGAACCACAGATAACTTTGGCTACCAATAAAAGAGAAAACTTAGCATAAATTGCTTAGCACAAAGTTAATCTTATAAAGCAAGGCATAAAGAGGATCTAACAGCTATTATATGACTTATCAGCTTTCCTAAAAGGGTCACTCTATACTTTTTTTCAAAGAGACTAATTAAATACCTTAACAATGTCATTGAAACTTCACGAATCTTTCAATAAATTACACCCTGTCTCTACAACATGTTTTCATTTATTAATCTCACTTAACATGCAAAGAGGTTAGAAGAATGCCACTGACACCAAAGTAGGGATACTCTGTTAATTCTTATTAAAAATTGTATAAATGTAAAGAATCAGTGACTATAACCTATGACATGATTAAAACTATAGCCATCTGTCACAAAATGTTAATCCTCTTACTTTAGCATCCACTGGACTTTGGCTTTTCTTGGGTAAATGACCTTAGTTCAATTCAATCACCACAGGGTAAGATGCACACAGAAATGTAACATGCAGATCCTTTCAACGTAAGATTGGCTCCACAGCCATCATGTTCTCAGCAAACCACCATGCTCAAATGCATGGTGGCTTTGGGCTTCATCATAAGCTTAATTTTTTTCATCTGACTGAGTTCTGCACCAATTAGATGCATACAAAAAGGAAGCAGGGTCCAGTCTCTGGTTCTTATACCCAAGGGTGACTTACTGTATGTGGAAGAAGAAGTATTTTAAAGTAGGTGAAATTCTAGATTGCTTTTTGGGATGACAAGCATTCCCATTTCTGGAGGGGAAATGACTAAAACCATTTGGAGCATGGAGTCACTAATATTTAGATGAATTTGAGCTCTGTCTCTCCACACAAACTGAATCAGGGGAGGTTGTACAAGTGCTGGAATCTGGAGGCAGTGATGCGCTGGAGAAAGCCTAATAAACTGAGGCTGAATCCTAACAAGACTGTGGGTAAGATGGCTTTGGGTTTTTAGAATTAAACAGCAGCCAGTTTTGGATGGGGTAGTTCTCCCCATAAAATGATATGTGTGTAGTCTGTGTGTATTCCTAGCTCCTAAGTTGTTACTGGAGACACAGGGTTGCCTCAGTGGCAACGAGTGGCAATGCCCAGCTCTGGCTGGTTAGCCAACTCAGGTCATTCTTTAACCAGGATAATCTAGGTACAGTAGTTCCCAGCTGGAGCACTGCAATGGGGTCTATTGCAATGGGGTCTATGTGAGAAGCTGCAGCTGATGCAGAATGCTGCTGCCCATTTGTTACCTGGAGCAGTAAAATGGGAACGCATTACACTAATCCTGAGCGCACTGCAGTGTTGGTACTAATGCACAAAGCTTAGGACCTGAAGAAGTGCCTTTTCTAGTACTAGTCAGCTTGGGTCTTGAGATCTGCTCAGATGGCCCTGCTTATGGTACCCTTCATGAGTATGGCCTGTGAGGGAAGAGACTCCATCAGGCAAGGCCTCCTTCCACCTGCCTTGCTCCACCCTCTAGTCTCTGATTCTCAATTTGTATAGTATTATTTTATCTACTGTGGCTTGCCGTTGTTTTATTGATTATAGTTTAGAAATTATTTACTGTAACTGTTGAGTGGATTTCTGTTTAACTTTTATATGTTGTTATTATTATTTAATACTATTCTAATGACTGTTGAATGTTACTTTTTGATGTAGGTTGCCTATTTTAAGTTTTATTATCACATTTTTGTATCGCATTAGATTGTTATAAAATGTACATTTTTTGTTTCTTCAGCTTGTAAACCGTCTTGAGTATTGTAAGATAGAAAGATGGTATACAAATTTAAAAAAACAAAAAACTATATGGCCCAGGGGGAAACTACATGAAGCTAGGCCTCCCGCAATAGCTAGTTGTCCCCAATATTGTTTTACTTCTGTGAGAGTTTAAGACCTGTTTTTGCAAGCCTTTGGAGTATAGTATGAGAGGCCCTACTGTATATTACTGTTATACGATACTGTACATTGTATTTTATTGTAGAGTTGTGCTTTTAACCTGGAGGAGGTGAGTATAAGGAGGTTTAAAAACTGGAACTGGCTATAACTTTTAAAATTATTACAATGCAATAACAAATGAAGAATTAACGCTTCAGCTATGAATTTTAAAGAAATGTTTCTGAAGTTGGGCACTTTTTTGTGTTGCGTTAAAGGAATACTGTTAGCCATTCTGGGCTCGTGTGATAGGAAGAAATAAAATATTAATACCAGCACACATTTTTGCTGGAACTGTGCATCCGGGGAAATGGAAAGATTATATATTAGACCTCAATAGAATTTGAAACCAGGGTTTTTTGGATGGTGGAAGGGAACAAGAGAACAAAAATATACTTCTATCCAGAATTCACCAAGCACAATGATGTGCCTCTTCTTTTGTTGCCAGCACTTCTTACTCATAAGGTATACTACTTCCAAATATGGAGGCTCTCAGGGCAAATATCCACTAAAAGATATCCTACATAAATTTGTATTCTTTTTTAAAGGCATCTTATGGTAATAATAGTGGTAGTAGCAGTAGTAGTGGTGGTGGTAATGTTTCCTGTTTCACTGTACAAGAAATTTGTACATGAATCATTACCCTTAGTAGTTTAGGGTCCTGCACTGTTCCTGCTTAAATTCTATTTAACACACACACACACACACACACACACACACACACACCAATCCACAAGCTAAGCATGCCTGTTCCCAACATCCTATTCCATACTGAACTACATGTTTCCTCAGATCATTAGCAAACATTCCTGCATACTGAAAGCAAAGATCCCCCCCCGCAAAAAAATGCATGGTATATTACGGGATCTTGATCATCAGGGACCCCTAATATATTCCTGGGGAGGTTTATAATCCACCCACAGCTCCTGACTATTTTAGACGCACTGTAGATTGAAGGGCAAAAGTGAGGTCACATTTATTTCAACACTTCTGTAGCATAGCGCTTTTGTGAATTCTGATGTTCTGGGATTTGTTTTTGTGTGTGTTTGTAACGGTTGCATCTGTCACGTGAAAGAGTGGACAACTGTTAATTCAGCTTCATTTTACCGTTTGTAAGATCATGTGGAAAAAACACAACAAGGGAAAGGGTTACTTCATTTTTAGAAGTCTTCTTTGCCGCTCTTGTTTAATAGCTGTTACCATCATATTTAGCTTCTGCTGCTCCTCCTGCAGATGGGAATTCACTGATATGATTAAATTTGATGGTATGATAATGTATGGTAATAGTGATTAATCAGAAGCCCACTAGCAAATGGAGGGTGTTTGTTATTATGTCACCTGCATTTTAAATTGCATTTTCCCTCTGCCAGCCTGACACTGTTTGACAGCGTATAGAGTGGGGGGGGTGTTTGGAAATCTTGCACTACATCTGCTTGCTACTACTTATAGATTTGATAAGAGAAAACACTCATCACTCTGTCACTATTGTAAGTGTTGCAATTATAGGGCTGCGCGGACGAGTTGTGAAAATGGCAAGTCCTCATAAGGAAAGCTTGCCAGTAGATGCTGAGGAAGCTCAGTTGCACATCTGTAGGGGCTATAATAGGAGAGAAATGTAATTTGATTCAGCAGTCTCATTCAAACATGATTTGCATGAAATGCTGTATAAAGCTCTATCCAAGAAATGTCAATCATGACCACCTGATACCTTGTATCATGTTAAAAAGAAAACAAAATGCTTTCCAGACTATGTGGGATTCGCCACCGCTGCTGCACAGTAATAGAGTGAAAATTTCATTTACTGCTGCTCTTCTAACAGCACCGCCATAGCAAAAGCACAATCATTGCTGCAGTAGCGCAAAAGGGGTATCCCCCCCCATGCCATTTGATATCTAACGTCTAAACAAGTATTATTTCTACAATCACGTAATCCGTAATCTCTCAAATGCTCAAAATAATGTCGGTCACAAGACACTCTTGAAAATGTACTTATTATAAAGGCCCATTCACAAATTATATTTTATTGGAACATCTGTATGTGTAAAACAGCACCCCCCAATCCTGTATTCTCCAGGTGTTTTGTACTACAACTCTCATCCACCCCAGTCAACACAGCTGCATACTGAGCCAAATACAGCTCTTGGCTTCCATAATGTGTGGAAAAGGTTCTTAGACAACTGAAAAAGCAAGCCCCTCAACTACTAGAATGAATGATTTATTAATTCTGTGGTCTTTCCCAAGAGGAATTTATCTTGATCAACCATTTCTAAAGGGGCTAGGGAGGAACATACTGCTAGTCATTTTGGATAAGGTCAAGAACTTCTTGTTTTATTATACTACAAGAATTAAAGGTGACATAGAAGAAAAAACCCTAATTTAAACAACTATGTAAACATATGCTCATATGATGTAATGAAGAGACACGTATGTGGCACTGGGAATGCAAACGTGTAAAAAACAAAACAATATTGAAATATGAACAATTTATATGATTTCTTTGAGATGCAGTAATTTGGACTGTCTAAAATTTTCTAAATGCACTGAAAGCGGTTAGTGTCAGAACTGTGCTCATGGGGTTTGAAAGAAAGTTCTACCAGTCTGAAGGCAAACACACTTCCAAGTCACTATGACATGTTATCCAAAATTAACAGATCATTGTTATGGACCCAATTCAGGAGATCATCTAAGCTGCAGAAGAAATCCTCTAAGCTATGTCCTGAGGCTCCCTTTCTGTGGAATGAAGAAGGAAAGCTTCTACTCTCATTTTTGAAGAACTGCAATTCTGCATTATGTATGAATTCAGGGAGCTGTTATTTATTCTAACGAAAGTCGGTCCGCAAACCGGGTGGGACGGGACTACAATTTCATGAGAGAAACATGGAATCCTGACTTCCAAACTAGTAAGCTATTTGCTATTAGAATTCAATCCATAATTGACTGGCTACAGAAAGGCAGGACTTTTTTTCTACTTTTCTTCAGTTTAGGCTCAGTAATGATGCTGCTTTACTCCTCCCTCTCCCCTCAACTTCTGGCAGCAGTGCATGGCAGGAATAGCAAAATGGCAGCCCACAGATTAAGGCTGGCCTCTCAAGCACCTTCTGGCCTCCCAAGGACCTACCAAATGTGTGATTAAACAACACATTCTACTGGTTTTACAATGTCACCTGCAATCTGGAAAAACAAAAATCACCATACCACCAGCCTGACGTTTCAGGAGATCTTTCAGGAACTACATTTGTTCCGCAGCACTTGTTTCCTCTCAGTAACATCACATCAGCAAAGCTCATGTGCTCTGCATCTGAATACCCTACAAGGCAATGCCAACTCAATTATAGAACTGGATTGTCCATGGGTCACTGTTTGCACCTCTGAACAAAATACGAGCAGCAACCGAGAATATGGACTAGTCATCCTTGGTCCCCCGCAATAATTTATTCTATAGGCATTATGCAGTTCATCTAATAATGGCTACACATATATTATACTCATTTTTTTAAAAAAAAACTTTCAAGTTTTGGTGACTGGCATTAGCTACAACTTGAGTGTTTTTCAGAATGAAATGTGACTGATGCGTAACAGCTATCAAGTTCCTATTTCAAATGAGCAGTTGCTCTATGAAAACCTTGCCTTAGTTTGGTTAAAAGTAAGGCTGTCTCATTCCTCATATGCATCCATTTTCTGTAAAACTAGACAAATGAAAATACTTCAGCCACATGATTCAAAGCATTTTTGGAATCATGTAATACAGATTTATGCAGTAATTGCAATGACTATTAGTAATCCTTCACAGAAAAAACAGACACAGTAATTGATTATGTAAGGAAAAATAATCATCCTATTAAAAGACCATGGATGGTACAAATCCACTCTCACATTTTGAGGCGTACATTTTCTACTTGCAACTATTTTTTTGTCTTAGAATCTATGGTGAAGCAGACAGGCTGTGTGTATATTAACAATTACCGTATTTTTCGCCCTATAGGACGCACTGTCCCATAAGGCGCACCTAGTTTTTTTGGGGGGAAATAAAGGGGAAAAAATTATTTCCCCCCCAGGCGCAGGGCTGAGGCGGGGGAAGCCCGAGCTTCCCCCGACCCCAGCCCTCAAACAGGCAGCTCTCTGCAAGCCGTGGGAGCCCAGCGCTGGCTCCCGCTGCTTGCAGAGAGGTCCGCGAAGCCTGGACGCGCTGAGCTCAGCGCGCGCAGGCTTCAGCATGCAGGCAACTCTCCGAAAGCAGCGGGAGCTCAGCGCTGGGCTCCCGCTGCTTGCAGAGAGGTGTGCGACGCCTGCATTCGCCCCATAGGACGCACACACATTTCCCCTTCATTTTTGGAGGGGAAAAAGTGCATCCTATAGGGCGAAAAATACAGTATTTATAGCTAGTTTTCCTAAAGCTTCTTTAAGTATTCAAAGGGAACTCGAAACACGTGGTCCTTCCACAGTCTGGAAACAATACCCATCTGGGAATTTAAGAGCATGGCGTCAACAATACACAACTGACACCCAGCAAGATCCCTCCCTACCATCATAACCAGGAAAGATTGTGCAAATGCAGTACAGGAGGCAGGGATGTACAGGGCGAGTCAATAAACTGACTTCCTGGAATTATGCGAATGGCTGGTTCTTGGATCCATTAATTAGTAGCCAGTCAGTGCAGGATGGAGTAGCAGTCCCCATGAAAGAAGAGGTGTGCAGTCTAGGGATACTCCAAGATACCAAGCCATCACTGGAGGCCCAAGTGGTCACAGTGGTGAGGAGTGCCTATGTCCAGCTTCAGCTACTGCACTACCTTCAAACATTCTTGGATAAGGACAACATTGATACTATAGCCCACATTATTCAGTAATCCAAACTGGTTGGATTATCAATGTGCTCTACATGGGGATATCCCTGAAGATGGCAAGGACTGGCAAAGTGGGATTATATGACATAGATCCTGAGAAGAACTAATATCAGAGAAGTAAATCAATCAAGGAGAAAGAGAAAGTGTATTTTAGAAGCCAAAAATAAGAAAGGGGTGTAGAATTAGCCAGTGTCAACTCAACATCTGCTATTAAATGCTTAAAATAAGTACAAAACTAGTACAGATCTTTATATTTTCCAAGCACAACACATTTTGAGTATGACCTTTTTATTAAATTAGCATTCCTCCTATTTATACTGAAAAGACTGTAATGAATAGGGAAGTCATTTTTTTAAAAAATCATTGCACTTTTCTATTTTAACACTCCCCATTGGAGAGAGTGGCTCAACAATTTTACAATTAAACAAAATTAATTCTGCTCTCAGAAATTCATTGATCTTAAGCTTCTAACAAACATTTTCTACTGCACAGATCATTGTCAATATTTACAAAACCTTAAAATTATATTTCACTGGCACCGCTTTTATTTGCCATATTAATATTTCTTTGCAAATGTATGCTTATCCATATCAGAGAAGAAAAAACAGCTGCTACTCACAGGAAATCTCTGGGGTCCTACAGCAGGTCTTGGCTGGTTTGGGACTGGCAGCAAGGGCACTAAAAACAAGGAGCACACCTTTTAAATCAATTTGTTTTAGCCAAGACTCTAGGCCATTTTTATAAGCAGTCATATTCATAGGCAGCTGCTTCCCTGTGCTTCCAAATAGCTGCAGGCAGGAAAAATTTACTAAGAGCATTCAACAGGGCAATTGGGATTCAGCTAGCAAAGGCAACACACGAATTTTGTACAATTAAACAATATATATGTGAATGAATGATCAATTATAAAGTTAACTTGTCATGTTGGTTCTGAAGTAGGTGTTACCCAATGACTGGACTTAAAAGATCACAAATAAAACAAATTGGTACCACTTCCAAGTATCAGGTACAGTCATATCTCTGGTTGCAAACAGGATCCGTGCGGAAGGCACGTTCGCAACACACAGCGTTCACAGCCTGAAGCACCGCGTCTGTGCACGCGTGTGACGCGATTCAGTGCTTCTGCACGTGACGTCATTTTGTACTTCTGCACATGCACGAGCGCTGAAACCCGGAAGTAACCCGTTCCAGTACTTCCGGGTTGGGCGCGGTCCGCAACCTGAAAACGCACAATCCGCAGCGTTCATAACCTAAGGTATGACTGTATTCAAAGAATCTAGATGATTTTGTAGTTCAAATACTGGAATGAATGGAAGGAGCGAAGCATGCTGAAATTTTAAAGTCAGCATTCAATACACACACACTTGCTGGACTTGCCTGAATGAAAAATGTTTTGATTTAATGGAAATGTTCTCTATATGCTGGCAGTAAACGCCAAGGCAGTACAGTTGTACCCTGGATCTCGAATGCCTCGGCTCCCGAACAAATCGGCTCCCAAACGATTGAAACCCAGAAGTGAGTGTTCCAATCTTCGAATGTTCTTTTGGAAGTCGAACATCCGATGGGGCCTCTGATTGGCTGCAGGAGCTTCCTTCCTGCAGCCAATCAGAAGCCGCGCTTTGGTTTTGGAAGTCGATCGAACTTCAAGAATGGATTCCAATCAACTTTCAAGGTACGACTGTATATATATGACGGAATAGACCCCTTTCCCCTACTTCAGCAATACCCCATCCCTTTCATACAAGCACACCTCTGCATAAATGAAGGCAGTAAAACAGCAGTACATGCAGAATAATCACAGATTTTTACTCTGTGAACCACCCTGAGACCCCCGGGTATAGGGCAGTATATAAATTATCATCATCACCACATGTGAATTGTACTTACAGAACTGGAGGGGGCTGCTCCAGGACAAAATTATAGGCTGTTTATAGTGTTGCTTTCTGACAAAATCTCACCTTGTACAGGCGTTACTACAGTTCCTTTGAAGTGTGGGTTTATATGTATGTTTTTTGGCTGCTGAGATGTCACTGGAGGAGGATTCATCAGCATTCTTGGTGCTTCTAGCTGGGGTGGCATATGCATCCCTTGAGGCGGAGGTGGTGTATGAAGCTGAGGGGGAATGGGTAACAGACCCTGCAACTGTTGTTGCTGCTGCTGCTGTTGTTGCTGCTGCTGCTGCTGGAAGAGATTCCTAATGGGCTGTTGATGACGAAATATCCTTTCCGAATGTGTCTAAAAAGAAAACACAGAAAATCACATTTGCTCGAAATTGTAATCACCTTTAAAAAATTATTAAAAGAAACACAAGAGGCATCCCCTGAGACTACTGACTACACTCCTGGAAGTTTGATATCCACAGGCTTATGAGCCATGATAGCTAAATGGAAACTCCATGTACACAGAAAGCCCAATGTGTGGGGAGGGAGAGGCACCAGCAACAGACAAGCCATTGCCATCAAGCTCTACTTAGCAGCTTCTCAGAAAGTGGAGGCTTTCAGCATCATGATTATAGTAGCTACCAGTCCCATTACTTTACGTTCTCCCACCAGAATGTTCTCCCACTTAGAATGCTACTACTGCAGACTTACCCAGCCTCGTATCTACTCTTGATATAAAAGCTACAGCAGCTTTCTGCCCTACATGGGAGCCTCACTGGAAACTCAGCGAAGTTAAAAGCAGTTTCTGACATTGGTCCTTGGCTACTCCTAAAATAGCCCCCCTCCACAAGAACTTGGGGCACAGGATCTCTCAGAAACCTCAGGATGGGGCAGTGGAGGAACCATGCTCATGTCTATGCTCTGCCAACAGTGGCTTGGACTTGTGTAAGGGCAGGCACAAACGAAAGCGCTCACATTCCCATCAATAAATGAACTATTGAATTCAACCTTGAGCAGCTTAATGCAGTCAGTGTTTTCAACAATTTGGCTTAAATAACTAAAATTCACCAACCCTGACCACCATAATCATTGCGTTTGGATACCGTAACAGATGTCTGGGTCGACAGCAACGCAGGCCTGTGATCCTTCATTCTTCCCCTTTCATTGTTGTCTCTTCTTTGTTCTCCCATCCCACGACACATTAAAGGCCCTCCTCTCCTTCCTCCTCCTCCTCCTCCTCCTCCTCTTCTTGAGCCATAACGACCCTGCTTCATTTGCCTTTCCCTCTCTTCAAATTCAAATAACGCTGCTTTGGCTTCTGCAGAAAGTTCTATCAGATGAAAGAAGGGGGCGCTTTTAGATATTTACCAGGAGGATTAAAAGGACTAATGAAGTAATAAAAAATTTTCCCTGCAGCCACAACAAAATTGCACAGCCACCCATCACCCTGATTATAGGGCACACATATTACTTTTACCAGATCTTTTTAATTTGCAAATAGAAATGCATCCTTGCATTTATCAAGAAAGAAATGTTTTATTCTTCCAAGAGTGGCTTACAGCTATTGAATTTCTTAAAGCAGCTTTCCACCAACATCTCAAATCAGATTGCAACTAAATTTGTTTTTTGGAATATAAGCACTTGTGTGTCAGTTTGTTGCTCTTTCAAGATCCATCTGTGAAACTGTTTTTATTTTTCCTGTCTCTCACAATAACCTTAATGTGGCATACTATAGATAGCAGAGGTTGTACAGTTATTATCTGATCAGATTTAATTAAACATATCAATAACAGGTGTGCTTTAAGTAATATGGAAACAACAGATTTCCAGAACAGGTTGGAAAATGTGTATAAATAAAATGCATCAAGATGTATAGTTGAAATGGATCTTATAACTGATTCCACGGCAACTTCCTGGATCAACATCAGTAACCACCACCTCTATTTCTTTAGATTTAGATATCACTACAAGGTTTCCCTTCCAGTTGAAGCAAATCTCAATAAATTCAATCAGAACTGCCTTAGCAGAAAGTCAAGCATTTGCTTTTCTTCATTTTCCCAGGCAAAAGGGTTGTGGGAAGACCAAATGCATACCTTTAAGATGCAAATCTCTGCAAACAGTTTTAAATAACACACAAAATGTGTTTTACACACATAGCATAACCATAGTATGCTTCCATTTTAGTTCCCAGATGTTGAAAGCAGCCCTATACATGGTCTGCAGGACATCTCCAGCAGAAAGGAGCTCTACAACTGTATAGAGAAACAATTTCTCTGGTTCCTCGGCAGAAGCTAGAAGAAAGGTCAAACATCTAATCCGCAATAGATGGTAGAGGACAAACCTGAGCCTCAAGCTGTGGACATGATTTGATAGAACTAACACAGCTCCCTTGCTTGCCTGCAATTTCTTGTTGCTTATGGCTGCCTGACAAGTGTTTATATGGCCTGAAGGAAAGTGAGGCCACCGCCTTGCTGAAGGTCTGGGTCTGGCCAGTGTCTGGATGGGGGAACTACACATAAAGCTTGATGGATTCCATTACAGACAAAAGGCAGGATATAAATGTAAGAAAATTAATTAAATGCAAGGCTTTGCTAGTGCTATTTGAGCAAGTTAAATGCCTCAGTTTTACCACCATGGAGGAAAATACTTTTCCCTTCATTCGAGGAAAAAAATAATTCAACTTACTTCAAGCATGCCTTTTTCTATAATCACAATAAAGGTGCCATTACATAGCAGACTGCAATGGAGCTCACGGCTTAATTTTTAATTTCATTTTGAATTTGTTACTTAAGGCAACAGATTCAGAAATATATTTGGGGCTGTTAAATAAAGCAAAGCCTGGGCAATACTAATGCTCAGTTTCTAAACTCTCGCTGCTCATTCCAACACACACACAAACAAATGCTTAGAGGTTTTCTATTAAGTAAGCAGTATATTAATTTTGTTAAATGCATATAAATAAAAATGGAGTTTGGCTATGGAACTCACAACTCTGTACTTCTCATACCTGAAAGCTTTTCCCTTTCGTTTTTTGTAGGAGGAAGGGGGCTTGACACCACAATTAATTGCTTCGTGAAACCTTACTTTATGAAACCAAACTGAAGGAATCTGGTATTTACAACTGTGCTGTACAAGCACACTGACAACCTTGTTATGCAGTTCTATTACTTTTGTCTTTTGTATTTTACAGCCTTGATAAAGGAGCACAAAATGCTCGAAATGACACTCTCGACTCTGATCTGATCCTGTCCCACAGAATCAGAAAAGTATGTTTTCCAGTTTTAAGAGCAAGAAGGGTGTGCAGTTGAGTGCATAGCTCCGTTGCACTTGCTACATAGCATACCTCCTCATCAAGCACTTCTCTCCCAATCAAGCTCACTTCCAACATCAGAGCACAGCTTAGAAAAGTGCCTGGGGAGACAGACTGCAGGGAGCCAGGCCACAAACAGAGAAGGGGACGACACCCCCTGTAAACTAAAACTGGAAATGTGTGTGACTGCAGTAGCTTCACAGCCCTCAGATCCATACAGTTGGATTTATGTCCTTCCCAATCCCAAGAAACGCAGGCATACTACAATACAGCCCTATTCATTTATTTCAAAATAGTATGTGGGGGTGTGGACAATAAGGATGCCCCAGCTGGTAGGGAAAAAACAGAAAACCTGCTCTGGTATGAGATCTTCATATCTCAGAAGGACTGCCCAGCTTCCCAGCTCCACCAAAATGATTCTGATTAGAGGTCTCCCTCGGGAGGTTGTGGACTCTCCTTTCTTGGAGGTTTTTTTAACAGAGGTTGGATGGCCAGCTGAGATTCCTGCATTGCAGAGGGGTGGACTAGATGATCCTCCTGGTTCCTCTATGATTCTATGAGGAATGTTCAGGAGCAGTCCACATGTGCTAACACATCTCTGCTAGGGCAAGGAAGCAATTGCTTCAGGGATGTAATGAAAGCCAGCTTCCCCCCACCCCCCCCGCTCCAAAAAAAGAACCAGCTGGGGAGGAGGGAGAAAATGGGCTCTTACTCCCCTCCAGTCAAGAGTTTTTGTTTTGTTCTGTGTTTGTTTTTTTACACAAGATGGAGAGAGGGGAGAAATCATTTCCCCAATAATCCTTTATCCTCTGCCTTCCACCCATAATTCCTTATTCCTATTGGTGCCATTCTCAACTGATATATACAAGTTTGCCCATGGGTATTCATTCATTAGAAGCCTTTATATTCAGCTTCTCCTGCACTTGGGGTATCTCACACCTTTGAAAGCAGGTATCTATAAAACAGAGGAAACATCCATCAACAGCAGGCATGGGCAAACTCAGCCCTCCAGATGTTTTGGGACTACAACACCCATCATCCCTAGCTAACAGGACCAGTGGTCAGGGATGATGGGAATTGTAGTCCCAAAACACCTGGAGGGCCGAGTTTGCCTATGCCTGATCAACAGCGTATCAGACATCCCTGTCCCAAGGTTCTGCTCCATGCTTTGCTTCCTGTTGGAAGATGGAGCATGAAGAAGAGTACCGGATGTAGATCTTAACTGGATTGGATCACATATGAGAAGTGGTATAAGACAAAGCTCTGTACCTAACATGAAAGAATACCCTTGAAAGGAATTGTTGAATTACTGAGAAATCTGACACCTTCACATGAGCAACGAGAAGGGATCCAGAGGCCTTTATGTGATCCACTGCATGAGGACTTTTCAGCTGCCATTCCCACTTCAGAGCCCATATGCTCTCATAAGAACCTAAGAGGAGCCTGTTGGATCAAGCATCCTGTTCTCACAGTGACCAACCAGATGCCTGTGGGAAGCCTGAAAGCAGGACCTGAGTTCTCCCCACCTGTGATTTCCAGGAACCGGCATTCAGAGTCATGATGCCTCCAACAGTGGAGGTGAAACACAGCAATCATAGCTCATATTGTACACGAATTAATCTAATCCTCTTTTAAAGCTATCCAAGTTGATGGCCACCACTACTTCTTGGGGGAGTGAATTCCAGAGCTGTGTACTGTATGAAGCACTTTCTTTTGTCTATCCTGAACCTTCTAATATATAGTTTCATTGGATGTCGACAAATTATAGCATTAAGACTTTTTTAGAAATCTGAGGATCAGGGAACACTCCATAGCAGTGCTGCAAGTAGCTACTACTAAGAGGGGGCAGGATCAGTAACACCCCCCCCCATGCACTCTTTGGGCCATAGTTCCCAAAACACTATTTTATATGCAATACAATATGATCTACTCTCCTGAAATCTCTTTCAAGCCAAGAGATTTCCCTTTTCATTTGCAAAAGCAACACTTAGGAGATGCCTCTGCTCCATTCATGAGGGAAAATGTTTAACATATTTTTGCCAGCAGACACCCAATCTTAACTGTAGAATTCTTTCACATACACCTAATGCAGTGAATCAGCAATTATTTTTCTAGTGCCTCCAAATGTCAAGATTAATTTTGCTATCCTTGGTAATAAAATGGTTTGAAACGACATCTTTAATCAGCAAGTAAGAATGCTTCCCTCCAATAGAGACAAGCTGTCACGAAAGGTCACCAAAAAGTGACAGGATGGAAATTACGTTTGTAATTTCCACTGAAATATTAATTTCTCTTTTAAGTGTTTTTTCAACTTATGTCTAGATTTTAAAGTAAAGAAATGTAGCTATACAACCAAGTTTCATTTCTATACCCGTAATTCCTATTAAGAGCAATCAGTACTGAAAGGAAAGTAATATTTATTACGCCAGTTCTACTACATTTTTTAGTCCTATTAGGTTGATCCCTAATAGACATCAATTATTGCAGATCTTTTAACAGCTCTAGCTGACAATGACTTTTCAAAGAAAAACTTGGGTGTAAGATACAAAATTAACTGAAAGACTTGTATAAAATACGTCATTTTGAACTCTTTGCAAACTGCTAATCAGTTTGTTTCATTTTTCATTCAACTTTTCATTTTTATTAGCTATGACATTTTTATGCTATAGTTTACTGGACCATGTGAATATACATAAATTAAATGACTATACATATATATTTCTATGTATACTAAATAATCCTTCTAAACAGGCCCCACATAGGTAAGAAGCATTTACTAATCTCTCAACTACTTTTCAGATTAGAGGACAGAAAGTGAAAGTGCTTCTGCAATTGTGGATGTTTCTAGGCACAACTGATTTCCGCTAGTAAGTATCACAATAACATCCTTTTCCAGCTGAATTCTGCCTAGATAGCAGCACGATAACACATACACACACATATCTATTTCCACAATCAGAAAAATGATATTTTTATCTACATTATCCACCTACCTATTTCTGAGATTAACTAAAGGTGCTGGTTTTAGACAGACACCAAAAAGTCAGACTTCTACTAGGAACAAGACCTTTTAAGCTGTGGTACAAACCTCAGGGAGGCCAACCACGTTCAAACACTCCACAAGTTTCAGTTTTCAGTCTATATCCTGGTTCTTTCAGTTCAACTCAAACTCTGCCTTTTGATGGGCTGTATGCTTTTCCATCTTTTATTATTGGGAGGAAGTGCTTATCTCATCTTGGGTTTCAGGAAACAAAGGCAAGAGGAAGCTGAGTGTAGTCAGACATCCACTCTGGACTTTAAGAAGGCCGATTTCAAAAAGCTTAAGGAACTACTAGGTGAGATCCCATGGTCAGAAATACTCAAAGAGAAGGGAGTCCAATGGAAGTTTCTTAAAGGTAAAATATGGAAGGCACAAATGCAGACAATTCCAACAAGAAAGAAAAGTGGGAGGCATCTGAAGAAACAGCTGCACCTGGCATACCAGTAGTGCATGTGAAAAGCATTTAAGGGTCTGATTGAACCATAACCTTAAAATGAATCAACAGTGTGATGCAGCAGCAAAAATCAGCTAATACTATTCTAGGCTGCTTCAATAGAAATATAGTGTCAGTTCCACTCTATTCTCCCTTGGTCAGACCACACCTGAGCTACTGAGTCCAGTTCTGGGTGCCACAATTTAAGAAAGATATTAAATCTGGGGTGTGTGCAGAGGGGGGCAACCAAGATGATCAATGGTTTGGAAACCAAGCCTGATGAGGAATGGTTGAGGAAGTTGGGCATGTTTAGCCTGGGAAAGAGGAGAAATCAAATTTATCAAACTGTTTGATAAATCAAGACCAGATAATCCCATATGGTTCATAACCTAGAAACCTGAAGTTATTCAGCCCAATGCAACACTGGTCTCTAAATCTGTATTGTAACACCTATGAACCTGAAATTTCAAGCCCTGGCTACCATATCTGCAATGATTCCTGTTTCATGTACCAAACTCCTCTAATTGAGACCTGGTGAGTGCACATTTCCTTTCCTCAAAAGCACACTACTTTATCCCACCTTAAATATTTTTATTTAAATGGGAGCAGAGTATTGGTTTTGTTTGTTATTATGGTATGTATTTTTGTGTTTTTATATTGTAAACCACACTATGGTCTTTGGGTGAAAGACGGTATAAAAATAATAATAAATAAATACTAAATATAGTAAGTACAAATACAGAAATACAGGGGGCAGTACTAATGCATACAACTGTTGACATGAATATGTGAACTATAGAGCTCCTTCCTGGAGGCTGCCATTTGCAGGTCTCCCTCCTATCAATCACTGTTCAAATGCCTGTTACTTTCGTAAGAGACCTGAGACAGTGATGCACCTTAAATGGGTACATCTATTATCTATTATTATGATTTATTGAATTTGTATACCGCCCTTCACCTGAAGATCACAGGGCAGTTCACAACATGAAAACATAAATACATAATCAAACAAAAACAAACCAATAACCCCCCTCTGACAAACACATTTAAAAGGCCACAGAACAGTTAATCAGCCGAAGGCCTGATTTGCAAAGAAACATTTTTTTCCTGGCGCCTAAAAATACGTAATGATGGCGCCAGGTAAGCCTCCCCAGTGACAGCATTCCACAAATGGAAAGGAAAAGCCCGTGCTTGTGTTGCCAATCTCCAGACCTCTTGTAGAGGGGGCACACAAGGACGGCCTCAGATGATGATCACACGGTCTGGGTTGGTTCATTTGGGGAGAAGCAGTCCTTGAGATAGGCAACAGAAAACACACTCCTGAGGTTGTCGCATCATGGGATAAACCAGCATGTTCTGTTCTCAAACTACACAAGGCCTTTGTATTGATTCTGAAGCTGAGAACATTTCAAAAGCAGACTTGTTTGCATGTACTTTTGCAAGATGGCACACTGAGACTGTAAATAATTCAGCAGCAATCCTGCCGGTTCCACCTCACTATGATGACAGCATAAATGTGAGAGTTCTTTCAGAACCATCTTTAATCAGCCAAACCTTCTAGAAAAGTGTGTGTTGGTGGAAAGACCTGATCCCATGCCGAGCAGACATTGCGTGTCACCCTAGAGATAACACGTTTGTTCCCAAATTGGGAATGAGAGACACATCTAGACGTAACCAAAAGTATATTCTTTTACTTATGTAAAACTGACGTGAGACGCATCAGACAGATATTCACTGTTCCTGGACATTTAAAAAGTATTTTCCTTTAAACAACTTTGTTTATTGGACACAGTAACAGTCTCAGTCACCATTATGACAGTCATCCAATCAATACCAAGGAATGAACAGCATATTCCAAAAAGAATTACACTGCTTGCAGTATTGTTTCCTATTAGGAGTTTTTATTTTTATAATTTAGGCCTTCCTACCTTGTGCCATGTTAATAATGTTAATAATAAGCATGACTGCCATGCAGACTTAAAATAGATCGTGTAAAAATGGCAGATAATGGGAGCCTTTGGTGCAAAGGGTCAGTGCATCTGGCTGTTAATCAGAAGGTTGGTGGTTAGAGCCTACCCAGGAACTGCTGTGGGCAGGATTTCTTCATTGCAGGGGGTTGGACTAGATGACCCTTGGGGTCCCTTCCATCTCTATGATTATTTGAACATATCACCTTTATAATCTATGATAATAGAAGGGCTTTTGAAATTGGAAATATCAGTTATTTGCTCCAGAAGAATCTGGATTTTTAATAATAGCTTCTGAATTAATGCAATATGTTCCAACCTTTATGAAATCACAACCTCCTCCTAAAAGTAAAGTAGTTTAAAGTGGGGAGGGAATAGAGGAAATAAAAAGAAAGCTCCAGCTGCTCTGCTATCAAACTCTGGGGCAGAATTACACAGCCAATAAACAGAATAAATTAATTCTGCAAAATTAGTAATGGATTTACGACAGCTGACGTGTGCTTTCACCTAATGTCCAAACTTGAATTTCAGAGTTACATACACAGAATTGAACCTCAATGTGCAGCTATTGGCTACTGTTACATGAACAAGACTGCATGAACCTCACTTTTAAACTGACTATAGTTACCCATTGTGGCCAAACTTGGGGGGAACTGCAGTTCATTTAGCCATAATAGGGAACCGTGACTACTCAAAAACTAGAAGCCTTATCTTCTGATATCCTTATGGCTCACGGCTCATGCAGGCTCATTCACACAAGTCTAAATTGGCATTAGAATTAAACAGGCCCATTGTGCATTTTTTTAAAAGGCAACACAAAATTGAAATGGTAGGGGAAATATTTTTTGTTGCTTGCCACTAAAACTCTATTACAGACCAACTTACCAAACACTTTGGTTTGTGTTTCTCTTTGGTCACTTTAGAGTAATGCTTACAGATTCATACTAAACTGTACAAATAATGTGTTAGTTTGTTTAATTAAAAGCACCTAAATTCTAGTGCCATGACCACTAACCAAAAATCTTACCCAAAGTTTCTGGAATGTTTCTTCGCTCTCTCGTTACATCCGAAAGTCTAATGATTGTTCCTTCTTTCCGTTCAGTTTTGAAACGTAATCGACCAGATTCTTCATCATCTTCCTCTTCTTCATCAGACTCTTCTTTGGTTTCTTCTTGAAGCTCTAGGTTTTCAATAACTGCCTATTAGAACAGGAGGATAAGTGTAAATTATTAGTCGGGCAGGTTTTCAAAATGCTAGAGTGAAGTTACTTTACAGTGGTTATCTTTGCACATAGCACTAAATCATGATTTAGTGTTAAGTGTTTGACATAAACCCGAGCAAAGTCTGAGACTCACATGCTTCCTCCTCCCACATGTCCCACATGTTCCAATTTCCCTTTCACATAAACTTTACTTGTTCTGTCATATGAGCCCACAGATTGCTACTTAAAAACCCAACTCTGGTCAATTTAAAAGCAAGCCAACTTATGAAGACAGTGTGTGTATAACTAACTAGTTTGCTTTAAGCTACCATCTCTGGTTCGTACAAAACATGCCAAGATTTGCTTATTCTGTTCCTGATCCTAGAATATTTCTAGACCAGAAGAAAACAAAAGGGGAAGATGTTTAGTATTAGGTGTAAGGGCTATCACCCACAAATGAACAGCCACTTTCACACACTAATATAGTCTCATCAGGAAGCATGACAAAGGAGGAGGGGGAGCAAGGTGGCTATGCTTATCACAAGGTACATTAAAGCCATCAGTACAATGTAGCCATGAGGAAAGCAACTGTAGGTTATGGAAAATACAACTTCATGTGTACAGTTAGGAAATTCAAGCCAATATCCAACGCCTTATTGGACAGGTTTTGCCACATGCTCAAAAATGATAAAGGAAAACTAATATTACAGGCGAAAAAACTTTTAGATCTTGGGACTCGAAAATTCAGAAAGGATGGAGCCCTGGAGCTGTTTAGCCCACTGAAAGAAATGGAGGGAGGCATATAAATGCACTGTATACAAACTTGGGGTGGCTAACACAGCAGAACAAGAAACATGAAGGAAAGGAGGAGGTGCTTATTACATACGCAGTACATTCATTCACAATATGGAGTTGAAATGAATCAAAAATGATAAAAAACAGTGGCATATTCAAATGCTGTATTATTCTATTATTTGGACTCATCCAGATGCCTCAGCACTTTAAGTTCAGTCACTTTACTTTCTAAGCATTTTTCAAGCCCTTGCAATTCTATTCTCTACCATTGTAACACAAGTAGAGCATGTGCATTTTGTGATACAGGAAATGCTTTAAACAGACTTAAGAAAATACAACTCACCATGGGCTTTAAATGCCAAGTGAGCCAGTGGGTTCTGTGGAAAACACTAACTTGGGTGATGAGCCTTTATTTAAGATCATGAAGAAAAAAGCTAACTGCCTGTCAAACCATCTAGCTAAAGCTCCAACTTCCTAGTTTAAAAGAAACTGAGAACTAGGATGAAGAACCTTAAATCCAAAAGGATAATATAATCCCCTGCCTCAAATACTGGCGGAGAAAGCTAAGAGTGGCAGCTAGTCTCTTGCAGAAGAGGGGGGAAAATAAAATGCGTCAAACAAAAATGAACTTATTGCTCAGGTAATAATTGGTCTTCTCATGGACGGCTGCCCTAAGTCACTCTGAATTTCTTGTCTCCATCTGCTGGCAAGATGTCTGTTCATCCAAAGTTCTTGAAGTGTCAAGTGTCAGAATTCTTGTGGCATATAGTATATGGCATTTTTATTAAAGGTTTGGCCTTGCTTAAGGCTTCATAACCCCTTGCCTCCATGGCCCCTCCAACTCTGAAGTGGATAAGATAGGTCAGGAAAAGAGAACTTTCTAATGACAACTCTTTAGAAGACTGGCTAACTAAAATCTTGCTTTGTCAGTATTTCAACTGAAATAGGAACCACTAGTTTAAATTTAAACCTCTTTACAAGCAGATGGCCAGTGATGTCTGTTCAATGCAGATAATTCCCTCCAATTTTGAGAGCCTGAAGAAAATTAAATTACCATTGTACATAAGTGGCTCTAGAGACATGAATCAGTTCCACCAAAAGAGGAAAAAGTAAACACAAATCAAGAGTTGTTATCACCATGTACAACTTATCAGTTGTGCAGCCCTACTTGTAATTAGGCTTATTTAATTACAAAGTGATGCCAAACAGGTTTATTTTTGGCCAAGAGCATACTAGTTCATGTTTCAAAGTCGCTTCAGGTGTTAATAAGAGAATAATGAAGAGAAAAAGCATAAACTACTCAAATCTCCAGGTCTTGTCTGCAGGGGAGAGGTGTGTGTTTCATCCTTTCCCTCCTCTACCCTGGCCTACTGCCACAAACCCATACCACAGCTAACTGCCTACACTCCTAAAGATAATGTTAACGTACAAGCTAAGGAAACTCATATATGAGAAGAAAAAGTGGGGCTGGCCAGTGAGTGGTCACGTGCAGAACTACAAGTAGCTGTGAGATCTGCCAGAAGAGGAGAAACAGGTAACAGTGGGAGTAGCGGATGAGGAGGAGCTGAGAATTCCAGGCGCACTGTGTACATGTCCCGAGGCCCTCAATGATAATGGCAACTGCTGTCTGTAGCTTAGAAATGTTGGCCATCCTGACAAATAGAGCCGCTCATAGCTTAGACAAAAGAACATGTTTCAAAAGGCAAGGCTAACAAAGAATCATTGAACAGCTTCTCCTCCTATCTTTTCCAAAAAAGATTCACATGAGGACTGCCAAGAACAGACGCAAACCAGACAAAAACACTGACAATTCTCGAAATACTTTTCAACCCCTTGTGCTAAACAGTATTTTGCCTTTAGGATTTCACTTCTTCAAAAGTACCTCTTCCGACTCATTTGGAGGTGTCTGGGTGTCCGCAACCTCCTCCAATTCTTCTTCAGCTACATAGTCTTGCTGTTCAATTGCTTGCTGCTCACTGTAGGACTGTATATAATCTTCATCCTGAAATAATTGCATGATGAAAATGTTTTAATCTTAAAATGCTTCTGCTTGTGGGAGGAAGCTTTGGGAGGACACAAATTCCATCTGAAGCTGCCTGGGTCTCTTGGTCACAACTGACTGTTCTGTCAGAGCCAGTCTTAACTAAGGTTCCTTCTTAACCAGAATTTAAAGCTGGTTACAAGGAAAACCAAATAATGTTAACCATGATTTTAATGTAACACTTAGATGTGATTAAGGCTGAATAAGGAAGGGAAGAGGGAATTTGAGCATGTTAGTTAAAGGGAAGGGTGAGGGAAGAGATTGGGAACCTTTATGTTTGGTAATGGCCCCAAGTAGCATGCTCTAAATTCAATCCATGTCGTAGGTACTAACGTCTCTTGCACAAACAACTAGTTTAGGAGAGTATAAACTATGAGCGGGAAACCTATGACTCTCCAGATTGGACTACAAACTCCATCATCCCATTCTGGCTCGGCTGAAGGGCCACAGGTGCCACCAGGCCTGATTATTTCAACACAAAAGGATGGTTTCAACACAGTAAGTTAGGGTTACTATAACCACTGTAGCTATGAAACATTAGGAACTAAATTAAGAGTAAATAGCACCAATTCCTTAAGATGTTTTTCTTTTCCAATTTTAGAGAAGGCTCTACTCCATTCATAAGCAGCGCAGCACCACTATAATCCAACAGTTTTGCCAAGAAGTATACTTCTTTCCCTTTAAGATCATCACATATGCCCACGGAGTAATTTCTAGGAACTCCCAACTACTAAATGCTCTACCACCTTGCACAACACTTTTCGACATGCTTTACAAGAAATAAATGAAGCAAGTTTAAAATATCAATGAATCCGTTGCTTTTTATAATTTTTTTGTACACAATATTTTGGACAGATAGTTATATTATTTTCAACTCAAGTTGGGCAACCGCTTCAGCAACTTAAACTGAAACAATTATGCATATGACATTTGGTGAAGTAACCTCCAACCTCTTTATTCAGCTTTAGACAGTTCTCAGTTACAAAAAAAAGAGGAGGGGGGGAAAGGAGCAAGCAGGACATCAATCACTTTGGAATATTAGCACCTTAAAGATGTCTTTAGCAGGTCAATAATCTTTTCACCTTCGAAGGACTTTATCAGATCGTGTCTAAAGCCTGGATAAAAGCTTTTGCATTAAGTACTTCTAACAATTGGCACTGTCTCCCCACCACACAAAGCTGTTTTTTCCTTAAGGATACAATCCTCAAGGTCATGATTCTCAACTGCCTTCCAGAATGACAAAGGAGCATTACCTACAGCCAAACAAGCTGTCAACACAAACTTTGTCACAGCCTAGATAAAGAAACTGGCAGACAGTGATAATAGGTCTAATTTTCCCCACATCCCTAGGGAGGTAAACAGATTTCAAATCAGTCTAAAAACCTAGGCATGTGGAGCAATGTTATCTCAGATAATACAATAGAAAGAAACTCACTGTAAAATCATCTAGAGGTTCATTGATTTCGAGATCTAGCACTCCATCATTATAAATCTCTTCTTCTCCCTGATCTTCCCCATATTCTATTTGGTCTTCTGTCAGCTCAGCCTCTTGGCCTTCATACTGCCCTTCTTCTGTGTATTCCCCAGAATACTCTTCAGGCACTTCTGATTTGTCATAGCCCAGTTCATCCTCCCCTTGTTCATACTCTGAATCTTGCTCAACAGACTGATCATTGGCATGCTCCGAGAGTTCAAAGGATGTAGCTACTTCAGATGTAGCATTAAGACTAACTGTGACACCTTGAGTACTATGATAAGAGTAAAAAAAAGGAAAGATAAAAATCAATACATTAACCACAGTATGACAGCAGGTTGTGCGCATGTGCATTCTGTGCAGGATGCACATAGATCACAGAGCGTCTGCATTCAATAGCAAAGTGCATCGCTCACACATCGACTTGACTCTATGCCACAAACTCATAATATGCATACTTATACCACAGCTTATCATCAGCTGCAGGCTATTTGACCAGAGGGATCAAACCAACCAGATGGTCTAACAGGTTAGGCTGACAAGAAGTACAAGGTAGCCAAGCAAGCTGCAATTCATGTTAATTCTCAGACTACCGTACACTATCACAACACTCACTACTCATCAGCCTGAGCTACATTAATGCTGCCAGATATCAATTTGGACTTTCATTCACTTTTATTTCTTACAATGAAATAATGCTTTTAAAGGGGTAGGGCTGTTTGAATAGACTTTGAATTGGAATTTGCATCGTCTGTAAAAGTTCTATTTTAAATGTGTCCTCAAAATGTCTTATCTAGAATTTGAGGATTCAGAAGAAGTTAACCAACAAATTCTGCAGTAAAAGCCAGAATTTAGCCAACTATAGGACCTCCCCCACCTTAAAATGCCCTTAACTATCCAGAAGTAACAATCCTCTAGTTTTCCTGCCTATCTTTCAAAAAACTATGACACATTAAAGACACAGAGATGAACAAATTAATGCAGAAGAGTGTATGGGACTGAATGTTGAAGTTGTGCACCAATGCAAATTATTAGGATTTCCATCCAATTAAAAGAATAATAATAATAATAATAATAATAATAATAATAATAATAATTTATTATTTGTACCCCGCCCATCTGGCTGGGTTTCCCCAGCCACTCTGGGCGGCTTCCATAGAAACCAAAAATACAGTAAAATATCACAGATTAAAAACTTCCCTGAACAGGGCTGCCTTAAGATGTCTTCTAAATGTCAGGTAGTTATTTATCGCTTTGACATCTGATGGGAGGGCGTTCCACAGGGCGGGCGCCACTACCGAGAAGGCCCTCTGCCTGGTTCCCTGTAGCTTTGCTTCTCGCAATGAGGGAACCGCCAGAAGGCCCTCGGCGCTGGACCTCAGCGTCCGGGTAGAACGATGGGGGTGGAGACGCTCCTTCAGGTATATTGGGCCGAGGCCGTTTAGGGCTTTAAAGGTCAACACCAGCACTTTGAATTGTGCTCGGAAACGTACTGGGAGCCAATGTAGGTCTTTCAAGACCGGTGTTATGTGGTCTCGGCGGCCGCTCCCAGTCACCAGTCTAGCTGCCGCATTCTGGATTAGTTGTAGTTTCCGAGTCACCTTCAAAGGTAGCCCCACGTAGAGCGCATTGCAGTAATCCAAGCGGGAGATAACCAGAGCATGCACCACTCTGGCGAGACAGTCCGTGGGCAGGTAGGGTCTCAGCCTGCGTACCAGGTGGAGTTGGTAGACAGCTGCCCTGGATACAGAATTGACCTGCGCCTCCATGGACAGCTGTGAGTCCAAAATGACTCCCAGGCTGCGCACCTGGTCCTTCAGGGGCACAGTTACCCTATTCAGGACCAGGGAGTCCTCCACACCAGCCCGCCCCCTGTCCCCCAAAAACAATACTTCTGTCTTGTCAGGATTCAACTTCAACCCATTAGCCGCCATCCATCCTCCAACCGCCTCCAGGCACTCACACAGGACCTTCACCGCCTTCACTGGTTCTGATTTGAAAGCGAGGTAGAGCTGGGTATCATCTGCATATTGATGGACACCCAGTCCAAATCCCCTGATGATCTCTCCCAGCGGCTTCATATAGATGTTAAAAAGCATGGGGGGAGAGGACGGAACCCTGAGGCACCCCACAAGTGAGGGCCCAGGGGTCTGAACACTCATCCCCCCACCACCACTTTCTGAACACGGCCCAGGAGGAAGGAGCGAAACCACTGTATAACAGTGCCCCCAGCTCCCAGCCCCTCTAGACGGTCCAGAAGGATGTTATGGTCGATTGTATCAAAGGCCACTGAGAGATCCAGCAGAACCAGGAAACTACTCTCACCTTTGTCCCTGGGGTTGTTCAGCAACCACGCGCTCAATCACCTTGCCCAAGAATGGAAGATTTGAGACTGGGCGATAGTTGGCCATACTGGCCGGGTCTAAAGATGGTTTTTTAAGAAGCGGTTTAATGACCGCCTCTTTCAGCGGATCTGGGAATGTTCCCTCACAGAGGGAAGCATTCACAACCGCGCAGAACCCATCGCCCAGCCCTTCCCGGCTTGCTTTTATTAGCCAGGATGGGCAAGGATCAAGGAGACAGGTGGTTGGTTTCACGCATCCAAGCAGCCTGTCCACATCCTCGGGGGTAACGGATTGAAATTGATTCCATGCAACTTGACCAGACAGAGCTCTAGCACTCTCCCGCCCCGGCCCTGCTCCCACAGTGGTGTCTAGCTCCTTCCGAATATGAGTGATTTTATCTGCAAAAAACTTTGCAAAATCGTTGCAGGAGATCTTGGGGTCTTTACCTAGTTGACCAGTTAACTCTACAGATTAACTGTAATCCAGTCAAATTGTTAGGTTTGTGTATGAATAAAAACAACCTTTCTTAGGCAACAATCTAATGTATAATATCCACTGTTAGCCAGACTCAGAATAGACCCAATGAAATCAATGGACGTAAGTTCATTATTTTCAGTGGGTCTACTCTATGATTACTCAGACTTCATTGGATATCTCTCTAGGTGTTTAAAATTATGCACGTTACCACAGGTATCACCTAAGGAGAGGCCTTGTTACCTACACAAGGAAATATGGGGCTTGCCATCTGAGGTTTTCAGAAGTATTCACTGCTACAGAACATAGCAGTGATGTGGGTTGGAATTTTTTCCAGTGCTTTATTGTTTTACAGGAAAAAAATGTTTCATACATTCATTAGTAACAATAAATGAATGACAACTGCATATGTGATATTAGATAAGCTTGGCAATTTCAACATTTTCAGCTTTGTTCACTAAACACAAGTAAAATAAACATGCTAACTGTCACTCTGGGAATTTAGAAAAACTGTCAATGCAGACTGAAAAATTTCAAATGCAAATTACCCTGTTATTATAATTCATGTAAGAAAATACAAAATTTTCAGACAAATCCACACAACTACTTTTTAGCAGATAAAATATTTTTATTTTTAAATATTTTTAGACAATTATATATTGCAGGCCTAAATTTAACCAATTATTCAATTGGAATGTCTCGTTAAAAATAAACTCCTGTTGGCTTCCAAAATGGAAACCAACTTTTAAAATCAGAATAGCACTGCTGAATGCATCTGAGAAAACAGGCTCTATATAGCAGCTGTATTTTCTTCAACTTAGTCTCAAATGTGAATTTCTAGTCATACTCTTTCAATGTAAAAAGTAACTTCTCTTCCCAGTGTGAAACACGTGTACAACCCTATTTCGGTAAGACTCATTCAAGGCACTGATCTAGAAACCCAATTACATTACTGGGGCGAAGTAGTAAGAGACAAACCTGAAATGTTGGTCCTCTTCGTTGTCACTCTGTAGAAGATCATCATTCAGTTCTTCATCTGACATATCTGACTGCGTCTAAATTTTAAATTTAAAGAATTGCCCTTGAGATAACCCAATATGTAACATTTAAGAACACAGCAAAGAAGGCTGCTCTCTCAGCAGTGAACCTTTAACAAGGGAATTATCAGTTAAACAGCATTCTTTCATGATTAACACTGTTCTACGGCTTTACTCTGAACAGCCCATCAACCAATTGATTAGATATCTTCAATATTTTCAGACTCAAAGCCCACTTTTAACCCAAACATCTTTTACCACATATATACATGGTGGTAGCGCTCCTGTTGCGACCCACCTTCAATCAGGCTGCTTCAACCCACCAGCTGAAGACCATTGGATTAGAAGAAAATAGTAGAAAACTTTGTATTTAAATGGGCTGCATAAAAAACTGATGAAAATTCATATTAAAAAAATCAACATTCACAAGCAATTTCAAAACTCACAGCAACAGCCTGACTTTGAAGAAGGAAAGCACATTTTCCAATATTAGGGCTAGACAATGTAATAAAAAATCAGTGTGGTGCAGTGGCAAGAGTGTTTGATTTAAATCAGAGAATCCAAAGTTTAAATCTCAGCTCAGTCTCAATACAGTAAGGCGACAACTTACGTGGGGTTATGTGCCAGGGATTGGGCCTAAAGCCAAAATTGTGTATAATCAAAACACATCAGGTGCAATGGTGGGAGGGATTGTCAAAGCAGTTTTTCCTCTACGTCCACCCCATTTCCACCCCTCTTTTCCATTATTATTATTATTATTATTATTATTATTATTATTACCAAGCACATAAAGCTGTATGCGCACAAGGTATGTGCATAAGATGTAGGCTTACTGAACTCAAAAGGCATCTTTGGGCCAATCACTATCTCTAAGCTTTACAACAATTTGTTAAGGAAGGTTAGGACAGAAGGGAGAGACTTGTGTATGCCACCCTAAACTCCTTGGAAGAAGGCTGGTATAAATAATAAAGTGGTTTGAAAGTGGTAACCGTGAGATCTTACAAGACTCCTCAGAATCAGAGCTTACATTTGAAGAATGTCTACTGCCTATGAAAAACATACCAGTGTCTGTTATAAATATAAATATTTATAGAGTAGTGGAATGGAAATGAACAAGAGGCCACACAAAGGGAAGATAAAAAGAATCTGGTTTTTGCACAATCACATATTAGGGTTTCTAACTTGATCTCTTTACCAATAGGAGTTTGTAGTACCAAAGTTTGTGGCAACACTGCTGGCTAGAAGGTTCTATTAGCAAGACAAGAGACCAGAAACTGTGCCATGAAAACTAAACACCAAACAAAACTGGAAAAAAGCCAACAATTACTGCTGAACTTACAGAAAAACTCCTCTCACAGCAGCATGCTACATGACAGAATATTTAAAAGATGTGACCTTGGGACAATAAAGTGGGTTTTATTGGGCAGGTGTGGTGGTGAAGCACTTAGGATTTAACAAACGTATGTATATTCAGCTCTCTCTTACTCAACATCTAAAGGCTGCTATTCTAAAGGTTATTTTTGTTATTTTATGTGCTGATTTATAAAATTTGTGTACTGCCCTTAATTCAAAGATCTCAGGGCAGTTCACAGTGTATAAATACAAAATAAAACCATAAAATACATAATAAAAACAAGAAAAACAAGAAAACACACACCTGCAACACACTTAAAAGGATATAGGATATAAATCAGCCGAAGGCCTGGTTGAAAGGCTAACTGGGAAAGATCTAGAGACAGAAAGTGTGTGGAAATTGGAAGGAGTTCAGAGAACAGCAGCAAAATTGCTAAAGGTTGGATAAGCTGTTATGCTGCTCTGAACACCTTCCAATTTGTTAATTGTGTTGTCAACATTTGTTTCCATCCAACAGAAAGCAGGTCAGGTAACCAAAAAAGAGGCATATTAGTACAACTTGTTTTAAAGGACAACATATACAATTTTATATTAACCCAAAAAAGGCAATTTTAAAAGCAGGCTAAAAAAATTCTTTGAAAAAAGAAATAGCTTGATTGTTAAGTAGAAGATTAACAAAAATGCAACAGGGATGAACTGAGACAACAGATCTACTACTGTTTGCTTTGTTTAAAAACGCTGCAAGGAAAATGATAGGGAAACCACCACATGATAGGTTTAAGAAGCAGTATAAACAAACCGCATCACAAGTAACAAGAGGCTAGATCAGGCATAGGCAAACTTGGCCCTCCAGATGTTTTGGGACTACAACTCCCTTCATCCCTAGCTAACAGGACCAGTGGTCAGGTATGATGGGAATTGTAGTCCCAAAGCATCTGGAGGGCCGAGTTTGCCTATGCCTGGGCTAGATTGTACTAAACAATAGGTTAGACCAAACCCAAGTTAGCTGGACCTACTGAAGTCAATGATATTCAAGTCATGACTCAAAGTCAGTAAGAGAGTGGGTACTTGCCACAAGTGTTTATGCTTTGTGGCCCACAATTTTTGCTATTCTAGTAGCCAAACCACAATAACGCTTCCTTTGTTGACCTTGCACTGCAGCTCTGTATGAGATCAAACACAATCCCCTACTCCACTCTAGGGTTTGGAGCTAGAAAGAGGTAACTTGCTGGTTTGTGTGCCTAGACATCTCCAAAGCTGGGAAGGTGGCTATAATGCATTACAGGCTGGGGTCCACTTGCCACAGCAACCACAGAACCTTGTTTATAATGGATATTCCCTCCTCATTTGATTTACTACATACACAGATCTTGTCTCAAAGAAAAGCATCCATGTTTAACATCAAACAGGACTAATAGCTACATCAAGTATAGCAATGCATACTTTGGAGAACACTGGTATTTTTCAGTGCAAAGAAAACACAAATTGCTGAATTCACGACTATGCATAAAATAATATCAATATGCTCATTTTACTTTTGCCAGCCCACAGAAATGGGAAAACAGCTATTAAAAGGAGCCTAACAAGCTTTCCATCTCCAAACCTCTGGGAAATTTTCTCAGCCCTCCTCTGATTTCCATAATTTCACAAAGCGCTAGTAACATTTTGGCATCCATCTGTCTCAGGAGACAATGGCAGGGGTAAAGATACACGCTTTATTGCAAGTGGGGCAGATGAAGGTGTTTTGCTGCTGCAGTTGCACCACGGAGTTTATTCTCTCTGTGCTCCTCCCAGCGGTCATTTCTTCTCTGGTCACTACTGTTGATACATGAACTGATTGTCTGTTTCCAGGCACTACTATAAGGGCCAGAAAAGCTGAATGCTGCAAATCTGATGGTTTTCAATCCTGTATTCAAATATCTATTTTTTTGCACTTGCCTGGCAAGATCATTGATACTTGGTATACAAAGCTCCTGCTAAATATTCAGGTGAGAGTTTAAAAAGAGCTATTTGTCATTATTAAACAAGAATATTGCATACTTCAAGTTTCCCTTCAATGCAACCGCTCTATATAACCAACCTTTGGCCTTATAACAGGTCCTTCTAGCAGTAGCTTCTGTGTACATTTATGTTCATAACTGCCCTCACACCACTTTGTGAAGCAAGCAGGAGAAACTGCCAATCATTCCATACATGAAAGAAATAGCACCGGCTGGGAAACCTGGTTTTGTTGAACTCTTTTCAGGCTGCCATATACAAGCACATGCTTGAAGATAAACACAATCAGGTTACTGTCAGAGCTGCTCCAATACACTCTACAAAAACAGAAAACTGGCAGAACCAAAGAAGTTAATGTCTTTTTTACATATTTATGCATACAGCTTACTTATTTACCTTTTTGCCAGCCAGCAAATCTTCTCCTAGCAAGTCATCGTCTAATTCACTGGAAGAAAAAATCATTCACAGACTTACAATGAGCTTTCTGAAGCAAGGATTCTAAAAGCTATTGTAGTAATTCATAAAATAGTCAAAGTTATAGAAATGAGGAAGCAATTTCAGGGTTGCCATATTTCAAAAACAGGTTTTTTTAGGAAACCACCAAAATAAAAACTCTGCTGTTATGGGAGCCTTTCGTCTGAATAGTGAGATAAAAATACTTTAAATAAACAATTAAATTTATTATTATTTAGGTGACTTAAAGGCTAGAGACAAATAGTTACACAGTGCTTCATGATGATTCTAAAAGAACTTATGGTTTCCATTTTACCACCAGTTATTTAATATTGAATCCTCCAGATCATTTTTGCCCACTGACTCTTAACAGTACTGAAGAACAGCAAATTAAATAGAACAAATGCAAAACACATTTTGATGTATCTAATTTTAAAGAAAGATTAGCAGTCTCAAAACCATAGTTAGTGCTTGATTTAACTCCTTTCAAGAAAAGCTACTTACCACAGCGTAAACCTCTCATGGAAAGAGGCAGGGAACTTACTGAGGATAAGGAGTGTCACAAAGGAAGACTGCCAATCTTCATATAATGTAATTCCAACACATTATCAACATTGCTAGGGGTTCTTTTGACTCAAGTTTGTGGTCACCAAGATATTATCACTCCTTCTCCCCGATAGCTCAGTCTGGTTTTGCCATATGTTGGAGCAGCATTCAAGCCTGTCTTGTCTTAGTTATCTAGACTCTGTTTGGAGCTCTCCAGGGTGCTACTTACTGTAACTGCTGTTTTAGGACTGCAACCTCTGCTTTCTTTGCCTGATCTTACTTGGTCATGCTCACTGGCATCCAACCTCAAGATTACTAAACCTTGCCCAACTGGAATCCAGTCTCTCCTTGACCTGGCTTTGTTGACTGGATTCTGAACTGGCACTAGCAGTGCATGACCTTGCAACCCTGAACTAGCACACACATCCACTCAGGCTAGAACCCTTACCACTGACAGAACACCAGTCTCCTAATGTTTTTTCCTGAAATTAAACATGCATGGGGAGAAATGCTCATTGCTGTTCAGGACAATAGGTCAGGAGGCCATTCATCAAAACCACCCTAAAGATACTGCATTAGAAAGAAAGTGAAAGTTCACCTATACAATTTCTGAAGAGAACACATATCTAAGAGAAATCAACTATTCGAGCTGAAAAAAGCAACAGTTTGAGTAACCTACAATTCCTATTCCTTCCTCTTATCAAAGATTACCAGCAACTTTCTTTCTCCACATCTCCTCTGTTCCCACCCCACAAAGAAGTGGAAGCATTTGCTCTGTTGAAAAGCAGGTGCTAACTGGGATGGGGACACCAGTATCCTTTCCAAGTGGCAAGAAAGAATTCAGCTATGAAGTAGTAGTAACCAGATATAAAAGCAAGCTGCCATTCTAGTGGTGTTCACAGTGCGAAACATTTGGAAGAAAAAAGGATTGTGTGCAAATATTACACCATGGGGGCCTGATCCTATGCTGTGCTGCAAAGAAATAATGCCCTGCTGCACTCATGTCCTGGCTGCTGACTAAAGCAGCAGGAATCACCATTGCTGGCACTCTGGAACTATCTCAAAGTAGTACAGAGTACCAAAAGAGTGTAGGGCACAACTATTATAGGCCACTTGAACCTAACTGTACACAATGATAGCATTTTCAGAGACTCTTCCCTAGCTACAGCCACCATCTGTAACCCTACACCTCTTCCTATACTACGAACATCTGAAATAGTGCCAGAGTGGCAGTACTAGTTGCAGTTGTTGCTTTGGTGAACAGGGTCTTGTTTCTTAGCTGAATACTGGGGACAGGGCTCTCACTGTGACGGTACTCTGCTTGTGGAACATTCTTCCCTGGCAGATTTGCCTGGTACCGATCCTGGTGTCTTTTCAGCATCAGCAAAGACTTTTGTTTATTTTCCCACAAGTTTTATTTAACTCTTACTGCTTGTTTTAATGCTGCTGTTTATTGCTGTTACCTGTTTTTTAGTACTGTGTTTTACTGTTCTATTATTTATTTTAATCGTACTTTGGTAAGTTTGTAAATGTTTATATTTAAGGGCACCACAAAAACGTTAACAAAAAATAAATATGTAACCTGTTTTGAGATCTACAGGAATGATAATGTGTTAGCCACTCAATACTGCTAGGAGCTGTTGCATTCAGTTTGCCTTAAGATCTAGGGGCACCAACAATGCAGTTCTCTACAACTTGCCTTGTATAAGATGCTGCTGTAAGCCAATGCAGCACAACCCTTTGCTTGCATCACAACAGAAGGTAGTCCTGGGTTTGAAGTCTCTAATATTTGCCACTAGCATTAATAGGAAAAATAGCAAAAGTCAATTTAGATATTAAAAAATGTTTAAGAGGATTTTTAGGAACCTGTTTGTATCCAAGATAAAACATGTTATGCTTTAAAGCAAAAAATATTTTTCCCCATGGAATTCTCTCTTCTTAACTAAACTACATTTAGTTATGAAGCCAACTGCAAGAGCAAGCCTTACCCTGCCAACATTTTATGCAATGTTCTTCATTATACTAGACTTGTTCATGTCTCCAGACTAAGCTCTTCACGACAGGTGTACATTATCCACAACTGAGCATATGACACAAACACAGCAGGCAGATAACTTCATTAGTGTATGAATTTGCACTTTAAAAAAGCAGGATACAAAATACAAACTCAAAATAAAATGGAATACCATATAATGAAAAACATTTTTAAAAGGGCTTACCTGTCCCAGTCTTCATCTCCAGTTCTCCTCCTCCAAGATCTTTCTGCACCAGGCTTATCGAACTGATCAAAGTCATCATCTGCAAGCAGAAGACATTTAGTGATTTGCACAAGAATACAGAAAGAAAATCACAGATCATAAAACAGCAGTGCTGACATTTTCTCTCCTTAGAACTTGCCAATTGCTCTTACACTTGTTCTTCTATCAGAAGAACTGAAAAATATACTAGACTTATTAAACTGAAAAGAATCCTTCTAGTTTGCCAGTAGTACCATTAATCTTCTCAATTCCATTATGTTATTGATGCTGTTCACTGCCACTGCTTTCTGCTTTCTTTGATCTTTTGATTGCCTGTTATTATGTTGCTTTTATCAATTGGGACTTGGGTGCTCCACTGAGAATCATCTTAAATAAATGTAAGCTACCGTATTTTTCGCTCCATAGGACGCACTTTTTCCCCTCCAAAAATGAAGGGGAAATGTGTGTGCGTCCTATGGAGCGAATGCAGGCTTTCGCTGAAGCCTGGAGAGCGAGAGGCATCGGTGCGCACCGACCTCTCTCGCTCTCCAGGCTTCAGGAAGCTATCCGCAAGCCTTGCAAGCCCGGTGGGAGTTCCCGCGGGCTCACAAGGCTTGCAGGCAGCAGCCTGCAGCCCCGGCGAGTGTCCGCAAGCCTTGCGCGCCCGGCAGGAGGTCCCGCCGAGCGCGCGAGGCTTGGGGCAGCAGCCTGTCGCCCGAAGCACGGGGATCCCTCCGGAGGGCTCCCGTGCTTCGGGCGAGTGTCTGCAAGCCTTGCGCGCCCGGCAGGAGGTCCCGCCGAGCGCCCGAGGCTTCGGGCGGCAGCTTGTCGCCCGAAGCACAGGGAGCCCTCCGGAGGGCTCCCCGTGCTTCGGGCGAGTGTCTGCAAGCCTTGCGCGCCCGGCAGGAGGTCCCGCCGAGCGCGCGAGGCTTGGGGCTGCAGCCTGTCGCCCAAAGCACGGGAGCCCTCCGGAGGGCTCCCGTGCTTCGGGCGAGTGTCTGCAAGCCTTGCGCGCCCGGCAGGAGGTCCCGCCGAGCGCGCAAGGCTTCGGGCGGCAGCTTGTCGCCCGAAGCACGGGAGCCCTCCGGAGGGCTCCCGTACTTCGGGCGAGTGTCTGCAAGCCTTGCGCGCCCGGCAGGAGGTCCCGCCGAGCGCGCAAGGCTTGGGGCTGCAGCCTGTCGCCTGAAGCACGGGGAGCCCTCCGGAGGGCTCCCGTGCTTCGGGCGAGTGTCTGCAAGCCTTGCGCGCCCGGCAGGAGGTCCCGCCGAGCGCGCAAGGCTTCGGGCGGCAGCTTGTCGCCCGAAGCACGGGAGCCCTCCGGAGGGCTCCCGTGCTTCGGGCGAGTGTCTGCAAGCCTTGCGCGCCCGGCACGAGGTCCCGCCGAGCGCGCAAGGCTTCGGGCGGCAGCTAGTCGCCCGAGCACGGGAGCCCTCCGGAGGGCTCCCGTGCTTCGGGCGAGTGTCTGCAGCCTTGCGCGCCCGGCAGGAGGTCCCGCCGAGCGCGCGAGGCTTGGGGCTGCAGCCTGTCGCCCGAAGCACGGGAGCCCTCCGGAGGGCTCCCGTGCTTCGGGCGAGTGTCTGCAAGCCTTGCGCGCCCGGCAGGAGGTCCCGCCGAGCGCGCGAGGCTTGGGGATGCAGCTTGGCGCCCGAAGCAACGGGAGCCCTCCGGAGGGCTCCCCGTGCTTCGGGCGAGTGTCTGCAAGCCTTGCGCGCCCGGCAGGAGGTCCCGCCGAGTGCGCGAGGCTTGGGGCGGCAGCCGCGGCGGGGGGGGGGAATAATTTTTTTTATTCATCCCCCCCCCAAAAAAACGAGGTGCGTCCTATGGGCCGGTGCGTCCTATAGAACGAAAAATACGGTATTTTACGTTACAATGGTAAAAACCACAGCACCCTATGACAGCAAGTTCCATAGGTTAACATGCACAATAGAAAACCAAATTAAGTTTGCCACTTATTAATAACAAGACTAAAGGGCATATTGTAAAGCAAGGGATCAGAATAACTATTTTCTGTGCTTGTCTGAAGTGGTACATGTCTCAGCTGATTTTTGCATTTAAGATTTCTATTAAGCTGCCATGGACATTAATTTAACAGAAAAACCTGATATTTTTAAAACAGAGGTTTAACATTAAAACTCCACCAATTCCTAGTTTTCAGTAACTCCTTCTTGCTGTGAAAGACATTCCATGCATATGCAGGAAATTGACAGAAAGCCTATTCTTTTTTTTCTGCAAACAAGAATATAATAATAATAATAAATTTTATTTATATCCCGCCCTCCCCAGCCGAAGCCGGGCTCAGGGCGGCTAACAACAATAAAACAGTACAAAAGTTTCAGAAAGCTTTCCTGCCCTGAAATGTTACCTCTGTACAAAAAGTCACGTGACATCCTCTTCAATATGCAAAAGCCATCATTACTACTCAGGTACTGACACTGTGAGAGCCATTACTCCTCCTTGTGGCTGTTCCACTGAAAAAAACTTCTCAATAACCGCACACACTCTGAAAATTCAACTGGTACCAATGTCTAGTTTTAGACACCAGCTGAAAACCTGCCTCTTTCATCAGACTTATTAATGCAGAATGAAGCTGAGACTGCAAAAAAACAACAACTATTAAATGTTCTGTTATATAGCTAATCTTAATGTCTTTCGTTGCAGATGGTTTATTGTATTTATTGTTGTAACCCACCCCAGGGTCCTAGTATTAAGGCAAGGATCTAAGTTTATAAAACAAACAAATGTACCTTTTGACAAGCTAAATGTGCCTACTATAAGTATGGATCTTGTTATTACTCACAAATTCATTTGACATGACTCTTAGGAGAACAATTCCCCCATGTGTTTCAACATCTACATGAAACTGTTGGGAGAAGCCACATCAAGGTTAGGATTGATGAGTCATCAATATGAAGAGGACATTCAGCTATGACTCATTTTTCTGTCTGCTCATTTCAAGGAGGCTGTTGAACTCTGAACACCTGTCTGGAAACTCTACTGGGTTGGTTGGAGGTGAGCGAGCTTAAACTTAATCCAGGTAAAATGAAGGTGCTGGAGATGACTGTGAATAGATATTTCAAGTTGTTCAGGACTTTCTACTTCAGCAACAACCACTTGATTAGAGCTCAGAAGCAAACGGGTAACCAGTGCAGTTCTTTTAGGAGTGGCACAATATGCGCCTGGCCAGTTAGCACCCTGGATGCCACTTTCTGCAGAAGTGTCAACTAACAGTGTTCAAGGTCAGCCAAACACAGAGCACATTACAACAATCCAATACAGAGGCCTACAAAACCATGTACTACTGTTTCTAGGTATTCTCCATCAAGGATGAGGCATGGCTGACAAACCTAGATACTCTTCACTACCTAGGCTTCAAATGATCACACTGGATCCAGCAGTATCCCCCCTCCCACTTTCAGGGCAAGTGCAACCCAACCCAGAGCTGGCAGATCTTTCATTTCCTAAACCCAAGAACCTGGAACACACAACACCTCCATCTTGTCTGGATTCAATGTCAATGTGCTGGCACACATTCAGCCCAATGCCACCTTCAGGCAACTGCTTCTCCTGATTCAGAGGCAAGAGACAGACAGACAGAGCTGGGTGTCAACAACATACTAATGACACTTCATTCAAAATCTCCTGATGACAGCTTGCAACAGCTTCATTTAGATGTTGAACAGCATCAGAGACCAGACTAAACCTACAGGACACCGCAGGTCATATCTCATGGTGCTGAATGGTAGTTCCCCAATGCTACTTTCTGGGAATAACCTCTGGAACAGAACTATTGCAAAATAGTGCCTCCCAACCTCAATCCATGAAGCCCCACTAGAATGATAAATACTATGATCAACGGTATCAAGAGTCACCAAACTGAAAAATGTGTAAGGCTCTACTCCCTGCATTCCTCTCCCAAACAAAAGTAATCAATTACTACAAACTCAGTAGCCTTAAACCAGATTAAGGAGGATCTAAATAATCCACTTCATTCAAGGTATGCTTGTAGTTGGGTCACTACCACTTTCTCAAGGACCTTGCCCCCTCCCCTTGCCAAAAGAGGATATTGGTGACTATAAGATTTGTTAGGAACTTCAGTGTCCAAGGAAGTCCTCATTGAGCACAGATGGCACTTCCCTCTCCCACAATGAGTATTTGCCACACACTGCACCCTCCAATTCAACCCCCTTGGACCCAGCCAGGTTTAATAAGCCATTGAGGCAAGAGCTGAAAAGACAAATGGTAGGCCACCCTGCAAGTTTACATTCGGACTTTCTTATATCAGCTGAAGATCTCATTAATTTCAAGATTTAAAAAAGAAAAGAAAAAGAAAGGCTACCTGACAATTGTTCATATAACTGTGAAGAAAGCAGTCAAAGTATTACCTTCATCCAGAAATGAATCTAGGCCCCATTGTGCAAAATGTGGCTTAGGTAACCAGTGTCTGCCAGGCAATTAGTTCTGTTAAGAGAGGTGGTTCTCAAAGGGTGTGGGGTGTCACACTGGTGTGGCAGGAGAGGATGGCAAGTGTGTTGGGAAGATTCAAGGAAAATCTAAGGAATATTTAAACATTTCAGTGTAGTATATAGTATCAAAGTATTTTTTTTATTTGCGGAGCATGGGGCATCTTTTCAAAATGAGAGCAAGAGCATCAAGTGATACTGAGGACAATCCTGTGATCCAAAATCGCCAATTGAACAGAGTTCTGAGAATAGTATTGGCTATTCTTCTACAACATACTTTCCACAACATATTGTTATGAACAGAGATTTTCAGCTCTCATAAATATGAAAGATCAGAAAAGAGAAAGGTTTATTTGTGTTGATGAGGAGATGAGAGTTTGTTTGTCTCGAATTAGACCTAACATAAATGAGATTTCCTGGTTTGTAATTACATTTTGGGAATGATTTTCTTATGTAGCTGCATTGTTTCATACTTTCTGCGTGTCCCATGTTCATACTATAAAGTTGTTGTGTTCTATTTTATAAATCAAGCACTGCTAGGAGTTGCTTCTTCTTGTTATCAATTTAAAAAATGGTGCAGTGCAAGCAAATTTTTATTCTGAAAGTGTGGCCCAGAGAAAAAAGGGTTAAGAAATACTGGTTTAGAGAGTGAAAAGTCTCTAGGAATGCTAACAATGAACAGTGGGGGTTGGAATATAAAACAATTTTCCAATCCAAGGAAGATTATGTAACACAAGAATGTTAGAAGTTTCACAGTACAGTGGTGCCCCGCAAGACGAATGCCTCGCAAGACGGAAAACCCGCTAGACGAAGGGGTTTTCCGTTTTCAATGTGCTTCGCAGGACGAATTTCCCTATGGGCTTGCTTCGCAAGACGAAAATGTCTTGCGAGTCTTGAGATTTTTTTCGCTTTCCCCCCCTTTTTCTAAGCCGCTAAGCCTTTAATAGCCGCTAAACCGCTAATAGCGCTAATCCGCTAAGCCGCTAATAGGGTTGCTTCGCAAGACGAAAAAACCGCTAGACGAAGATACACGCGGAACGGATTAATTTCGTCTTGCGAGGCACCACTGTAATGTACATGATATATCTGACAGCAGCATTCAGGAAGTACTCTGACAAATCTTAAGGTTCCAGACAAAGTAATGATATTAAACTGCAATCACAATTCATAATTTAAATCCAAACAGAATTTTGCAAAAATAATATTTGAGCTTCCAAATAAAATCTAATAGTGTAATACCAAGACACTCAATTGGAATTCAATATTTCCTCAGGTCAGTTTGGCACTATTTCTTCTCTAATACTACTTCAAGACCTTTTAACTGTCATTGCTTCAGTTGCTCTCAAGCAAGTTGAAAAAACTCTGAGGGACTCTAGGATGGTTTCAGGTAAAGTAACTATACATTCTTATGATGGGAACAAAAAACAAAACCGATTAAAATGTTCAAAAAAAGTTTCTAACCTACAGATGGGTTACCCCAAACAAAATTAAATTCACCTAGCAAAGAAGAGGGAACATAGTACTAAAATACTTTTTTTCCCTACTGAACCATGCTACCACAGCAGTATTGAAAGAATCACTGATAGCACTAACATGACTGAGCCTTCCTTTTAATTCCTGGATCCAGCACAAATTCAATTGCTGGAATAGCCAGGCCAGCTAAGGGAACAGTTCTGCAGTTGAGTGTTAGTTAGAAAGGCAAAAGGCCAGAGTGGAGAGTTGAGTGATGTGAGTTAGAAGCAATGCAGCAAGCTGGAGAAAGACTCAGAGATGTTTGATTTCTCTATGAATCCAAAGTTGTGCCTATGGGAGAAACAAGGCCCTCCATTGGCAACTCAGGTTGTATATATGTGTAAATAAACCATATATCCTAAAGACATCACAGTCTCTGCTGTTCCTCATTCAGAGGAAAACAAGCCCTGGGTAAGTGTCTGGAACCCCTCAAATCTCGCACCACACAGATTGGGGTGGAGTGCAACAATATGTAAAAAAGTATTAAAGAGAGAAGCAACCCAATCTGAATAAAATCAGATCATTTAGTCCTTACTCCCCACTTGTTCAAATACTCTGGAAACAGTGCAGTCCACACTTGTGACATGAGACTCTCCCCTATTTCAAGGAACAGTCTTACAAATCAGATTGGTCTCTCCTGCTTTCCTAGCTATAGAAACACGCCCATAATTCATCCTCAGACCCACATAAGTGTCTTTCAGCATTGACTTCTGGTGGCCCGCTCTTCATCAGAAGTGAGAAGCCTTGAACTCCCATCAATCACAGCTGGCTGCTGGCCACACTGCCTGGGACTGATGGGAGCTGGGAGTCCAACGAACATCTGACGGCTCACCTCCCTGATGAAGGCAGTTGGCAACTCCCGGGGCAGCTCCAGCATCAAGCGTCCCTTTCATAAGAGCATCGTACCGCTTGTCACTCCCCCCCAAATAACTACTCCCCCGTCTGCCAGTTCCCCGATACCCCAGAACCAACCCTGCGCGCCTCTGACCAATCTCTCTCCCCCTCTCGACGTAATCTGTAGATGAAGCAACCCCACCAGCACAGGCGAAACTCGCGGGGCCCTCTAGCTATTTCCTGTCACTGTATCAAGAGATAGAGGATCATCCCACGACCGCCACTTTAGAACCCACGATCCGCTTTTGCTTCCTACAGGCCTTACTAAATAACACCCCCCGCGCGAAAAACACTGAGGGGGCGGGGTTAAACCCTATGGAAAACAGTAGGACTTCCTTCCGAGCAAACGACGGGGCTACAGGGACGCCTGTGCCACCCGCCCTTCGAGATCAGAAGCCCCCTCCCCACTCGCACACTCCCCCCAACCGCCTCCCCGCCCCGCAACTGGGCCCCGCCGTTTGTATCCCGAGCCGGCCGCGCCCCCTCGGCCTTCGCGGGCGGAGAATTCCCCCCCCCCCGTACCTGCTCCTCCGTCCCCTCCTCCTCCCAAGGCAGCTGCCATGGCGTCGGGCCCCTGCGAGGACCCCCGCGCCCCTCCTGCTTCTCTCGGCCCCGCCGCGCTGTGAGGGAGGGAGGTGGGTGGGTGGTTGAGCGCCCGCCGCCGAGGAGCTCGAAGCAAGCTAGCACAACATGGCGGCCGGCGGCTGAGGGAAAGACGACGGGAGCGGGGGGTGGCGGGGGGAGCGAACGACGCCACTGACGCCGCGCTGCACTCTGGGATACTGGAGGACCAGCTCCCTCCTTGAGGCCGCGCGCCGCTCGTTGGTTAAGCCGCCGCAAACAGGCCTGGAAAAAACAACAACCCACTTCTCGCGAGCCTGCGCAGTTTCGGAAGTAGGGCGGAAAAGGCCGCTGGTGGGCGTTGGGCAGTGACGCAAAAGGCTTGTGGTGCGTGCGCAAGGAAATGGCGATCCCGCCCCCGTCGGTTTCGCTGACAAAAAAAGCCGTACAGCAATACGCATGCGCGCAGAGGAAGGCTGGCGGTTTGAAATCTCGACGGAGCAGCGGCGTAGCGCATGCGCAGAATTTATTAATTGAGTTGGCGCTGTAGGTGGGCTTTTTCCAGGGCAGCTGGGAAATAATCCGAATTAATCTTTCTTGCCGCTGCCGGGTTCCCTAGGGCCGAAACAAGGAATATATGCTTGGCATATGAAACCCATCATTCTTCCCATTCCGTCTTTCGCCCCAGCAGATCCGTGTCCTGATACTATTAGTAACAGCGCCGTGGATGAGGATGAGGATCTCGCTGACACGCATCAACACCCCCAAAGGGTGCTGGTCGTGGGAATGCGCTCGGCTGAGAGTTGACGTCCTCTGTCCCGCCGAAGTGAGCCTTCGCCATTGGCCTTGGCAGTAACGCGGGAGTCGCCTTCCCGCATCCCGCTCCAACTCACCCATTTTCGCCTCCCATTCCTGTTTTAGGAGGGGGCTCTGGTTCGTTTCGGTGGAATTTAGGCTTCGAGCCTCTGACCCGCTGGCTGACCTCCAGGGAAAGTGGCCGCCGACTCGTTCTCATTGGCAGGAACCCAAACCCCCGACGGCAGCGCCGGGTGGCTTGAATTCTGCCCTCCTTCGCCTGAACTTCTGAACCTGCCTGGCTCCGAGTCCGCTGCCGGTCAGCCCAACTGTAACTCGCTGGCCGTGGATCTCTGGGGCTCCCCAGCTCTGCTATCCTCCAAAGTCCCTTTTCAAAAAAACTGGGACTTTGTGTAGTCAGGCAGCTGCTGTTCTTTCCCTGGGGAAAAGGAGTCTTTGCATTCTTGCGATGTCCTACCAGTTTGTTTGTTCCTTTCCCGACTGCTTTTTAAATAAGTGTTCAAGGAAAGTGGACTTCTTCCTTCAACTCTGTTAATGACTCCTATCAAGACCTTTTTTATACCAGCCACTCAAGTCTTCTCAGTGTGTAAAGTCAGTGGATAGAATAAACACCATTAGGTGTACCATGCTGGGTTATTTTTGGTGTTTAATGGTTCTTGGGCTTTGTATTTCTTCAAATACCAATTAAAATGGTAATAATAATGATAATGAGATGAATAATATTATCCCAGATAAGTAATGATGATGATGAAGAAGAAGAAGTCAAGGCTATCAATGGCTACTAGCTAGGATGGCTATTCTCTGCCCCCAAGGTCTGAATACAAGGTGCTGGAAACTGCAGGAGGGTCTGTGGGCTTCTGGTTGGCTGCTGTGAGAACACATAGGCCAGGCCTCATCCTGCTTTTCTTAGGTTGACCCCTGTTTTTAGTCATTGTGCTGGAATGGCTGGCTGGAATGGAATGAAATTAAATTGACATGAACTGCATTGTTCATTGTTGTGTATTATTTCACAATTGTATATAGGGTTTTTAAAAATCAGGCACTGTATGGTGCCTTCACTTATTTTATATTTTATTTATTACATTTGTATACTGCCCCATACCCGCAGGCCTCAAAGCATTCTGGGAAATGATATATAATGGATTGGAAAGAATGTTTAAAATAACATAAAGTTAGGCACTTTAGGTACAGGGATTCCAAAAAAGCAGAAAAGACTATTTATGTATGCGATGACAGGAGCAAGAATACTACTGACCCAGAGATGGAAAGAAGACAAAGTTCCATCCAGAGAAGATTAGCTGGTGAAGATGATGGACTGAGAGCTTTCCATCAGTCCTTCAATATCACCTGCTGAACTGTTATGTAGACTCTCTTGACTCATATCTGCTGAGCCCCTACCTAAAAATGGAATTCAGGCATGGAAATGTATTGTTCTGAAGCCCCTGCTAGCTTAAACCAGAGGTATAATACATGTGAAGTAACAGATAAAGTCACCTTATGTGGAGTCAGCAAGCAGACCACTGCTGCATCCAAGGCCTTACTACCTGAGATGCTTTTAACATTTATTATTTATCATTTATTTCTTGTGTTTATATCCCACCTCCAAGGTGGCATACATCTCCTCAGTTAATCCCCACAACCACCCTGTGAGGTATGTGAGGCTGAGAGGCAGTGACTGGCCCAAGGTCATCTGGTGAGCTTTATGGCTGAACCTTGGTCTCCAAGGTCCTAGTCTGACACTCTCTAATGGAGGGGACTGAAACTGGGATCTTCCACTAGCAAGTGTGCTGAAGAAGCACCTAAGGGGATCACTTATAAAAAAAAGGTTGCTGCCCCCAACATGCACCAAAGAAGGAACCCAAGACCCTGGATATATCAGTGCTGTGTCTTGGGCAACCCAATGAGGTGGGCAGAGTGTAAATGATAAAATTATTATATTATCATCCTCCAAGTTTGTGTAAAATGGAGCTACCTGAAGGCACCTGCCTTCTAACGGGGTCCAAATCAGTTTTTCTGCTGCAACATTGTACAGTCGTACCTCGGAAGTTGAACAGAATCCTTTCGACTTCCGAAACTTTCGACTTCCAAAGTGCGGCTTCTGATTGGCTGCAGGAATCGGAAGCTGCGGAAGCCCCGTCAGATGTTCGGCTTCCAAAAGAATGTTCAAAAACCGGAACACTCACTTCTAGTTTTCAGTCGTTCAGGAGCCGGAATGTTTGACACCCAAGGTGTTCGGGAGCTGAGGTATGACTACTTTTTACATCCCACTTCCTGCCAACCCAGCAGGAGTCCCTTTACCTCTATCTTTACCTGTTTTTAAAGTGGTTTTAGGTGTAGGTTTGGAATCTGGACTAGGCATTGTTGGGACCTTATAGGAGCCATGCCAATCACTGGTGGGGAAGCTTTTTCAGCCCAAAGGCTTCTGGGCAACCTTCTGAGAGCCACAAGGCAGTGGTGGGTAGGGCCGGAGGCACAAGTGGATAGAACAATGGAAGGAGATGTTGCCTTTCTACAGTAGACTGATTTCTGCACACACATCCATCAGTGTCCTCCAACTAGGCAAGCAAAGGACATCTGAGTTCAAGGACACTTTCCAGCCAGAGAGAAACATTCAGGGTGCGAAGCAGGACCAGTGAGGGATGTGGTCTAGGGAGAGCTCTGAGGGCCAGACAGACAGGTTAGGAGAGCTCCGATCAGACCCTGAGCCTGAGGTTCCCCACCTCTGCCCCGGAGCCTCCTGGCCCTGCTGCTGTCACTGCCTGTACATCAACCCTCTCCATGTGTGCGAGTGAGACCAAGAGTGAGGAGAAGGAGCAGCCTCCTCCTTTCCCTTGTGCTTTCTTCTTGAGTGGTTGGGTGGATTGGGTCCAGAGGGCAAATGAGGACAGAAGGAAGGATGTGGACCCACTCAAGTCGTTGCCCCAAAGCCTGGAGTCAGATTGTGACCTGTTCCTGGAAGTAGCTGCTGAGTATGAGAGCAGATATGAGAGAGACCTAGCCTCATTGGGCCTGTGCTAAATTCAAGGCATAAGGTTCTCTGCTTATCTTGCCAAACCATCAGATTCATTTATCAGCCGCTCTCCACATTAAGCTTCACACCTTGTTTTTAATTAATTTGTTCCTTTCCGCCAACAAGTGAGGTAACCCATCCCCTTACATCTCACGTTGCAGTGCAAGAGAGCCCAATAGAGATGCCTCCTCCAATATAGACACAATTTTTTGAAGAGCTATCTTGAATAACCAATTATTGACTTCATTGTACATTGTACTAGGATTTAATTAAGCGATAAGGCCCATCATAGTAGGGTCTTTTATCTTCCCGATAAGGATTTGTCAGGCTTACCCCAGGAGGTCTTTATCTGAAAGATAAGGTGAAGGTACATAGGTGTCTCCTTGTTAGTTTAAATCCTTTAATTAAAAGGACCTTTTTGCAAAAGTTATAGGTTATTGTCTTTGCCTCTACTCCTGAGAAATGCAAAATAAGATGACACATTGAACTGGACAAACATTGTCGGTGAAAACTTCCAAAGGAGTTCTGTACAGCTCCCAGGCTTGGCCCAATAGGTTATATCAATTCCTTACCTAATTAATTAATTATCTAATGACCTAATTCTCAATCATTTTCAAGGACCAATGTTCAAAAGCTCCCACTCTCGCTCTCTCTATATATGTTTATCAACTTGATGGTTGGATAATGAAGATTGTGAAGAATATTGGTGACCTTCATTGGTCAAAACTGGTGGAATCGAAAGCTGACTCAGCAAGTAAACCCCTAAAATGCATTGACTTCCCAGCAGTGTCCTATGTAGCAAGATCTTTTAAGTATCAAAGGTAGAATTCTACTGGTTTCAACAGAATGATTTACCAGTTCCTCCCAGTGTTGCATCAGGTAGAATATCTTTCACCCTCTGTGATGGAGTTCTCTAATGGAATGGACCAGAAAACTGGTGAATCCTATCCCTGACCTAAGACCATATCCCCCCACATAATTGCCACATAGGTTATCCCATATCTCACATGTTTTAGAATTTCAAAAGCTGTGGAAGTAAACAAGATGCCCACAATCCTACTACTTGTAAGTGACTCAAGTGAGTTAAGCCACATTCTATATGAGAAATTAAACCCCCTCAAACCATCCAAGCAAACACACAAGGTGGCTTTTTCCCTGCACTGGGATAACTAGTTCCTTGAGATGTTGGATCTGGCCACAGAGTAACACATGCCTTAGTTACATCCCATTTGGACTACTGTAATGTGCTCTATGTGGGGCTGCCTTTGAAAAGAGTTCAGAGGCTTTGGCTAGACTGGGGCTGGTTACAGAGAGCATGTTGCTCCCCTGG